TGAGGTCGGGAGATAACTTCACAACCGTTTTGGGAATCTGGCAGAAGGGAGTGATGGCAAGCTGTCGTGCCGGCAAGCGCTTTGATACGACAATGTTCCGTGCAACGACCATTGGCTGGGTTTGAACTACGCGTAGAATTGTGGCAGTGCCGGTACATGACGAACATGGAGAAATTTTTCCCGACCTCCTCCCCCCTCCCGCACACTGTGATGTCAGAGAGGGTTATGTGTTGAGGTATGAATGGGCAAAAAAAGAGCATGCAGGAGGCATTGAGGTCACCAGAAAAACCCCAACCAACTGCTCTTGTCAAGCGAAATCACATTTCCTTACATTGTGGTTCCGCTTTGCACTGAATCGTTTGTGTGAGTGTGTTAGCGGGCGTGGTGCTGGCCACCCACCCCGTCGTCTGCCGTGCCGTCCTTCATAGGTGCTCTCTAACAGCACCTGCCGCTCCAGTCTGTGAAGGCTCCACGGGGGGATCTTTGTGTGTGTTGGGGAGCAGTAGTGTCGTGGTTTGCGCGCTGCGCTACAAACCTGCCAACCCGAGTTCAATTCCCGCTCATGGGCAACACAAGTGATAATTATCTGAACCGGTCCTGGGCATCCCCTAGTTGTTTTCGGCCTCAAATAAGTACCTGGTACAATGCTTAAATAACGCCACAAGGTAGACAAGACGGCCAGGCATGGTGCTGGCCACCCACACCATGTGCTGTGTTGGCCTTAATAGGTGCTCGCAAACAGCACTTGCCCCCAACAGTCTGACGCTGCAAGGGATCTTTATCTTTGTGCCGTGTATGCTCGTGTTTTTGCGAGCGCTTCTCTAATTTGCGTCAGCACGTGTGATGTTTGTGCGGATGCGGTCCGATTTGAGAGCCATGTGGCATTTTGGGCCCAGGCTTTTGAAGCCCCCGATTACACCAGCGTTTGTCAACGTTTCTTTTTTTGCACGTTCACATACACACGGCCCTCGTCGTCAAGCCGTGGCTGGATGAGTGCCGGTGGCCCGCTCCCATGTGCCTCCGCCACTGCGCGCGCCCGGGAGTTCCACGCGTCACTGTTCAGGCACGCGTGCCAGCACGCGTTGACCGCAAATGCACGCTAGCTTGTCATCGCCCAAACAATGACGGCACCCACCCCATGGGCGCTGGGCCCCTCGTTTTAGCAAATGCAGTGCTGGCTCGGCGGTGAGGGGCCCCCGCCCTCGCACCGTTGGGCGATTCGTGAGGACTGCATCGAGCGTAGGAATCTGCGAGCACGCGGATTGACGGGGCGAGGTCTCGCTAACTGGACCTTCGCCATTCTGCCGCCAACGCCGATTCTGCGCGTCCGGGTAGTAACCGCTGACTGCCACTGAGTTTGCGGTTCTTACTGAAGTCAGCAGTTCTCAAAGCCTTACAGACGGGCACAGGCTGCAGCATGGATACCGTGCAGGAACATATGCCTTACTAACACAAATAAGACACGAAACATTGAGCTACGATACATTCATATCAAATATGGGTAAAAAATGATAAATATGCCTGGCATCTTATTCAGATGAGAACATGCTCTGGAAAGGAAGATGCTCCTAAACCTATACCTGGTGTCAGGAAAGTTAAACAGGTCTAATCTCAAACACAAGACAAAGCTCCCCCATATACCACCTATGAATGCCAGAACAGCACTCGAGCGGTTGGGTGGCCAGCACTACGCCCGGTGGCCTTTGTCTTCCGAGTGGCAACGTTTACACGCTGCATCAGATACTCATTTAAGGCTGAATACACCTAGGGGAGGCTCAACCGGTTCAGATAATCATCACTGCTGTTGGCCATGAGCGGGAATTGAACTAGGGTCGCCGGGTTGGTGGCGCAGCGCAACTAACAACTGCACCACCACTTTCCACACACACAACAACAACAACAACCGCCATTCGCCACTAAGTGGTGGTGACGTCACCACGACGCTTGTGCCAGGCTATGTGCACCTTGAGGCCACGTGAAGCGCGCACACACGCGCGTACGAGGTTATAAATTGTGTCGTTGCTCTATCCTGTAAAGAAGAGGGCAGCACTCTCCCTAAACGTTTTTAGTGTTCGTCGCATGACAGTCGCAGCTATATTTTAATTATCAGAGCTGGAATTTTGCACAAATTAAGTGTAGAACCAAATTTGATATAATTGTGGTTTTTTTTGGCAGTCAATGGTTTAGACCATCAACTCACTACACTTGGAAACTGTTTAATCATAAACCTGGTCTAAGTCTATGGGGTCTGTGGCTTTCTGTGAGTCTACAGGTCTATATGTAGTTCTGGTTCCATAAGTAAGTTATTGGTGACTGGGCTGAGACCATCAACTCCCTACACTTGAGAACAAAGTTTAATCAGAAACCCAGTCTACGTAAGTATGTGGCTCTCTCTTTGAGTCTTCAGGTCTCTATATATGTCTCTGGGGTCTCTTTGTGAGTCTACAAATCTGTGAGTCTCTATGTGAGTAAACTAATTTTTTACTCATTGGTTTTTTCGGTAAAGTCACGTATGTAGAAATACAATAAAATTATATTAAAACAAAAAACAATCACGACGTTTCGATCACAACGCAAGCGATCTTCATCAGGTGTCAAGAACAAATCACGGAGGTAAATCCAACAAAAAGATGAGAGACGAGAATTCAACAAACCTGAAAAAACATTATATGAAGCACATTCAGTCAGGCCAACAACACAGTTAGACACTTCCTGGCGGACCACGAATTTCAGAAGAGAGTTAAATTTCGTGTTCAACCTTTGGAGTGCACATACCAGCATAGATAGAATATAATTTTATTGTATTTCTACATACATGACTTTACCGAAAAAACCAATGAGTAATTTTATGCAGTCACGAAAGCTTTAATACTTTATTAAACAATTTTTATTGGTGACAGCTGAGACCACCATCAACTCGCTCGACTTAGGACCCCGGATGAATTGCAGGCGGTGGCTGAATCCCGGATAGGAGCCCAAGCTCTCAGCACCGTTGCGAGCTCAGCGTTTCTCCCGTGTGGGCCACACTTTGGACGTGACCACTACCACGATTATTTTTACTCTTACTGCGGCTGTAGCCTATAGTTGCTGACTCTTGACCGAGGTTGGGTGTTTGTTGGTCATGCGGTTGTGGCTGTTTTATTTGGTCAGCGTTGCACTGTGCAGATATCTGCCCGACACACGGAACACCTCTTGCTGTACGTCCTCTTGCAGTCACCACACTCTTACATGGCAAGCCGAGGTGGGCGCCTCATGCGGGCTCCACATCCCAATCCCCACGTGATCCAGCAACCCTCTGCTCGCTGCGTTTGTACGAGTGAACTGCTAATACTCCAGAACCAATTGTTGTTCCTCCGTTTTTACTTGGACATTTTGTACTGGACCGTCTCTGCCCCTGCCTCAGGCCCCCCTTGCTAAAAGAGGCTTTGTTGTGACCTGTAAACATATCTATACGCTTGCTCACCGAGGAAACTCTCCCCAAGTCTCAAGACTTTTTGCAGGAAGGGTCCTGCCAAGTTTTTGCGGTAGGGGGCGACAGTTGTCGCTGAACCGTTTCCCAGTTGAGTAACTTGCAGCGTCATGTTTCTAACATTTTTGTTTATATTTGTTAATAGCCTCTGCCAAATTTGGACCGTGATGCTGGCATGTGACGGCAATGCTCTTCTTCGAAAGACGCCGCCGGATCTGTGCCGCCCACTGTAAGGGAACCCAGACCGCGCGTAGTGCTCTGTACAGGTAACACGCGCTGTGTTTAATAATCGGGGCGGCCTGCCGGATTGCAACTGCAACGAGCGGTGAAGGCACTGCTGCAAAACCGTGCAACCCTCACAGAGGATGCGCGTGCAGTGTACTGGGTAGCGTAGCGAAATCGCCTAGCGTAGTGGGTTACGAATCGGGTTTTGAATTGGGTAGCGGTTTCATCTAGGTATGTTGAACTTCATTCGCACCATACGTAGCCAACCGTGGGAATGATGCGCGGAGGCGCCGGTCACTACCAATTGGGCTCTCACGACGTGCGTGTTGAGTTGTGAGCGTCTGTTTTACGTGATGTGCAAAGAGTATGCAAGTTCTATGCTAATGTTGCCTCCAGGCCACTCGAACAAACGAGCAGAAAACCTCCCAGACGGGTGAATCGAGACGGACGATGGAAAGGAGATGGACGAAAGGAGACAGATCGGACTAGAGAAACTATACAAACAAAAGGGCACAAACAAGACTAAATGTCATTGATTCTGGAATCGCAGAATATTTGTCCATTTACTGTGGGGGGGGGGGGGGGGGGGTTGTGCTGGGTGTGGTGGAGAGTTGCTGCGCATGGTTGTCAAGTGATGAGTGGCCAATGTTTACCGTGCACAGCTGCCCGGGGGCTCACGGTGGCTCCTGCGTCAGCCACTCCACCCCCCACTCACCCCCACCCCCTCCACACGAACATCCCGCTAGCGAAGCGCCGATCATGTCAACCTTCATAGGTCGGGGAGGGGGGGGGGTTAGGGCAAAGGTCTCCCGTATAGTCTTCACAGACTGTTGGGGCAAGTGCTGTGAGCGAGCACCTATGAAGGCAGGAATGGCACACAAAGGGGGGCGGTGGCCAACACCACGCCCGACCGCCTTTGTCTCCCCAGTGGCAATGTTTATATACTGGCAACTTGGGTCACTGGGTTCAGTGAGTAACGCGCTAACCGCTGTGCCACCGTTCCCCACTGACCCAGCCAATGATGAAGTGCTCATGTTGTTGTTGGACGGTGTGTTGATGGGTAGCTACTGTATGTCGGTAGGTACGTGTGTGTGTGGGTACGTGTGTTGGTCTTTGTGGGTAGGTGCTTGCGAACAGTACTTACCCCAGTCTGTTAAAGGCCATACGGGGGATCTTTGTCTTTGTAAGTATTGCGTACCGCGTGTATTTTATCAGTTTGTTACGTTGTCCACTGCGGTGGCCTCTCGTGCGTTCCCACCTGGCCACATGTACCCATCCAGCTGACAGGTGAACGTGTGGCGCGCAGGTGTCCGGCTTGGGCCTCGTGATCGTGGGGGCACTGGCGCAGGCCCACGTGGGGGCCTTCGGGAAGCTTTCGGACAACGCCACCACAGGGGCCCCCGTCCTCCTCATCGTCGTCGGCTCCATCATCTTCGTCGTCGCCTTCTTCGGCTGCTTCGGCTCCATCAAGGAGAACCGCTGCATGCTGGGAACGGTGCGTCGCAGGGCGCTCCGCCGTGCAGGGCAGGGTGCTCCATGCAGGGTGCTCCATATAGGATGCTCCGTGCAGGATGCTCCCTGCAGGGTGCTCCGTGCAGGGTGCCCTGCAGGGTGCTCCCTGCATGGTAGGGTGCCCTGTGCAGGATGCTTCGTGCTCTGTGCAGCGTTAAAATGGATTTGAATCACCACTAAACCGGTAAGTCATCACACTGCAAGTGGAGGAACTGGTCTTGACATTTGCCCCCCCCCCCCCCCCCGCTATCCCTGCATGCCACAGTTCACGGCGTTGCTGGTGATCATCTTGCTCGTGGAGATCGCTGCCGGCATCGCCGCCTTTGTCTTCAAGGACAAGGTGAGGGGATGGGACGTTAGTTGAGTTCGCTTTGATTATGTTCAATCCAGGTGAGAACCCAAGCAAGACCAGGGTAGAGTTTCATCTGCCATAGTGGCCTGGGGGCGTGCGCATGATCCCAACCGGAGTGATTTTGTGGCATCATTTTTCGAATTTGGAAAATGTGGACGGTGAGACGCCGGCAGCACGCAACAGGCCCGCTCTTGTTAATGATGTCGCAAGCGAAGCGGGACAGCGCATGGTGTTAACTCGGTTTTTTCGCACGCACGCGCGCCGCAGTAATAACTTGGGTCCGCCCGCCAGATTCTCGAACCGCAAACCTCCGCAATGAGCAGCAAATGCGCCGGTGCCGTGTCGTCACCGCTCGCCCTGTCCTCTCTCCGCAGATCAAAGGCTACTTCACCAAGGACCTCGAGGCCCTGTACAACAAATACCCCGGCAAGGCCGGCGAGGCCAAGATCATCGACGACATGCAGCAGAAGGCAAGTGGGCCACGGCTACTCTCGCTATGACCGCCCCCCTCGGGGCCCACACGCCGCCGGGCTCTGTGGGTCCTTGGCAGCCTGGATTTGGACCCCCCCACCACCCCCCTCCCCTCGACTGATCACGGTCACCCCCACCCCATCCCACTTTCAGGGCCAATGTTTTACTTATTTGCTTACCATGTTCTACTCATTCATCCACGAGAGCCACATGGAGTCACGGGGTTGTTTTCACGATCCCGCCTGCTGCATTGGGTTTTTATTTGTAAGATGTGTTCAGCCGATTAACGATGATGAGTTGCGATTTTATTCAAGTGGGAAGAGGAAACCGGAGCACCCTGAGAGAAGCCACGCCTTGCGTGAGAGGGCAGCAACGGCTCTATCCCCGTACAGATGGCAACAGAAGGAAACTGGTCCATACTTTGCTTTACCGCCTTTTCCTGGGCGAGCCAGGGTACGGCTCCTCAACGCCCACCCACGGGAAGGGAGTTTCGCAACACCTTGTGCGGTGGTTCACCGACCCTCGTTGCTGCCTCCACAGTGCTGGGTTACAGGCAGCCACACGCAGCGTAGCCAGCACGAGCGAGTCGAGAGATGCAGCCTCCACACAGGGAGGCCTTAATCGAGCTGTCGAATTGCACGTTGCTACACGTTGTCGTTGTTGCTGTGATTCTCATCGCCTTGGCGATTATCCTGGGTGGCGCACGGTGAGGCGTGTTTGATGGAGATGTCCTCCATCACGCCAGGAGTGGCGTCCCAGGGACGCTCTGCATCTCGCATCTCATCTCTGAGCATTTGAATGGGCGCCCCCAGTGGCAGCTGTTCCTGTGCGGTACAAGGTTACTCAGCACCTCATGTGCGAGCGGGCGTTAATTATGATAAGCACATTTATTTGACCAGCACCACAGTTCAATGTCACAAGGCCAAAACCTGTCGCGATGCCCGAGTGTAGAGCGTTGTCAGTAGGGGCGATAATAGCTGCTGCTCCTGCTGCCGCCTCTGCTGCCGCTACTACTGCATAATCCCATTTGAGTGATTCGCGGTGTACTTCATCGAATTTGGCAAAATGTGACCGTGACGCCGGCACACTCGTTTTAAATGTCGCGGGATCTTTACCATCCGCTGTGAAGCATACGGTCGCTTGCTGTTTTACGGTTAATATCACAACCGTGGGTAATAACCAGGGAGGCCTGTCAGGTTCGAACCTCGAATCCGTGCTGGGCCTGCATTTGGCGCCAATTGAGAGGTGACGGTGTGTTCCTGTGTCTGCGTGTTCAGCTCCAGTGCTGCGGCGCTTTAAACTACACGGAGTGGTTGAATTACACCACCTGGAATAATGTACAGGAGCATCGTGGCAGCACTCCAGACTCCTGCTGCATACAAGTAACAACTGACTGTGGCAAGGGCAAGGCACTAGAGGCGGTCCCACAGAATATCTTCACAAAGGTAAGGAGACACGGAGTGGGGTGAGGAAACTGGGTGCTGTGGGGAGACACGGGGTGCGGTGACGAGACACGGAGTGCGGTTGTCTTCCCCAGCCCTGTGTGCCGGAGCTCGAGAAGACGCTGCATGATAGCCTCGTGTGGATCGGAGCCGTCGTTCTTGGCATAGGTCTGGCCCAGGTAAGAGGGCCACCCCCACACGCTGACCCCCACACGCTGACCCCCACACGCTGTCCTCTATGCGGTAGTGAGTCAGGAGGCTCTAAGTGTGTGAAATTAACACTTTTGTTTTACTTTTAGCTGGTGGCTAAAATTCAGAGATGCAGAAAGAACAGTGAGGCGGGGGAAGTGAGGTGGCAGGGGCGGGGCCATAGCACCCGCCCCAAAACTCTCTGCATCCCATTTCGTGACCCGAACAGGAATTGCTGGCAATCTTGATTCACCGTGACGACCTGGCGACTCACCGTGGCCACCACCCCCTCCCGCCTCACTGGCCGTGTGTGTGTGCGCTGCCACTTTTGCGTTGCAGATAATCGGTGTCATGCTGGCCTGCTGCCTCATGAAGGGGATCAAGGACACGTACGAGACCTTCTAGCCCACACGCCGCCACGGCCCCCGACGCCTGTCGCCCACCCCCCTACCCTCCCTCTGTCCTCGTGTCCCCAACACGATACCAAATCCCTCACCATCAACCTCCTTCACTATCAGTCCCTCTGGAGTTTACCACCCTCCTGCTCTGCTTCCCCTGAGAGGGCAGTGCGGGCGTTGCACTCCGCTCTGCGTTTAAATCGTCTGTGCACCCCCCCCCCCGAAGGGCCAGCGTTACTTCTCCCATGGGTCCCTGTGGCCACAGCTCAATTCGGTTCTGCCAGAGGTGGCACATCTTGCTTGTTGCGATCGCTGCGTTGTTGCTGCTGCTTCTGCTGCTGTTGTTGTACGGCTTCGTGAATAGCAACTTAATACCGCTCACCGTGAATGTCCAATAATAATAGCGACAGATTGTGCGTTAACTTGCTTGTCAAACAGCGTTAGTGCATACTGTGCTTTATTGATGGTGTAGAGATGTTGGCACAGCTCAAGGGTTGCTATCTCAAGGTGGGACCGTGGCCGCGGGTTGAGGGGGAGCAGGGGGTCTCCCCCCATCACGGGGACATCAGACGGAGGCGGGGAGGATTGGGAGAGAGCGGGCAGGGGTTTGTGAGAGCGACTGGGCCATGGCCTCGCACTGTAAACACCAGCAGTGAGAATCGAGTGAGATGTTCCATCGGTGTGATCGGGATTGGAGATTCGGATCAGGCTTGGCTGTGCATTTTATGGCTTGGCCCAATTTGGTTTGGGTTGGGTAGGACCCCCCCGATTCGCTGATGCCATCATAGAAACGGCTCTCGAGCTCGTGTCTCATTGGCTAGTACGCTATCTCCCTGACCCCCCTGACCCCACCCCCTAACAGATTGCACTTACCCCTCCTGTTGCCAGGTGTGACTGTACACCAATTGCTTTTCGCTGCACGCATATTCACAGCCTCTTCATAGTGATGGCCAACCATGGCCCTCTCCTGGCCACGGTGGATCTGAACCCACAAATGCCACAGCTCCCTTCCCACCTTCCTTCCAGCTGCATTCCTACCGCTCTACCCCCTTATACGACTTAACAAAACATTCCAGCTTGTATAAGTAGACAAAATAACATAACCTCGTTTAGTGATATTTTCTCGTATAATTTGAATGTAATTGTACTTTCTGTGCTTGCGTAGACTAGTGTCATTGCTTAAAACTATAGTAAGAGCTATATCTGTAAAGTCCCACGGGAAAATCCACATCTTGATGACGGTGGTGGCACGTTGCGATCTCTACGAAGGTCAAACGCATTGGATCTCGCATCTTCGTGTTGCGCGTGCCACTGTCCGAGACGGTGAGAGCGAGAGGAATAAATCTGCGGACCCATTGAGATCTATTATTCAACAACTTGACCCTCGGAGATTTATTCTAGCAGAGCAGTACTGCACCGACTACCCAAAGATGGTCACGCACGTGGGCCAGCCATTGCAGTAGCCATGTGGACTCGCGGTGGCGATTGTTGCCGAACAACGCCGCGGTTTGACAAGACTCCCAACAACGTCGTGAGTTCACATCCTGGTCGCGGGGGTCGACTCATAGACCACCCCCAACCCGTGTGCGTCACCCGCATCACTTCACTAAGATTAAACCGACTTTCAGAGTCGCGATTCGATTCCGGAATTCCCTTCTGCCACTGGTTGGGCCTGCATGTAGACTGAGTCGTAGCTGCAGTGTTTATGCGAATCCAACCTGCTGTCATGCGGTTGTTAGGTGCGTGACGCGAGCGGAAGAATGGGACCCCATTGAGAGGCACTCGCTCTCACGATCTTGAGTGTCGCTGCTGTCGAGCTTAACGCAGGCACCCGCCTCCACGCGGTGCCGAACCCTGAGGTGTGCGGAGCACGGCGGTGTAAACTCAACCCTGGCCTCCGTTTGATAAATAAATAATAAAGGCATGGTCTATTCGGGGTTGACAGCCGTCCGAGCCTCCTTGTGTGTGCGAGGCTGCTGAGCCTTTCCCCAGGAACTTCGGTCTCCTCCCACACAACAAACTGGAGCTTAAATGACCTCAAGGATGTATCAAGCCTGGCACATGCGCTGCAGTGACATCACCGACGCTTCGTGGAAAATGCCGACTGAAGGAATCCATGTCACCTAAAGGTTTTTGGTGGGCTGGAGAAAAAATGCCAAACGAGGCACCCCCCACCCTTGCTGAGGCCCACTCAGCCTTCTGCCCCACCTAAACTGCCACAACCCTTCTCAACCTGTGTACAGCTAAGTGTTGTGTGGGTTTAGTTGTACAAGCCACAGAGAGGAGTGTCTGCATGTGCCATGTGGTGATGTATAGCAGTATAATAGCAATGCTTTACATGGTGAGTGCTGTCAAATTTGTAAAGCATGCAGATTTTCAAACAGTTAACCAAGCTTTGATCCTATATTTGGATGTCTGGTCCAAGTAGTTTGGTAGGTGCAGCTATGTAAGAAAATCGTAGGTGCCCAGAAGGTGCTTTGCACTCAACTCTCCAGAGTATCGGAGGTTGTGGAGCTTGGTCCAGCTATTGTTGGGAGATGTCCATGAATCGGTCACCTGCTATACAGGAGTACGTGGGTTTGATCCTGGACCCTGGTGATGCCTGTTGTATATTTGGAGCCTACTTGTTTGCTCTCCCCATGTTGGTCGCGTGGATTTTTCTCCAGGGTTCCTGTGGTTTTGTCCTGTTTAGAAACATCCATTTAAATTATTTGGCAGCAACTATAAATGATGGCCATATGCGATGGATAAGATGATGCCGAGTTCTGGACTGGTGGCAATATTGCTTCTAAGGCAGTGTGTCGAGTGATTTTTGTACCACAGCCCTCTATATTTGTCTGTGTGGAGTGCACTGTGTGCCCCAATGTGATTCAAGTTACCGAGTCAGATGCAGGTTACAGGAATAGTTTTAGTATTTTTTTAGACAATAAAAACGCCAAGTCTGGTATAAAACCTATTATCAGTTCACTTGGGATGGTGCCAATATTAATTTTGATCAAACTTGGCGTTTGTTTAAAAACACAAACCCAACATTCTTTACCAATATACAAAATGTGTACATTAATAACATCTACACACTGCATTGAGCACTCGCGCACACAAACCCCATTCCCTTTCAGGGGGACCGCCATTCGCTCACGGCTGGAGGCGCGACGTGAGCGCGTGCTGGAGTCGCGCAATGCTGGCATCAAGAGAGGCCAGGCCGTGGCGGAACGCGCGGTCGTCGCGCGACGTGAACGTCGATGTCGACGCTAGTGACCCAGAGCCCACCGATGAGAAACTCCAGTCAGGCAGCGGCCGCAGCGGCCGCAGCACAGGAGGGGGGCGGCACGCGTCGCTCCCCGCGTCGCTCCCCGCGTCGACCTCCTCGCCCCCCGCCTCAGCCCAGCGTTGCGCCGACCCTCCCGGGGGGCCCCAGCCGTAACCGGCGCCGCCCGCCTTCGCTAGGGGGGACGCGATCTCTGAGCCGGGGTAGCTTCCCGCGGCCGACGGCCACTTGGCTGCTGGGGGAGCAGGGAGCAAGGGAGGAGGGGAGGGCGGGGGCTCGCTGCCCATGGGCCGGACGGGCGCGGGGTCGAGGTAGTCCGTGTCGTCGTGGGTGGTGGACAGCGGCGTGCTCGAGCGGTCCAGATGCGTGGCGACGATGCCTGAGGCCGTAGCGCCCGTGGCGGTCGTGCCGGAGGTTTGCGAAGCTCTCGCAGCTTCTCCCGAGGGCTGATCAGGTGTAATCTGACCCCCGTGACCCTGGCCCCGGTCACCGTAACCCCTACTGGTCTCCACCGTGACACCTTGACCCGTGCCGTCGTTACCGCCAGCGCCGTGAGCTGCACCGCCCATGACGTCCCAGTGGCCCTGACCTCCTCCACCACCACCGCCGTGACTTGCGCCACCCATGCCCCTATCCCAGTGCCGTGCAGAGCCGGAAGCCCCGTGCTGGAGCAGGCCCTGCGGTGTGGGTGTCGGGCGGGCGAGGGGTGGTGCCACGCTGGGGGGCGAGCAGGAGCCTGGCCGCACGGGGGGTTGCCGCACGTCACTGCTCAGCTCCGACAGCAGCCGCGTCATGCTGCCCTGCAGGGTCCTGCTCCGCAAACAAAGACACAGATCCCCCATATAGCTTTACCAGACTGTTGCGGCAAGTGCTGTAATGATGGCCAGCATGGCACACAAGAGAGTAGGTGTAGCCAGGACCACGCCTGACCGCCTTTGTCTCCCCAGTGGCGATGTTTCTACACTGCACCAGGTACTCGCTTGACGCGGAGTCAACCTAGGGGACCGGTTCAGATAATCGTCACTGATGTTAGCTGCGAGCATGAATCAATCTCAGGTCGCCTGGTTCAAAGCGTAGCATGCTAACCACTGCGCAACCACTCCCCACAGGCAGAAGCACACATTGGCGTGTGTATCTATACGTGGATGCGTGCCTGTCCATGTATCCACGTGCGGTCCATGTGTGTGCTGCGTCCCTGCATGTTTGTGAATGTCCGTGTGTGGGCGTATGTCCATACACGTGTTCTTGTGTCCTTGCGCATGTGTTTATGCACCTGTATCTGTGTCCGTGCGTTTCCTTATTTCCCTGCAAGAACGTCACTGTGTGTCGCTGTGCGCATGCGAGAAGTGGACGTGTGTCCCCTGTGGGTGTGCGTACGCTGAAAGTTGACGCAACGAGTGCAGCTCCTGCTCCCTCTGCACCAGCGCCGCGCGGAGCCCCTCGGCCTCATCACGCGACGCCTGCAGCTGCTCCCGCACGGAGCGCAGGCAGCACAGCGCCTCGTCCACCTCTACCGCGAGGCAGTTGGGGGGAAGGGAGACATGGTGGGGGACACACACACACGGGGAGACACGGGAAGATGTGGGAAGACACGGACAGGGACACGGGTGATGCAAGGAGACATGGAGAGACACGACCCAGGGCACGGGGCCTGCGTGTGCAGCTACCACACAGGGTGGCACCTTAAGCTATGCTGTCGCCAAACACCCGAACGGCGGGGCCTGAGATTCGCCACTCGCGACAGTGGCCCTAACGATGACAATCGCCGCTTTTGATTGAGCGCCTTTTTGTGCTGGGACGTCTTAAGAGCAGCTGTCGCAGTACGCCACAAGGCGACTCCGCACCTGGCCTGCAAACAGGTATCAGTCTGCCGATAGGGGGCAATGATCGCTGCTGTGTGTGTGTGTGTGATCTCAATGGGGTCATTTACGGTCTCATTTTAGAATTTGGCAAGAAGAATTTAGCCCATGACGCCAGCAACAAAAGGGCCTATTCTTGCGAATGACGTCAGGATATCTTTAACTTATGATCAACACACCCAGGGATAAGCAGATTCCAACCGCGAACCTCTGCAACAATCGTGGGACACGCCATCGCTGGGCTGCATTATCGTGTCGTTAAACGTGGCCGAAATCGCAGTGGATAAAATCAGGCACGTGGCCCTCCAGGCCGCAGGCCCGGCAGGAGCTCAATAGCAGAGCCCTCGCGTGGTTTCAATCGGCGTGACCTGAACACTAATTCAGTGCTCACACAGCGGCGATACACCTCTGCGCGTTCCACATGGTTAGCGCGATCGTATTACGGTCGCGTCGTAAACATTCACGACCACATGGGTGGCAGTGCAGTGGTGACACTCGTGTATCGCAGCAAGAAGTTGCTGAGTTCCATTGCCAACTTGGGCACAGTTCTGCGTGGCGTTTGTATGTTCTCCCCGGTTTACTTCCACAGCTAAACCCACATGCAGTATAACCGGTGTCGTCCAAAACATCCCCAATGCTGCCAAAAGACACCGCAAATCACTCAATTGGAATCACACAATCAGAAGCAAGATTGCCCACGATTGCGAGAAACTTGACAGGACCCTCCTGAAAAAGAGCGAGGCTTCCCTGGACGAACGAGCGGAGTCACGACCACTAGGGACGAGCGGCTCGTTTAGTGGGATTCACGCCAACACGACGCACCCTCACGCACACGCGCTGCCTCCTCCTCCCAGTGCGCCGTTCCCAGGCTCTCGGGTCCTCTCGCCTCCGTGCCCCCCACGACGACCCCCACGCCCTCCCTGCCGTTGGGTCCCGGCCCCCCCCATATTCGTCCGAGCTGGCGGGAGAGCTGGTCATGGCGCCCCCGCTCGGCCTGCGTCTCCGCACGACTCCGGCTCAGCTGCTCCTGCAGCGCCGCGTTCGCCGCGCGCAGGTGCGCCACTTAAGCGACACGTGAGGGAGACACGTGGGACGCGAGGGACACACGTTAGACGCGAGGGAGACGAGAGAGACGCAGTATGAGGTGGCACGAGATGTGAGGTCGGAGGCACGACACGCGTCTCACCCCACGTGTTGCCAGTCGTGCGACTGGCAGCGCAATGTCATGAGATTAATTTAGAACTCTCGCGGTGAGTCGCAGGATATCGCATGTTAGGGAATGACCAGGAAGATGACGTCACAGTGTGACTTGTGAGGTCACTCATTCTCAGCACTAGCGGCACACCGTCTCACACTCTCCGTAAAGAGCATGTGTTTGCAAACCGGTGGCGGTGGTAGCTACTACGCTGTACATGCTCTGTAGTCCATCGCTATGGAGGCAACAGCAAGGGTTGGTGGAACACACACATGTTGTGAAACTCCCTTGCCGCTGATGGCACCGAGAAAGTTGTTGAAATTATCCAATGTTAAAACAAGCCACCCTCGGACGCTGACGGTTTTTGTCCAGTCATTGGTGACGGCACTAAGACCAACAGCTCAGTAAACCCGAGAAGCTGGTGATGATCTCAGCCCGGTCACTACTGGGTGCACAAAAACAACCACTTAATTTAGCTGAATTACAGTGTTGGTTTGAGACTGTTCTGTGACGGACATTATTCCGAGTAACAGGGCAGGTAGGAAAGAGCTGCTCCTAATGTGTGGATCAGAGGCCACTTGAAGGGATCTCAGAGGTGTCTCTGCGATATCCGCTTCCGTGGGCCGTGCTCTGACACAGTAAGGGGTTCCGCTGCTCTGCAAAAGACCCGTGTGGTTACACCGTCCGTGACGCCGCACCACCGCCAAACGCACGATCGCGTCAAGCCGGGGGAATCGTCGCCGTGTTTCGTAGGGCAGGGGGCATCACTTACACTCGGCGTTCGAGCCAGGGTCCGGCCGCTCCCTGTCGCCGCGCTCACGCTCCCTCAGTTGCTGCGACAGCGTCTGCACGCGCCTGCGCACGACACACGCAGTGTACGGAGCGTGCTACTTGGTTTCAAGAGGCACGGCACAAATTCCACACCAGCTGCCCACATGGAATCGCGTCGTCACGAGAACGTAGACAGATGCGCACTTAGAACTCCCGACGTCGCACGGCCTTGACCATGACACCCGGGTGTCCAGCCCGTGTAGACTCTGCAAGCGGGTCTCTCCTTGTACACGAGAAGGGCATCACCTCTCAGATGCCCTGCCGAGGGTGTTTGCTGCAAGCTCACCCTTTGGAGCCGTAACGTGGCAGAGCGAGCGAGCAACGAACCAAACGTAACACAATGGTTGTGCAGTCATTGGAGACCGAGCTGAGAGGATCTGCTAGCTGTGGTGAGCGGTGGTGAGTGGTGGATACAGTGTGACGCGGTGGTGAGCGATGGTGAGCTGCGGGTACTGGCGAAGTGCTGTGGTGAGCGGTGGCGAGCGGTAGCGAGCGGCGGTGAGCGGTAGATACCGGTGGAGCACCGAGTTCTCGCTTCGCATGAGCGCCAGGGTGCGTGAGGGTGACCCCGGCGACCCCGTGGGCTGCGGGAGCATTGCCTCTGCCTGCTGGTCGGGCTCCGGCAGGGCCGTCGCCAGCAGCACCACGCTGTGCTCCAGCTCTGCCAGCAGGCGCACGCACGCGCGCACGTCCTGCCGCGCAAGCAGCTCGCGCAGCTGCGCCAAGCCGCGCGTCACCGCCCCCGCTCTCCTCGCCGCCTCCCCGTGGCCCCCCCCAGGCTGCGTGCCCCGCGCCACCGCCTGGTCCGAGCCCACGTCGTCGTCGCGGTCGTCGTCGTCGCGGTCGTCGTCGTCCAGGCCATCCCGCTCGGCTCTCCCGTCTGCGCCGAGCGCCGTCACGGGGCCATGGTGGCCCCACGCCGCTTGCTCCGGGAACCTGCGTGGAGGAGACGGAGCGGACGCGTATGGGGTCACGGGGCGCTCGGTGAGCATCACGGGACGGAACAACGTGCACTCACACACTCTGTAGAGCAGGGGGAGAATATAGCAACTCCACATAGGAGTTGGTAGGCTAAAGCCTACGTGTTAAACTCCACACAGGAAGGCGCACGAGTTGGGAACCAAACTTTGGCCCTTATTGCCGTTAGGCACGAGTGTCACCACTGTGCCGTCACCCGATGTGGTTGCCTTGACAGTGGCCGCACCTGTCCTGGGGCACGTCCTCTTCCCCACTGGCGTCCGTCGTCACTCGGGCCTCCCACTCGGGCTGCAAGGCCATGAAGCGCGCATGGGCCCCGTCAGCCCGCGCCAAGTCGGCCCAGCGGTCCCCGGCCCAGGGCGCGCCACCCTCGGACGCCGGCGGGAGGAGAGAAGGGGCAGTGCCGCGCGGTGCCGTGGCCGGCGTCACGGCAACTGGAGAGGTCGCCGCGGTCACCGTGGCCGTCGCCGTGGAGACGGGGACGTAGGCGGAGTACGCGTGCTCGCTGCTCGTGATTGCCTGCTCGCACGGGGCACAGAGGCGGTGCGCAAAACCGCGGCTCTTCGTTGCCGTTTCTGAATCAGTGGCCGAGCACAGAAACCCAAGGCCCAAAACGCCAAGTGGCCAGCAACCAACAACACTACTGAAGGTGCAATAGAACCCCATGTCTCCCTTGCAAAATAAGCTTATCTCACGAAGCTCTGAGATCAAGGTAATATATGCGATTATTCCTGGCCTCGTATGTCATGTGGCATCTGCACTTGGCCTGGGCTTCATTTAAATCAACTTGGCCTATTATATTTTTAATCACGGTTCTTGAGCAGAGACACAATGCCCCAAACGTCCAAGTGTCCAGCAATAAACTACACTATGAACGTGTAATAGGTAAGAGTGTAATACGTTTCTTAAAATGAGCGAGGTTATTATTGCTAACAACTTGCAGAAAAGAGATGACAGAGGGAGTTGTGCGAGGGAAGAGACTGGAAGTCTGACGTTTAGGAGGTGGGGGCCGATGATGGGCGCATGCGTGTGTGCGTATCCATTTGTACTTGCCTGAGCACGTGCGTGTCCAAGCGTGTATCTGTCCATGTGAGTGCATCAATGTGCATTAGCCTGTGTGCATTTACGTTCATGTGTGCGTGCGCCTATGTGCGGGGGGGAGGGGGTGCGATGGAGAGTTCAATTCCCGCTCATGGCCAAGATGAGTGGGGAACATTTTAATCAGTCCTGGTCTTCTCCTAAGTCGATTACGGCCTTAAATGACTAACTGGGTAGCGTGCAAACATCAGCATTGGGAACATGAAGACGTCCGGGCGTGGTGCTGGCCACACAGCCCCCTTTGCGTGCCGTTCCGGCCTTCGTCGGCCCTCACAGCACTCGCCCCCGAACACCCTAGACAGGCCACACGGGGTGGGTATCTTTGTCTTTGCGCGCTTGTCCCCGAGCACGCGTGCGCCTGTGTCGACGTGCATGCTCACTCGGGGACTGCTGCTGTACGAGTGCCCTGGCATGGCGGGCGGCGTTGTGGGCTTGGTGGCGGGTAACGGGGCACGTGGCGGCGAGGCGAGCGTGGGCGTGGAGGAGGCGAGACGTCCGTTGAACGCCGTGCTCCCACCAGCCGCCACTGAGAAGCGAAGCGGGCACAAACCACGTGGTGGCGTTAACGGCGCAACACAAAAAATATTTTCTTGCCGTTGGTTACATGCCTAGACCTGACATGCAGCTGCATTTACATTCTATAATTAGAATTTGTAACATGCGCAGTTTCCGTTCTATCTCGAGGAGAGAATTATTGAAAGGCACGGGAAAGCTAACCCACTTGTTGTACTGCCATCACACCATGTGAATAAGCCAGGAGAAGGAGACCTTGACGCCCACAGGTTAGGGAGGGAGCTTCACAAATTGAGTGATCCACCAACCCTCTCTGCCTTTAGTGCTCAATTACAAGCTTGCACCGTGAGCCGTGATCTATCCACTGCTAGCTCAAGGCCTACCCAAGCCGTCACAATCCCTCAGTCCTGAGAGGCAACGTTCCCGAGTGCACTCCCTCCCTCAGCTGCCTCTCCATCACGAATCTCGTTATTCTGCAACCACCGCTTCTAAACCAAATGTTTTCATTTTCATTGAATTATGAAGTTTCCTTTGCAATTGGACGATGGTTGCTTCCTAAATACATGAATATTTCATTAATCTGAATGTCACAAGGGTTAATCAACAGTCCCACATCTGGTACAAACAAGCAATATATGTGTGGGTATATAAAAATATAATTTTGCACATAAGTTTTCCAATAATATAATCATTGTCCACTTCGTGGCTGGAGAATGAATCAGGTCGAATTGGTTCTGCATGCAGAAACAGCAAATCATAGTCTCCACAGGTGCAAATGATTGAATCTCACAGGTGATGGGTCAAATCAACCAATGGGCTGGAAGCAGTGATTAGCCCAAGTCTGCCCAGTTAGGAGGATGCACTGCGAGAGAGGTTGCAGCAACTGGAGCACGGCAGCACGATGGACCAGGAGGACATCAGGTGGTCAGTCAGGGACAAGAACTATACAAGATTAGGGTGTCTATGGGTATGAGAGCCGAATAGGGTTACCCCTGTGTTCAGGGAGTTTGGTGGGGGGAGCCAACTGAGGAGCAGAGGTGAGCGAGTACGGGAGTGGTTGGGTGTGGGCCAGAGTCCCCAAGTGCCTGCTTTGGGTGTCCTGCTATGTATCTAATGTTGAACTTCTTTCACGTGTAATCTCGGAATGCTGTTACCACCATCGCACCCCAATCGTGGTACATACCCGAAGACGTCTTGGTTTAAAATTTGATACACAAATGGGGGGCAAGGGTCCCGAGGACCCCCACATGGGCCCTGGGGTCTCGCACCCGAGCCTCCTGTGAGACTGTATCAAGATTTTTTATTAAATAATTTGGGGAATTTTATCGAGCTTGGATCACAATGGGTAGGAGCCTAGAGTGTGTGGGTCTACGTGAGTCCATGGCCTCTGTTTCTATGTGAGCCTCTGCATAAGTCTATGGGCATAACTGTTAGCCCCTGCGTCCGTCAGTTTGTGGGTCCTCTGCAATTCTATGGGTCTGTCAGTCTATCGGTCCTCTGTAATTCTCTGGGTCTCTTTTAGTCTATGGTCCTCTGCAATTCTATGGGTCTCATGGCAGTCCATGGGTCCACTAATTATGGGTCTCAATAGCAGAGTATGGGTCCAAATGTAAATCTAAGAACTTACAGCCCTTTGTCAATCCACCGCTGAATATAAGAGACATTACCCATGTAGTGTTGGTCATGGGGGTGTTTGACCAATGGTTTACCATGGCTGATCCATGCAGGATATATTGGCTTATTACAGCAGACTCCTATTATTGAAGGATATATCCCCGCCTGTTTAAAAGTACCGAAGTTCTGCTCCACCATGGCGCAGTGTTATTGCGGCCACAGCCCTTGATACCACCACCACCACACCTCACCGCGACCAACGCGTTCTACCCCCTCCACCAGATAGCGCAGCTGCTACACAGTCGACATAGCGACCTCAAATATCTACCCTGAAACCATCCCACCACCTGCTCTAGGACTTCCCCCTTGGTGGCTGGGACTCAGAGACCATTATCTCGGTAACTGGCCCTCATGCGGGCTCCATACATGCTCTACCAAGCGGAACCTTTTCTGCCCAAGCATATCTACAGTGAGGGAAAAAAGTATTTGATCCCCTGCTGATTTTGTACGTTTGCCCACTGACAAAGAAATGATCAGTCTATAATTTTAATGGTAGGTTTATTTGAACAGTGAGAGACAGAATAACGACAAAAAAATCCAGAAAAACACATGTCAAAAATGTTATAAATTGATTTGCATTTGAATGAGGGAAATAAGCATTTGACCCCTCTGCAAAACATGACTTAGTACTTGGTGGCAAAACCCTTGTTGGCAATCACAGAGGTCAGACGTTTCTTGTAGTTGGCCACCAGGTTTGCACACATCTCAGGAGGGATTTTTGTCCCACTCCTCTTTGCAGATCTTCTCCAAGTCATGAAGGTTTCGAGGCTGACGTTTGGCAACTCGAACCTTCAGCTCCCTCCACAGATTTTCTATGGGATTAAGGTCTGGAGACTGGCTAGGCCACTCCAGGACCTTAATGTGCTTCTTCTTGAGCCACTCCTTTGTTGCCTTGGCCGTGTGTTTTGGGTCATTGTCATGCTGAAATACCCATCCACGACCCATTTTCAATGCCCTGGCTGAGGGAAAGAGGTTCTCACCCAAGATTTCACCGTACATGGCCCCGTCCATCGTCCCTTTGATGCGGTGAAGTTGTCCCGTCCCCTTAGCAGAAAAACACCCCCAAAGCATAATGTTTCCATCTCCATGTTTGAAGGTGGGGATGGTGTTCTTGGGGTCATAGGCAACATTCCTCCTCCTCCAAACACAGCGAGTTGAGTTGATGCCAAAGAGCTCCATTTTGGTCTCATCTGACCACAACACTTTCACCCAGTTGTCCTCTGAATCATTCAGATGTTCATTGGCAAACTTCAGACGGGCATGTATATGTGCTTTCTTGAGCAGGGGGACCTTGCGGGCGCTGCAGAATTCCAGTCCTTCACAGCGTAGTGTGTTACCAATTGTTTTCTTGGTGACTATGGTCCCAGCTGCGTTGAGATCATTGACAATATCCTCCCGTGTAGTTCTGGGCTGATTCCTCACCGTTCTCATGATCATTGCAACTCCACGAGGTGAGATCTTGCATGGAGCTCCAGGCCGAGGGAGATTGACAGTTCTTTTGTGTTTCTTCCATTTGCGAATAATCGCACCAACTGTTGTCACCTTCTCACCAAGCTGCTTGGCAATGGTCTTGTAGCCAATTCCAGCCTTGTTTAGGTCTACAATCTTGTCCCTGACATCCTTGGAGAGCTCTTTGGTCTTGGCCATGGTGGAGAGTTTGTAATCTGATTGATTGATTGCTTCTGTGGACAGGTGTCCTTTATACAGGTAACAAGCTGAGATTAGGAGCACTCCCTTTAAGAGTGTGCTCCTAATCTCAGCTCGTTACCTGTATAAAAGACACCTGGGAGCCAGAAATCTTTCTGATTGAGAGGGTGTCAAATACTTATTTACGGCATTAAAATGCAAATCAATTTATAACATTTTTGACATGCGTTTTTCTGGATCTTTTTGTTGTTATTCTGTCTCTCACTGTTCAAATAAACCTACCATTAAAATTATAGACTGATAATTTCTTTGTCAGTGGGCAAACGTACAAAATCAGCAGGGGATCAAATACTTTTTTTCCCTCACTGTACAACACTCCTACTTGTGCTGGTGTCAGACAACCCAGAACAGTCTGGGTGTGCCTATCAATGCAACCATCTTCCTTTAACACAGTTACGTCATGACACACAGCACATGACGACGAAGCGCAAGTACATATCCAATCCTCTGCCCCCCCCCCCCCCCTTCACGGTTCTATGAATAATTATTAGCACTTACAAGTCTCTTTCTTGATGGCGGGGGCACTCGTCCTCCGGGGCTCTGCATGGGCCTTGCAGACTCCATCCGTTCGCGTCCTTGACAGCGACCTCTTAGCCCGAGGCCTTGAGGGGCCACCGGCAGAGGACTTGGCGGGGCGACGCTGGGACATGGCCCCCTGCGGCCCTGCATCATCACGCAGCAGGGAGGAACAATGTTACAGTTAGACACCAAGAAAAAAAAGCGGCTCTAACACCACTATGTAAGGTTTTCGCCATCATGCTGTAACATTACACTCCGGTGTTTTCAGGATGTACCGCGAGTTGTTCGGAACTATGTCTGGCGTAACGCACATAGAATAGGCCGCATGTTGGGCTAGGAGTATAACTACAAACAAGAGCTAAAGTTTCCCTTGAACGCTCCCTGGGTTAGGAGCTTTTGGGGAGCTGTTAATTCGCTATGGTGGTGTTATAAATGGAGGACGGTGAAACTGTAAGTCCGTGTGTGTTTGTGTCACCGTGCATGAGTGTTCCGCGCCGCGTCGCGGAAGCATCTGCCAGCAAGTGGAGCAAAGCATCAAACGTGCTCAGAGAAAGTGAATTAATGTATTGACTTTTAGCGCTCTTATGACAGCACGGGAGTGACTGTCATATTAAATGTATATCCGCTGCAGCGATGTTACTTCAGTGAGACGCCAAAGTCACTTTAAATGGGTTGGTCAGGAGGATAACGGAGCTCTGGTTCATCTTATTCAGCATCTGGTCATGTTAGATGTTAAACACACATGGCCAAAAGTTGTTTTAACATTACTACCAAATCAACAGAGCCCTAATCTCACCTAGATGTCCGCCCGGTTAAGTTGTACCTTCCTGGGCTTGGTTGCTAGGCCGCAGCGGGTACAAAGAGAGAAGATGCAGGCAGGAGAGGGTGGCAATAGAGGAGATGGAGCGAGATGTTTGGCCTACACTAACTGCCTTGTGTGTTTGCTATTGATATGATGATGATTAGGAGCGTGCTTTGTGATTTTGGCCTAGACAGAGGAATTTCTGAAGGGAAAAGGTTGGCAATGAAAGCCAAGATGCCCTGGTCAGAGTGTTCTCAGGAGTAAGCGTGAAGGTTGGTGACCAGAGTGACGGGGCGCTCTGGTAACGGTTAACGCAGTACTCACGTGAGGGCTCTGTGAGCAGGAAGTCCTGGAGCAGAGCAGCGCAGCGATCCAAGCCACGGTGAATCACAGCCACCTGCGGGAGGAGACGCACAATTACAGTACAAGTTAGATTATTAAACATTTACCACATTCAATTGAGGGCGACCCAAGTAAAGGAAGGGGTTAAGCTGGTGTCATTCACAGAAAGAGGTGGAAAACTCTCATTGGGCCCTGTCGTCCATAAAGAGAAGACGGGAGGGAACAAAAGACAACATTTTGCAAATCTATCGGCATCGGGACTTGGACCACCGTGCTGAACTCCCCCGCATAACGGCTCAACTTTTGCCAACCTCTCATAATAAGAGCAACCTTTCTCAATTAAGGAAACCTGATACATTTATCTGCTACAACTTTTAAAGTGATGTTTTGTTGCTCGGCAACAAAAAAGACAACACAGATAGGCACAAGGGCGGAATTGGCCACAAGGCAAGAAAATTGTGTCATTTTCACGAATGGCAAGCAGTGGATTCTCACACGTACAGTTCAACAAAAAACTGGAACTCTTTTTAACTCAACGGGACCACATGTAACACACTCTCTCGTCGTCAAAGAACGGAGCGCGTCTGAGAGGGACGTCCACTGAGGAGATTGAGTGATGAGCGTTGAATTGTTGCATCGTAGGATCGTGAAGGATGGTGGTGGTGGCTTGGGGGCCTTCATCCAGCAGGGGATTGATGGTGGCAGGTGATGATTGAGCACTCATGAGGACCATTGGGACAGCCAATAAAAATAGGTGGGCCAATTAAATTGAAAGATTCATTTGGGCAAATTAGGATTCATCCACCAGTCAGCACGCCCAGCGCTTGGGGTCAGTTGGACAACGATTATAAATCTGTCGCACCTGGTCCTCGGACTCGGTGGAGTAGAGCGAGTATCCCGAGTCTGGCGACACGGCCCTCCTGCCCAGGCTGCTCGACCTGCACACACAAGGTCAGGGGATCTTAATAACAATCTCAACTTGTCGTAAAGCGCCGCCACTGCCACACATCAAAATATTTATTTATACTGGAGTAATCCGATGAGCTATAAAACACTTTTTCACAGATGACAGTGGGCACTCACTCCAGAGTCGCGAGGAGGAACCACTAACGAGCAGGAAGGTACCAGCCACACGGTGAGGAGCTATTACCAAATGTTGGCATTGCTCTGCGGTCCTATTTTATGTTAAGGTGTTGTCAGCCTATTAATGAGTCTCTATATGTGTGGGAAGCCTGAATGCCCATAAAGATGGACATTGGTCGACATTTTGCTGTACCACCACCATGTGAACAAGGGTGTGGCAACTTGACACCCACAGGAATAATCATAATTCAGACTTATACATGTACAGCACCCTTCAAGAGTGGAGTATTCGCTCCCTCTCATGGACTCTATATGTGAGGAGGAACCGCAGACAAGCGGGCAGGAGCAGCCACACGATGATCCAGCGTCAACAACTGGTCAAGCTCTCCGTTTCTCTCTATATAAAGATGCTATGGTCTAATTTAATGTTAATACACGTTGGAGGAAACCGGGGCACCCAGAGACAACCCACTTGTGCAAGAGGACAACACTCGATCCCATGTAGACGAAAACGGGTGGAGTCCACGTTTTTGCTGTACCGCATTCTCCTGGCAAGCCAGGCTATGGCTCCTCCTTGACGCCCACCCACGGGAAAGGAGCTTCGCATCATCTGTGATCCACCAACCCTCGCTGCTGCCTGTAATCCACTGCTGGATTACAGGCACCAGCCTTGTAGGACAGTCTCTGAGCTGCAGTCAACCAATGATCATGGCGATTAGATGTACTGTCTGATGTGGCTGATATTCACAATTGCACCCAATAAAAAAAGCCCACGTCTACAGCTACCACCACCCGGCTTAACACGTAGCAGGTTTTCACAGCTAATATTTACGACTCATATTTTTTTGGGGGTTAGGCCACTAAGTGATCTGGCCAAATCTGTGCAGTGGCCAAGTGACGGGTCTGCAAGGCTGAGCCGCGCATCCACCTCCGCTTGCAGCCCCTGTGCTTGGGGGGTCCGCTGAGCCTGCCAGACGACACCATCTACACATGGGACAAGGACAAAAGATCCCCCCCACCCCGTGTGGCCATCAACAGATTGTTTGTATCGTTAACAAGTAGCGTCTAATGAAGGCCGGCAAGGCAAACGCGGGGGTGGGTGGGTGGCCAGCAGCACGCCCGGCCACCTTTAACTCCACATTGGCAATGATTACACATTTCACCAGGTACTCATTTATCGCTGCTGCTGTAATTGCTACTGCTTATCACTATGCTGATTACACTACTGCTAATGCTGATGATACTACTACTGCTAATGGTATTACCGCCGATACTACTAATGTTGCTGCTGTTACGACCTCTGCAAATGCTGATGCTCCTGATGATACGACTGTTCATGATGCCGATACTACTGTTAACGCTGCTTCTTTACGATACTGCTAATGCACCTGCTGATGGTACTAATGCTGCTGATGATACCGATGAGAGACTGCTTATGCTGCCTCTGACGATGATAATGATAAAAACCGGTGCTAGTGCTGCTGATGGTGGTGGCGATGCGAACTCACCTGGCCAAGCGGCCTGTGTCCCCCTGCGGCCCTGGGCATTGCGGGCGAGACGAGGCCCCGGGCAGACGAGAATGGGGGGCACGGCGGGGGGCCACACGGGAGAGGAGGCAGAGACAGACGGCTAAGGGGGGGGGGGGGGGGGGAGACGGAGCGAGAGAGATCAGAGGGGAAGGGAAGGAGAGAAGAGAGAGCAGAGGAGGGGAGAGGGCAAGGCGTGTAGGGAATCGGAGGGTGTACAGATGACTCTAGAGTAGGGCTGTATATAGAGGGGAAGAGTACGTATTTGAGAGTGTTGTACAGAATAGGGAGTGTGTATACACTAGGGGTGTATTGACTAGTGGCGAGTATAGAAGCAGTTGTGTATAGAGTGGCGTGTATAGTTGTGTATATACTAGGAGTGGTGTGTATAGTTGTGTATGTGTATATACTAGGAGTGGTATGTATAGTTGTGCATGTGTATAGAGTAGGAGTGGTGTGTATAGTTGTGTATGTGTATATACTAGGAGTGGTGTGTATAGTTGTGCATGTGTATAGAGTAGGAGTGGTGTGTATAGTTGTGTATGTGTATATACTAGGAGTGGTGTGTATAGTTGTGTATGTGTATAGAGGAGTGGCGTGTATAAGTTGTGTATGTGTATAGAGTAGCAGTGCAACTATGGTATAGCATAGAGTTGCAGAGAGTAGGATCGGTGATGCAGCAGCAGCACCCAGAGGCGCGCACGTAGCCGGACACTTTCTCCCTGCACCTCGCCGCCGCCGCCTCCTCTAACCGCACGGGGGGACTCCCCTTCTTCTCAGTCGGTCGGCAGCTGTGACTTGCCGCGAAGGAAGCGCGTTCCTCCCCATTCACGCGCGCCTCACTCAGTCTCCTCAAGAGGTTCAGCTCGGCGCGGCCACAGCGCAGCGCCCACTTGAATCAACCGCCAGCTGAGCCGCACCACTCCCCTACTGACCCCCCCCGCCTCTTATAACCTCCGATCCTGACGTCACCGAAAAGTAGTTCCTCCCCCGATTGTGGTGGGGGGTTTCTTCTAAAATCGCCACAGAAGTTTTAGTCGAGTCGAGCGCGCGGTGTAAGTTTTTTTTATTGATGAACGCGTTTTTTTTTGTATTTTCGAGTGAGCGACGTTTGTGTCCTGCCGGGGTGGGAAGTGGTGGAAGGCGCATTGATATTAATCTGCCGGGTCACGTGATTTGGGGGGGGGTGGGAGAGGGGCGGGGGGGGGCGTCCCGCCAAAATCGAGCGCGGCTCGCGCCAGGGGGTGGGGTGGAAGGGGGAGGGGTCGTGTTGTGACGTCATCTCCCGCCAATCCCCGCCTCCCCCCGCGCGCCTCGTGGCGTCCGTCGCCGTGGCAACAGTCCGCGCACGCACGGCTGTGAACCCCTTAGCAGTGAGTGCCCTACCTGGTCACAGGCCGCTTCAGACCTTATTGCTCGCCCCTTATACATCCCAACGTTTATCCTACAAAGTCCCATCACAAGGGTGAAACGCAAACAAATAGACAATAAAACATCTGTTTTTTTTTGCCCGCATTGAAACGGCTGTTACGCCGCATGGACCTGAAAACTCAATTTCCCTGTACCAGAATATGAGTATGCACTACACTACTATACCTGTAAACTCCTTATCAGTGCCTAACTTATTACAAACCAATTCAGACCTTATTGGTCACCCCGTGCCCCTTATAAATCTCAACGTTCGTCCTACAAAATCCCATCATGAGGGAGAAACACAAACAAAACAGATAGACATTTTTTTTTAAATTGTGCCCGTTTTAAAACGTATGTACGCCGTATGGAGCTGAAAACTCAATGTCCCTGTACAAGAATGCGGGGTAAGCCGTATGGGTTGACACGGTATGCGCACGTGCCCATTCACATTCACGATCTGAATACGTGTAATGTATTTTTAGACTGCAAAGAGGAATTCGATGAGTTGTAAATATTTTTTTTCACAGGATGTCTAGCAAGGGGCGCTGGAAAATAAAGTTTCAGAAACAAACAGTACAGACATACGCTGGAAAATAAGAGTTTGAATCACGGCCGTAGCCATGGAGTCAACATTGGGGTGGACCAATTCGTCCAGGGTGTCTGGGGGTCCCAACCCAGAAAAAATATCTACATTTGAAAACTAATTTCCTGCCTAAAATATAAAAAAATATTCACTTACACATGGGATGAACTTTTTATTTATTTTTGACAATGTCTAATAGTGTATTGTATTGCATTGCTCTGTTTTTTTACTTTTTTTTACCATTTCTTGTTTCATTGTATGTAATGGCAGAGATTAGGGATAAATAAAGTACAATCATAACCACAATCAAATAGACATAAATCTATGCATTGATTTTTATGAAGACAAGTCCAGATAGCATAGCAATTATTTTCTTTATAGTAATATATTGAGCACCCCCACCCACCCCCACCCCCCTCTCTGCTGCTGCCGGACCATTGCGGGACCCCCAGTTATTGGAACCTGCACAGTATTCACATTGACACGGGATGTCACCTTCGTTCTGTCATCTATTTCGTTTTAATAATAGGCGCACCTGGGGTGGTCGCGTATAGGGTACCCAAGGAGAAAATATTTGCTATTGTTGTTGTGATCTAAGCTAGCCTCTGTTGACCTTTGTCCTCCCGCCCCTCGCCCCTCCGCTCCTTCGCGTCCCTCCCCTGCCCATTCATGACCCCTAAAGTTACCCCTCTATCGCTATCCATCATTCCTCAACGCGTGCACACCCCCGCCATCTAAATTATTCTACTCTTATAGGAATAGGTTTTACCCTTTTAACTGGCACAAAAACTGACACCTTTATTTAAGGCATCATGTTTGCAATAACCACAACACAAGCAGTCAAAATGCAAACAAACATGATGCCTTGAATAAAGGTGTCAGTTTTTGTGCCAGTTAAAATGGTAAAACCTATTCCTATATCTTGTTACTGGCAAAGGAGGTCTCATAATGTAAATATTCTACTCTTGTCACCGTTTTGTAAACTATGTCAAGCGCCCCGAGTTGAAGGCGCTCTATATAAAATACAATTCAAATTCGATGTAGAGAGGGGGGGGGGGGTCTATTTAAAAATGTGTACATTTGGGAGGATGAATACGTGGAATCCGTGAAAGCAATAATTTGCTGATTAATGCCTGGGTTGCGGTTGTTGAGTTTCTCTGTGGTCATTTTTGTTGTTGTTGTTGTCGTTGTGCAGGACACGCGGATGAGTTTGATTCTCGGCAATGGGAACTGGCCACATCGAGTGCACGATCAAATGTGAGTGGATTGTTTGTGTTGTGCGGCAATTGGCTGAGAGCATCAACTCCGTCCAGTCGTCCCTGAGCTGCTTCTCTTTATGGCCTTGCCTCACCAGTGTTAGACCAGCGAACACCAAAAGGCGAACAGCACATAGGTAATGCAAATATCAAAGCATGAATAGCTCGGGTTGAGCAGTTATATGTATGTTAATATCTCTGTTTTATCCTAAAGCATTATAGGGCAATCAGTTTCAAAGCCAATGCATATATTATAATATATATGCTCTGATAATTATCAGAGCATGTTTGTTTGTATGTATATTCACCACGAATACGTATGGTTAATGCGGACTTGATTCCCTGAAAAGGGTATCTATTTGGTCTTTGAACATCCTAACACCTGTCGTATTGCCAGAAAGGATAAAACCTACTCTTATTTTTTTCATCTTCTGATGCTTTCGGCGTCTTGAGAGCAAGCATCGGAAATCGGTGCGCCCGGTGTCACGTCGTCCAAACGTCCTGCAGGAGGCGCTGTTGCCCTTTACAGGCGATGGGGCACTTTTCCACAGACGCACCGAGAGTCGTGCACACATTCTCCGTCATCAATGGAAAATTAAAGACAAGCCACCTCCGATTAGCAACGGCTGGCCACATACGGTGCGAAAGTTCAACTTACACACATGGGAGTGCGATTGTGGCCATGCAACCAAAACTATGGGCCATTCAGAAAGCCACTGCAGTCTGCGCTCCTCCTAAGCAAAGCCACACAAGCTGTCGTAGCCAGCAGACCTCAACATTGCCATTTATCTTATAAAACATTGCCATACACAAGGATAGAATAGAGCTTAGGTCGCTGTCGCTGGCATTAGTAATTATGTAATATTAGCGATGGCGAACTAATCTCTGGGGCCTCGGAGGTCATAATGTTGAGTCAGCAGCGCTGAAATCCTGGGGTTGAATCCAAGCAGTCCCCTCCAGCCACGACGAGAGGGCTTCAGGAGAAAGTTCGTGTAGTTTTTTCTATTCCTTCGTTCAAGGAGCACAGACTGTAGTGGATTACAATTGTCCGTACTTTGGAGCTCCCTGTAATTACAGTGCAGTGAGTTGAAGCTCCTAGCTGGGATGGTAATAATTTCACGCAAAAAAAGGATGACAGGAAATGTGGTTTAACATTCATTTGCCGAAACTAAATTTCTGAGAATTCAAAGTACCCCCTTGCCATGCCACAAAGTCTTCGTGGAGCGCATGAGAGATTTAAGATGTCATTGTGGTGTATTTTTTTGTGGAAAGAAACACGAATCTGGTTTGGTCAAAATATTTAATTAATATTTGTTCACACACATTAACAAAAATCTGAAATACAGCATCACAATGGGAAATTAATAAACATGTCAACAAGGTTATTGTGGATGTGTATTTGGTGAATAACGCTGGCAGCTGTGAGATCTGGACTCCCAGGCATGACACTTTGACGTGGATGCTGCGGGCGTGTGTACACAAACCCTTCTCTGCCTCGGGTACATTAAAACCCTGTGTGGGAACGAATTTCAAACAATGAAGTTCTGCTGGAACAACTTGTGTTATTGTGTGTGTAAGAGCTTAGGTTGTGTACACGTGTGCAGTGTTCGTGTTGAATGCGTATGCGTGTGTAATTCTGGTTGGAGTTATGTACCCTAAGCCTCCTGTGGGTTCTGCCATTTGGGTGACGCCATGAAATCCTCTCTGCACAATGTAGGAGTGTTTCTAGTTTGTATCCCTTCATGCAAAGCTGTACATCGTCTGTGCTATAACATAATCAAGTACCAGCAATGTTATCATCACAATCGCCTCGTCTGGCTGCAGAGTGGGATTGTGGGTGTTTCCGTGTGCACGCATGTGTAGACGAGTAGTGGATGACAGGATGTCACTCTGGGAGAGAGAGTGGATGACGTCATGACGCGGTGATATAAGGGGGTACCCGTGACGTAAGGGGGGGTTCGTCGAGAGGGGCCAGGATCGAAGGGAGTTGAGGAGTCGGGACCCGGGGTAGGGAGATTGAGTACCAGGCTAGGGGGGCTACTTCACCCGGCTGACCGAGTTGGATGACCCCTCGGGCGGTGCTGAGGGAAGAGCACGAATAGCCTGGGAGGCGCTAGGGACCTCCCAGTACCCTTTCCCCTGTCGAGATTCTAAGTTGCCAACTGTTAGGCGTAAGCCCTTATAAGTTCCCGGCATTAGCCCTTAATAAATCTTGGCATTTCGCCCCTACAAAAGAACTGCGTCTGCGTCGTCTGTTGCACATCAACACATGTAAACGTGTTGGCATACGATTAAGAATGTCACATACACAGTGTGCGTGTGTTACATGCACAGTGTGTGTGTGTGTATCACATGCAGTGCGAGTGTGTCACATGCACAGTGTGTGTATCACATGCACAGTGAGTGTGTCACATGCACAGTGTGTATCACATGCACAGTGTGCGTGTGTCACATGCGCAGTGTGTATGTGCGCGTAGGGATGAGGCCCTAATTACTGAGCTGGCACAGGAGCGCTACCCCGCGGCTGATCCAGTGAGACTCCGGCAGGTCACTGGACAAGGCCATTGCAATGACAAAGTTCGTGGAGTGCCCTGTGGTGGACAGGGTGCCTCTCCGCTCGCTCGTTTTATAAACTGGAGCCACGTAGCACGGCTTATCGGGAATGTCCACCTTTTTGCAAGGTCTCAGCCACATCTGTGGAAAAGAAAACACGCAAGCCAAATGAATAATGCATGTTAAATTGCTCAAATACTTGAATTGTTCAAGTACCATGTACGCCTATTCAGGAGATATGGACGCTATACATTAAGAAAGTTACGCCATGGAATGGATCACCAAACTCAACGGACAGCTGTAATAGTATGTCTGTTTATTTTTGAATGCTGTACGACAGTACCATATGTAACTGAGCATATGATGTATTGCAACTGCTCTTAAAATGCAAAATTCTGTTCAATTTAATCCTTTGTGACTGTATTTACTATCTGCAACGGTTAATACGAAGATATATTTTAGCACTAATTCTAAACACAATGATTACATAGCACTCATATAGGAGATGGATTTTAAGTGTTTATATGGTGTGTCGAGTTGGAGAACCATTTGTAGTAACGTGATCAATGTACGTAGTGAAGATACGTTTTACAGATACCGTCTTCATTATGGCTTCAGTTTGAGCATGGGCGAGTATTGGATCAGCTCTGAGAATAATTCAGTCGCAATGACTTACCACTGGCATGGAATCATAGAGAACCTTTGGGAATGATTCTGCAAGCTTCTTTGTCCTACGGTCCCATCTGGCTCCATCTAGGAAGAGGCCTCGGATGTACACACCTGCAATTAAAGCAGTGCATGTATTGTATTTGTATATAACAGTACAACGCAATTAAATCAAGATGTAATTAAAGTCAAAGTGAATTCATGTGCAAATAAGCATTGAGGTGGTACCCATCTCCTGTTTACAGCCCTGAGCCAATCGTGGAAATTCCATATTCCTATGATGGGGGGAGGTCTACCCATAGGACGACTGTTAATTTGCCCACAAAGTGGTTATTTTTCGATTTAAAGCTTTCGTGACTGCAAGGATTCATCTTCTTTGGTTCTTTCAGTAGAATGAGAATAAAATAATACAATAAAACAATAAAATTCTCACGACGTTTCGGCCACAACACAAGTGGCCTTCTTCAGGTGAAAGGAACAAACCTGTCGAGACGACAGAGCTACAAGGAACGCTGCTAAGATTCGTAGCGTCTTTTAAGCTGGTTGAGAGAAGTGAGGCACCTTGACAAAGGGGTTTACATATCAAACAGGAGAATTTAGCATTGAAACAGTTGAGGGATTAGCTTGTGACTCGTCACAGAAATAGCTATGTTAAAGTCAAAGCCTACACATCCACAGAGGCACCTAGTGCATGGACGCCAAAGGGGCTGCAACAACTCAACTATCATACAGTAAACAGATGTGAAAAAAACCTAAGTCTAAATTACATCAATATAGTAAATGTACTCAATATATTCTTCAATAAGCAGAGCTATTAACAGCAACTGGGTATACACTACACTATATAATGAATACCATATAGTAAACAGATAAAAAACTAAAATATAAACTACCTAAATATTATCAATAAATTTCGATTTAAAGCTTTCGTGACTGCAAGGATTCATCTTCTTTGGTTCTTTCGGTAAAGTCACGTAGAATGAGAATGAAATAATAAATTGATGAAATAAAATAACACAATAATATTCTCACGACGTTTCGGCCACAACACAAGCGGCCTTCATCAGGTGAAGGGGACGAGACTGTCTGGAGGACAGCGCTGGAGTGAGAAAGCCACGCAGAGATCACGACCTTTAAGCTGTGTTGGAAGAAACAAAGCACCTTGACAAAGGAATTAGCATATAATTTAGCATTGAAATGGCTGAGTGATTAGCTTGTGACTGGTCACAGAAAAGGCTATGTTAAAGTTAAAGCATACACATCCGCAAAGGCACCCCTTGACAAAGGAATTAGCATAGAATTTAGCATTGAAATAGCTAAGTTAAAGTATACACATCCGCAGAGGCACTCCTTGACAAAGGAATTAGCATAGAATTTAGCATTGAAATAGCTGAGTGATTAGCTTGTAACTGGTCACAGAAATAGCTATGTTAAAGTCAGAGCATATACATTCACCGAGGCACCTAGTACAAATCAAACAGGAGAATTTAGCATTGAAATAACTACGCGAATTTAGCATTGAAATAACTGAGTGATTAGCTTGTGACTGGTCACAGAAATGGCTATGTTGAAGTTATGGCCTACACATCTGAGCTATTCACAGTAACTGGGTATACAATACAATATATAATGAATACTATATAGTGAACCAATAAAAAATACTAAAATATAAATTACCCCAATGTTATCAATAAACTCTATATTCTCCAATCAGCTAAGCTACCAACAATAAGTCGTTATATATCACAATGCTATATGGCGAAAAATGGGTGGATTCTTACCCTCAACTTTAGCAACACGGATAGCTACGGGTCCCGTTCAGACGGACGAGTTCATCCATGGTCGGAACAGAGGAGGGGGAGAGAGACAGCTGCGAGGCGCTGTTATACTCCATGTTGAAAACCATACCATTAAACGTGGTGTGAGAGGTAGTAAGAGTCAATGCCAGCGAAAGAGCTGCGGTCTGAAGGTCATCGTAGAATACGATTAATTAAGAACGGAAATGGTTTAAAACATCTTTCCAATGGTTACTAAGCCAGAATCCATCTTCTCGGTTGAAATTGTCTCTGTCCTTCTATATATGAATGGCCTCATGAACGAATCTCTCATGGTAGCCGGTTGGTTTGCAAAGAACCTCCGTCTTGGAGAAGTCAATGTCATGTGAGCCCACTGAATTATAACAGTGATCTGCCACGGCAGAGGAGTTCGTTCTACCATCTTTCAAGTCTGCTTTATGTTCGCGGATGCGGTCCGAGATATGTCGTTTGGTTTCTCCAATGTAGCTACTACCACAGAGGCACTTTAGTTTGTAAACGCCCGGGTACTGTATGTCTGGAACAGCATCTTTTACAGATGGAACTAGATCACGGATTTTATGAACTGTGTTGAATCGGACCTGGATCTTGTGTTTATTCAGGATTTTGGAGATCTTTTTAGTGACCCCTACAATGTAGGGTAAGGTGATGGTTTTGAATGGCTCCACAAGAGGATCCTTCTTCATGACTGGATTGATGGCTTTGCGGATTGTGTAGTCGGAATAACCATTAACCCTGAGAGCCTGGTGTACGTGCTTGAGTTCACACACTGTCCTCCAGACAGTCTCGTCCCCTTCACCTGATGAAGGCCGCTTGTGTTGTGGCCGAAACGTCGTGAGAATATTATTGTGTTATTTTATTTTATCAATATATTATTTTATTCTCATTCTACGTGACTTTACCGAAAGAACCAAAGAAGATTATCAATAAACTCTATATATTCTCCAATCAGCTGAGCTACCAACAATAAGTCGTTATATATCACGATGCTATATGGCGAAAAAATGGGTGGATTCTTACCCTCCACATCAGCACCACGGACCGCTACGAGCCCCGTTCAGACGAACGAGTCCATCATGGTCGGAACAGAGGAGAGATTCAGCTGTGAGGCGCTGTTATAATCATGTTATAAACCATACCATTAACCGTAGTGTGAGAAGTATTAAAAGTCAATGCCAGCGAGAGAACTGCGGTCTGAAGGTCACCATAAAATAATTAATGAAGAACCGAAATGGTTTAAAATATCTTTCCAATGGTTACTAAGCCACTCTACGCCCGACCTTATGGAAGGTACGTGGATGACACTTTTGTTATCTGGCCACATGGCCAGCCTGCTCTAGACCAATTCCGGGACCACATCAATTCCATACACCCAGCCATCAGATTTACCATGGAGGTGGAAAAAGATGGCAAGCTACCCTTTTTGGATGTCTTAATTAAAAGGAGACCTGATGGCTCAATGAGCCACTCTGTCTACAGGAAAGCTACCCATACAGATGCTTACTTGAGCCCAATGCATTTCCGACCAGGAACACATTACCAGTGAACTCAAACACGTACACCAGGCTCTCAGGGCTAATGGTTACTCCGACTACACAATCCGCAAATCCATCACTCCAGTCATGAAGAAGGATCCTCTTGTGGAGCCACTCAAAACCATCACCTTACCCTACATTGCAGGGGTCACTAAAAAGATCTCCAAAATCCTGAATAAACACAAGATCCAGGTCTGATTCAACACAGTACATAAAATCTCTGATCTGGTTCTATCTGTAAAAGATGCTGTTCCAGACATACAGTACCCGGGCGTTTACAAACTAAAGTGCCTCTGTGGTAGTAGCTACATTGGAGAAAACAAACGACATATCTCGGACCGCATCCGCGAACATAAAGCAGACTTGAAACACGGTAGAACGAACTCCTCCGCCGTGGCAGATCACTGTTATAATTCAGTGGGCTCACATGACATTGATTTCTCCAAGACGGAGGTTCTTTGCAAGCCAACCGGCTACCATGAGAGATTCGTTCATGAGGCTATCCACATATACAAGCACAGAGACAATTTCAACCGAGAAGATGGATTCTGGCTTAGTAACCATTGGAAAGATGTTTTAAACCATTTTGGTTCATAATTAATTATTTTATGGTGACCTTCAGACCGCAGCTCTTTCGCTGGCATTGACTCTTAATACTTCTCACACCACGGTTACAGGTATGGTTTATAACATGATTATAACAGCGCCTCGCAGCTGAATCTCTCCTCTGTTCCGACCATGATGGACTCGTCCGTCTGAACGGGGCTCGTAGCGGTCCGTGGTGCTGACGTGGAGGGTAAGAATCCACCCATTTTTTCGCCATATAGCATCGTGATATATAACGACTTATTGTTGGTAGCTCAGCTGATTGGAGAATATATAGAGTTTATTGATAATATTGAGGTAGTTTATATTTTAGTTTTTTATCTGTTTACTATATGGTATTCATTATATAGTGTAGTGTATACCCAGTTGCTGTTAATAGCTCTGCTTATTGAAAAATATATTGAGTACATTTACTATATTGATGTAATTTAGACTTAGGTTCTTTTCACATCTGTTTACTGTATGATAGTTGAGTTGTTGCAGCCCATGCACTAGGTGCCTCTGTGGATGTGTAGGCTTTAACTTTAACATAGCTATTTCTGTGACCAGTCACAAGCTAATCCCTCAACTATTTCAATGCTAAATTCTCCTGTTTGATATGTAAACCCCTTTGTCAAGGTGCCTCACTTCTCTCAACCAGCTTAAAAGACGCTGCGAATCTTAGCAGCGTTCATTGTAGCTCTGTCGTCCCGACAGGTTTGTTCCTTTCACCTGAAGAAGGCCACTTGTGTTGTGGCCGAAACGTCGTGAGAATTTTATTGTTTTATTTTATTATTTTATTCTCATTCTACATGACTTTACCGAAAGAACCAAAGAAGAGAAAAAAAAGTGGTTATTGTTTTATCGACCCCAGAGGGATGATCTTTTTTTTTTTACAATGGAAGCATCTGGATAACTCAGGGAGACACCCATGCAGAACACGGGGAGCGCGAACATACAAACTCCACTTAGGAAGGTGCCTGAGTCAGGAATTGAACACAGGCTCTACTTGCTGTGAGGCACAAGCATTACCACTGCGCCAGCCTGCAAGGGGTGTGTGCTGGAGACCCACCGTCGTCAGGGGCTTGTTTGTACGTCTTGTCATCCATAACCTCAAATTCGAAGCCGAGAAGATCGATGGGGATGGTGTATTTGCGGGAAAAGTTCTGCTGAGCTCCTGTCAAGAACGCTTGTGTGAAGAAGAAACCGGACACCCAGAAGACGTTGGGTGTGCCATTGTCGTACCAGTCCTGGAGCAGAGAGGCAGACCCTTGTGTCAACACTCTGCAGCACAACTTACTTGTAAGCCACAGTCCAAAAGCAAACATAATAGGTTGGTCAAATTAATTAAAAATGCTTTAGTTATAATACATTTTATTGTGTTGAAATTGTAACAGAATAAACTGAGGTAACCTGAAGGAATTTCAATCTTGCCAGGAAGTCATTGATGTAACTGCCAAGTGGCTTAAGACTCGGGTAGGATTTCTTCATCCACAGGCCAGGAATCTTCCCTTTGAGAATGCTGCTCACAACCTCCTCCAACTCTGAAGACATTACCACCAGGCCCTAGTCCAATACACAGGGACACTTGCGTGAGTAACACACGGGACCCATGCCGCATTATTCACGACACTGCTCGGACTGGTGGTGTTTTCTGTGGAGTACCTTGAGTGCCTTCTGGATATTGACGCAGGACGTGGCAATGGTGCCCAACAGAGCATTGAAGCGGCCCATCTCCTGCACCAGCACAGTGTTCATGCTCTGGCTGTAGGTGGTGGGGAATTTACGCATCGATGCCTCGATGTCAAAGCTGCTGGGCAATTTGCCGAGAATGTCGTCGGTGACTTCGTACACCGCCGTATCCGAAGACTTGCCAACCCCACTGGACGTCCGTGACTGGGAAAGGCCAGAAATGAAATCATCACCGTCACCTTTCGGTGCGTCACGTACACGTTCAGTTCATGAAGTTTCGCCGAACAATCCAAAACAGGACCACAAAGATTGTCGAATTGTTAGCGCCGGTTCCGGCTGCCTTCCTGCTCGTCTAGTTTCCCGTGCCTCGACAGCGGTTTGAGATGCAGAATATGAATTACCAAACACACTATTTGCTAAGCTGGATTATATGAAAAATGCTACCATACCAATTTCATGTTTTGACAGTCGTAACATTGTTTGTACATTGTTTTCACACAAATTTCTTCGGTGGCTTTATACGCGAGGGCAAATATGCTTCTGAATTATGGTGAAAAAATAAGTGGAATTGTTATCAATAAGAGTCATTAAAAATCAGGGAATGGTTCTGTTTAGCTTATGGACCCGCATGTTCACTTGCATTATGCTTAGTTTAGTTCACAAATATAGTGCATTTGCCAGTAATGTGCATCTTTAAATACTAAAAACAATGGCACCTAACTGTATCTGGATTCCATCATTGGAAATGTTTGTTTCGACAATGTGTCCATAAACCACAATTCGTCAAGTTAATCTGAAAAATAGGGCTGTGATACAAAATTGTGGATAATCCAAATTCAGTGGATATTTAGGATCTGTAACTATGACGTCAAAGGACGCAACATTGTTTCCGCGTCACTTCTCTGATTGTCCCGCCAAAATTTTTGTCACATGACATTGGATGACATCATCAGTTTTGTTCGCAGAATAACTGCTTTATCTGCTTAGTTCGTTGTCCTTCCCCCCCACCTCCGATTAGCACGGTTGGCTATGTACAAATGTAATTATTACGTGAAAATTATCCAACATTCAAAAATGAGATGTTAAATTGTCCTTCAAACTTTGAAAACCGAATTGTTAAAATCCCAAACTCGTAATTTAAGCATTAGGATGACACTTGATATTTATTTTCAGCTGTCCTAAAATGCACTCTGATGATTGCATTGTATTGACTGTTCGAAGATTTGGGAAGTCATGACATTTTTGCAGGTTTTGTGGCGAAATTCAGCGATTATGAAATGACCACTGACCATACCTGGGTGAGGAGGATGCAGTCAAACAGCTGCTGTGTCTCGGCCTGGTCCTTGGTTATGTCGGCATTGGCGTTCATGCTAAACACCTCTGGGTCAGAGTTGATCGGGAGGGATTTGGCGTACTCCAGGTAGCTGTCGTACTGGAGAACACAGTCAGCATTTATATACTTTTTACTCGTTTATTTGTAAACACAACATTGGAACTCTTGCCAAATTAAGTGCAGAACCAAGTTTAATGTGATGGTGTTTGTGTGCAGTCGTTGGTGACGGGGTTGACACCATGTGCTCGCTACACTCGAGCAACAGGGATAATTACGGACAGTTCGTGCATTTGGACCACAGCGGTTACCCAACTCCAATCGGAGGTCTCTCCTGAGACAGCAATGGGCCTGGAGGAAATACTGCTGGTGGCACCCTTGAGGGCCTTGACAGATACTTTTGTTTACACAGTTTCAGAGCACAGTAGGCCCAAAGGCCCAACACAGCAAGCGGCCAGCAACAAAGAGCGCTGTCATAGTTGTGATAGGTAAGAGTTATTAACACGTTTCCAGAATTGAGCAATGGTTGGATGTTTGTATGTTGAACTTCTTTCGCACCGCACGTAGCAAATCGTGCTAATCTGACGTGATAAACGAGACGATGGTAGGAATTCTAAAGTCGAGCAGCGCGAGGGAAGAAGCGGAAAGATAAGTGTTGCGTGCTGCAGCATGGTGGTTTAGTGAGTGGATGAGTGGGTGTGTGAGTGAATGCGTGAGTGACGGAATGTCAGTGAGTGTGTTGTTATGTGCTGCAGCATGTTTGTTGAACACAGCATGCAGGAATGAGACGAGACAGTCGATGCTTGGTAGACCGAGTCCTCAACACGCATGGAGGAATCAAGGAGTGAAGCCATGCGAGTAGAGATAGGAGGTTAGCGGTTCTCACATCGCCATCCGGGGGAGCGTAGTAGTGGCCGCTACTGTCAAACTGGTACTGCTCGTTCGTAACGATGTCCTCGCAGTAGAACTTGCTGAGGATGGTGCGCAGTGTGCGGCGGTCCCACTCATCCGTCACACGGCCTCCGTAGTTGCACTCGCCCGTCATGTACCGCAGAGCTTCAAACGGCGTCTCCTGCATGTGACAGCAGACATTTTCGTTGTTGTTGTTCTTCGTGGCTCTAGCAGGATACTAAATGCAATGAGCAAGAGTTCGACGGAATTTCCTCAACAAGTAAACTAGGTTTACCGTTTTCCTGTGGCGTTACTTTACGAGCCATAATCGGCGAGGCTGCCCAGAGGTTCCTGGAGGCCCAGGACACAATGTCACGTAGGGCCTCCTTATTCATTCGTGACAAAAAACGGGCCCGTGAGTGGGGCCCTCTTTTGGGTGAGACCTGGGACAATTGCCCCTTTGACCTGTACTCTATGATTGTAGCGCCCTGATAATCGGCGCTACAATCATAGAGTAGAGGTCAAGGTCAAGATCAGCATATCCTTCCTCAAATGAGCTTAGAGTGGTTCTCATCACAATTCTTATGCCTCGAGTCCCCAGGCACTCACATGGTAATATATGTCAAGTCACGTTGTAGTTGTATGTCACCTCGTATTGGCATAGGAAGATGTGGAGTTGCTGCACGCTGATGCGCAAGTCTGTTTCGTTAAATTCGTAAGGATTGTTCCAGCCCAGAGGTCCAAATTTTCTCCTTTCTTGCGCCAGTGCGTGGAAGAATGTGAGGCCAAACAGCAGTTTCTTGAATTCTCCCTGCACACAGACACCAGCTATCACTTTGCAGACATCGTCACCAGACGCCATGCAGAGCAAGTAACATCATGCATGCTCTTTGGTTCTTTCGGAAAAGTCACGTAGATAACTAGTTAATAACTATTTATTTTTTCTATCTACGTGATTTCACCGCAATAACCAAAGAGTATGAATTCCTGCAGTCACGAAAGCTTAAAATCAAGATTGAACATCATGCATGGTTCGAGAGGCCGTGCTAGCGTGAATGTGCTGTTAAACATCTATTAATTACATATATAAAGACCAGCATAAACACAGAAAACATATTTGTGACGTTTTAAGGCTTGGTTATTTAACAATCTTTGTAAATATTAAATGTGGCAAGGCTAGGATGCAAAATCACGTTTATAATCTGGGCGTGTGGAACAAGCAGTGCTGGTCATCGTTACTGGTTTGGTGCAGCTGTTGAAGAAGTCTGGGTCAGAGATGGGGTCCATGAGGTAGGAGCGGGTGATGTTCGAGCGGAGTCCCTTTGGTGCCTCATTTGTCATCTTGACTCCGTTTTGTAGCACGGCCACAGGGAAGGTAGCTGAGGGGTAGCTTGTCAGCCACAAGCGGAAGTCTGGATGCGTCGTTTCTGGATTCAGCTCCTGAAACCAAAATCGCAGCTCACATCGCAGAGCACTCTGCTCTCTTCACTATGAAATGTTTTTTTCTGCAAGATGATAATAGTTTCGTACATTTGGTATTTGTGCCATTCTTATAGCGCAAGGCTATCACGAAGGTGCTGTGTTGCACGTACTGTAGTCTGCAGTAGATACACAGCAGGGGTGACATTGATATTCTTGGTTATTTCAGTAAAGTCACGTAGATAGAAAATAAAATTAAAATTAAAAGCAAAAAAGCCACGACGTTTCGATCGCAATACAAGCGGTGTTCATCAGGCGGAGAGAAAGAAGACCGCTTGTGTTGCGATCGAAACGTCGTGGGCTTTTTCGTTTAATTTGAAATGTATTTTTAATTTTAATTAAATCAAATAAAAATTATCTACGTGACTTTACCGAAAGAACCAAGAATATGAATTCCTGCAGTCACGAAAGTTTTAAGTCAGGGGTGACATTGTTATGTAGATTCCAATTAACTAATTTGTGGTATCATATTTCAAATTCGGCAATTTTAGACCATGACGCCGACACACAATGGTCTACTTTTTCGAATAACGTTGCAGGATCTCTAGGGTCCACTGTGATGCAGACGGTGCGCATTTTACGGTAAAAAGACCGGCAATATTCATCAAGGTGGCCTATCTAATTCAAACCGTGAACCTCTTCAACAAGCTGTAAACGTGCTACCACCCGAGGATTAGGATTTTCATCGAACACCCATTGATGATGCTAATTGTAAATACTGGCGAAACGTTGTAATCATATTGTAAATGTTGTGGATTTGCTCTCCAACACACCAGTGTGCTGTATTAGTAACGAATTGGCATGTTCTGTATACGTGACAAACCTTACTAATTGGCTGTGTCGGGTGGTGGTGTGTTTAATGCCAAATTTATATTTACGCGATCCAACCCAAAAAAAACACTATATTATGGATGCTATTGGTCGCGAAAGCCTATGTAATAATAGGTTTTCCCCTTTTTTCTGGCAACAAAACTGCAACCTTTTTACAAGGAATCATGTTTACATTAATCACAATACCTGCAGTCAGAATGCAAACAAAAAACACACTGATAATATATGCATTGTCCTTGAAACTGATTGGTCCACACCAGAGACAGCTTTCCTTAGAGCCTGGTCTCACACAGTGTTCAACCAGATGACGCCAAAAGGCACACAGGAATCCAGGCAGGAAGCCAGCAAAAGGCGCATCTGGTCGCACACCGTATGAGACTAGGCTCTAAGGAAAGCTGTCTCTGGCGTGGACCAATCAGTTTCAAGGACAATGCATATATTATCAGAGTGTGGTTTTTTTTGCATTCTGACCGCAGGTATTGTGGTTAATGTAAACATGATTCCTTGTAAAAAGGTTTCAGTTTTGTTGCCAGAAAAAAGTGGAAAAAACCTATTATTATATTTTGGTACTGGCAAAGGAGGCCTCATGATGTAGAAAGCCTATGTGTTAAACCCACTGGCATTTTTTTATAGTAAGGGTGATGTTTAAGGTGAGGATTTCCTGAACAGTAACGCAAAAGCTACTCCCAAGAAACCACTACATCACCATGACTAGATGTCCACCGCTACTGCACAGCGCATAATTGTACAACGGTGTCAGCCACAATCCAGCAGCAGGTGACACAGGAGCGAGTGGGCGGGCGCTTAGCTACGCAGCGTGAGTGAGCAGTGTTGATTGTCGATACCTCGCAGATGCTGTCCAGTGTGGTCATCCAGGAGGTGGCCAGATGACAGTTCTGCAGCACCACCCAGCAGCCGTCCCTAACCGCTTGCTCCAGCATGCGTTTGGCAATCGGGCCCTGGCCTTGACCCAGGGACAGGGAGCTCATCTTGGAACCACCAAACCCCTGTGGGCACAGAGTATCAGCTACACGTCACCACCGTCACTCGCATGTTCCACACAGAACCGATTTTCGTGCTCCCTCAGGGTTTTGTCATGGGTTATAACTAGTGTCTGCATGCCAGTAGATAAGAGTAACTGATTTTGATAGCAACAGCATATAACATTACAGTAGTCATGCATAATTTAACAAAAAGCCCACACGTCCTTTGGATATTACTGTCCGCCCACCCGCAAAACTTTTGTGGAATAAATATCCAATTTGAGAGGATGACGGTGCAGGATCTACGCCCGGGGTGGAGATTGGGTGGGTAAGAGGTGTGACATCAGTGAAATGCACGTATTGACGGTGTGGGATGTGGGTGATGCCATCGCGCATATGTGCACTTGCGTGCCAGCCAGGCACACAGGAATCCAGGCAGGAAGCCAGCAACCTTTTTCTAATATATAGTAAGTCCTCGTTTAACGCGGTAGATTAGTTCCTGAAAGCTGCTGCGTTCAGTGAAAAAAATTCCCCTTAAGTAACGAAATAATAAAGTTTGGCGCGATAAGACGTATGCATGCGCAGTAAGATGGCAGGACAAATAACTGATGGTATTCCGCCGCTTGACTATATCGTTCCACGTACTACATCACACTGCTCAGCCTTGTGGCTCAAGAAGGTAGTTCATTGTCGATAGCTCAGAAATCCCGTTATAATGGGCAACTTCCGCGTTATAATGGCGTGTGCCCCGCGTTATAATGGGCGTGTTCAGCGTTGTGCGGAAGAACCGCGTCATGGTGTGAACACGTGTTAAGCGAGGACTTACCATGGTATGATATGATTTAATATCGATTTGTGTCTATGCACTGCTTTCGATTTCTCGTGTAAAGTGGTTGTCATGGTTCGATTCCAGCAGACCACACTGGTCAATACTGCAGGTTGGACTAACCACCAATATACACGCCATCTGCTCACAGTGGAGGTTAAAGATCCCGGGACATCATTCGATAGCGTAGGCCACTGTGTGCCAGAGTTACGGCCCATATTTGCCAAATCCAAAAAGTGTATCCATAAATTACTCAACTGGGATGAAAACCACAAAGCAACTTCTCCCCCTCCTGCGAAACTACTGCAGACTATATGTCTGCGGAACAAATGACGCCATCCTTCGCGATAGCCTTGCCGGACATGGGAATGGCGCCGATGCCATTTGCGCCCGTGATCGGATTTTATTTCCCGACGGCACGGTTCGTTCCCACGCTGGGCACCTGGTCGTCGGCAAACTTGAGCAGAGCCGCCATGGGATCGGCGCCGGGCGACAGCACAAAGAGGAGCGGCGCGCAGCAGTGGCTGTCGGCGAACGCCTTGGCCAGGTCGAATGGAGGAGGCTCAATGAACTCGCGGCCCAGGTTCGACGTCACGAACTCCTGGACCATGGGGATCACCTTGTGGAGGCAGGGGAGCAAGGGGTACGATTACGGGCGATCGGTGTATTCATTGCAGGGTTGTTTAAAAAAACGGGGGGGGGGGGTGGGTGGTGGGTGAGGTTTGCGTTACTGGTAATAGCGTGAAAAAAAAAGTAGTCACTGGTTTATTTACAAATATGTGTACCGACGAACTTAATATGTTCGCCACTGTGTCATAAGGATTCGCGCACTGGATCTGCAACCTGGAGGTCGCTGCTTCGACTGAAATCTCCCGGCGTGGCAGCTGAAACAAGGGGGGGGAGTTGCTTAAACGCCCCCCTCCCCCATGCCCCCCTTGCGTCTGTCCATCCAGGAGTGTAGATGGCTACATCACAGCTGATCAAGCAGGTCGCGTGTGGTGGGGTAAACTGTGGGTACGCCCACCTCTTCCAACACGTCCCAGTCAGCGTGGCAGAGTAGACCAAAATATCCTCGACAGCTCCCTCTCATGGAGGTCCTTCCACCAGCAGTGGCACGTGCGAGCAATTGCAGAGCTGCACCTTCACTTTGTAACTGAGAATCGAGGGCAATGACCCACGTGGTGACTTGGGCCTGGCGCTGGTGCGTAAAGGCGGGCTGCCACTGACCAATTGTCCGCACGTGCCGTGCGGTTTGAAGGGTGACGCCACTGGGATCGATCACCCGCTCCCAAGTTTTGGAATCGGTAGCCGACTCTGCAAACGATTACCGGCTTGCCCACTGCCATTGAACAAGCCCGATTCACTTTGGTAAGAGCCACAAGTGCTGCTCTCTGTGAAAGCGAGATGACGCCCACGACGGACACAACTGCGACAACACGTCACGGGAAGCCACGCGCCCCGACGGTCACCTTGTCCGGCCGCAGACATCGGATGACCAGCATGCGCTGGAAGTGGCCCAGCTTGCCCTGCCAGTCCCCAGGGAACATGGCGTGGTGAGGCTCCTGCACACTCGCCACAAGATATTTTCATCCCCGATACACGTACACAGACTCTGTCTGAGACTTAACGAGCCCGGGCGGCGTTGGCTACGTTGCACATGGCTGCCTGCGATCCAGCGCTGTGTGGAAGCAGCAGCGAAGGTTGGTGGATCACCGCACAGATATTGTGAAAATCCCTTACTGTGGGCGTCGAGGAGGTGCCAGACCCTAGCTCGCCAGAAGGCAGTATTGCAAGTGGACTTAATCGCCATCTGTTTCTATCTGTACGGGGATAGTTTTTTGTCCTCTCGCATGCGTGAGTTTTCTCCGGGTGCTCTGGTTTCCTCATTGATTGGAGAGTCCCAATGCAAGACTCTCCTGAAATAGAGTCATGTGACTCACTATGGCTTTCCTGGATAAATACATAGTTGGATTAAAGTAGATTAATGTTGCTGTAACAAATCATGAAATATGAAATTAACGTAAGGCCCACCGTGCTAAACAGCTCTTTTTGAAGGGCGACCTGCCCATAACAACCGCAATGGTGGTGCTTAACAAGGGATGACGAGGGATGATACGTCAGACAAAATATTGAGAATGCAACTGGCAAATAATGGAATGAAACGAAATGGAAAAATCTAAGAGGAAGGCCTGCAAATGCAGCAACATAACAATCAGCAACATTTGCAAGCACACAGCATTTCAGTTAAACAAGCAAACGATGCGAGAAGTAATTTAAGTTGTACAGTACAGTACGTGCATCCTTCAATGACAGTAGGATCATTGGGGATTTTCCATCCGCACTGGGAGCGACGGTCTTGAGCGTTGTGCCCACTTTGCCTGAGATGCTCTTCATACATATCATCCTTAAACAGTTGCTAAGCGCATGTCCAAAGGCCAAAAGGGTCAAGCGGCCAGCAACAAACAGCATGATCAAGGCTGCATTAGGCAAGAGTTTACACGTTTCTTGAAATGAGCAAGGTTATTGTGAGAGCTTGGGGGTGGGGGAAGAGAATAGAAGGGAATGCCAAAACGGAGCAGTGTGAGTGAAGTGGAATGAGGAGCACTGTGATCTGCAATCTCCCCTTTAAATCTCACACTTCACCCCTCCTCCTTCAACTTCACTGGCTTTCCGTTCACTACACCACTGGCTCTTCATATAGTTGACGCTCATCTTTGAATCTCTTCATGGTCTTGCCCCACCTCATCACCTCGCCTCTCTTATCTCCTTCCACGTCCCCTCCTCTCGTCCACTTCGTTCCCAATCTTCTCTCTCCCTCTCTGTCTCTCCCTGTCCCTCCTTCTCCCTGTGTCCAATTCCGTTTTCGGTCCTTCTCCCTCCTTGCATCCCTCCATCGGAATCAACTTCCCCTGTGCATTAACCAATGCTTCCTCCTTAACCTCATTCTGTTCTTCTCTTAAAGCTCCACCTCTTCCCTATTGTCCATTCTCTGCCTCTTCCCTCCCCTCGCCCCTCCACTCCTTGCCGTCCCTCCCCTATCCTTTGGTGATCCCATGTACCACTATCGGTGTCATTCATTCACCAATCCTCATACGCCCCAGTCAACTACATCATTCCTTTCTGTCATCGTTTGTAAGCTATGTAGATTAGATTAAATTAGAGTGAACACAGCGTGAATCAGAGACGAAACAGTCAATCTGGTATGGACCAGTCCTCAACATGGGGGGGGGGAAGACTCAACAAGTGAGGTTCACACCTTTCACACCTCCCAATTAATAGTTGGCTGAATATGGTGTGAAAGAAGTTCAACATACCCACACACAATGGTAACTATGGCAGTAGCAATAGAAGAGTGATACGGAGGTGACTGCCCACACTGGTGAGCAAGTGACTGGAGTGAATTAGTGAGCGATCCACCATCGTTATTTCTGTTCAGCCATATAAGCTCAAACGAGGTTTAACTGAGTCTCTCTATTAGTTGTCAAAATTATAGAAATTTTATAACATGTTGCCCTTGAGGCATCCACAAATATTAAAAGTCCAATCAAGATATTTGCAACAGTTTGCGTCAATAATATGCATCAATATTACTTCAAACTACTTAAGTTACGATAGGAAAAAAAACCCCATCAAACGTCCGATGAGCAGCATGCACCAGTGACGGTGCACGTTCGTAGACACCGTTTGTGTGACAGTGAGCTCACGAATTTAACTCTCTATGTGTGCACCATCGTCGTTACGTGATAGCTATGGCGAGATGTTACCTCCCTCGCATGGTATGGAGGAGGTTGTGGGTTCGATCCCGATCTTGAAAACGCCTGTATATTTGGAGTCTGCGTGTTCTCCCCGTGATCGTGTGGATTTTTCTCCGGGTCCTCCGGTTTTTCCCTCAACATTTAAAAACATGCGTGTAGAGTAATTGGCTGCTGCTATCAATTTCCACGTGATAAGTCACTTCATTGAGCGATCATTTGTGGCCAGGTCGCTTCTGAAAAAGAGCTATGTAGTTCAGTGGGCCTTACCTGCTAAAATAAAAAAATAGTTTTAAATACTTTATTTTAGCAATGGACATGCTTGAAAACCAGATGTTCCATCTCAAGGAATGATCTCGGTGAAATACCTCAATTCATAACAAAACAAATGGTGAATTACTCACGAGTAGATCCATTTAAAAGGTTACTTATACTTTGACAATGACTTACAGCCTATAATCATCGTTTTCATGTACACCGCACATCTACAGTGTGTAGACAGGGGGGGTCTGTGTGTTCACCCACAGGTTTGTCGTACACATCCTTCCAGCCATCCTTGAGGCGCATGAATTCCTTGCGGATGCCCTGGAAGGAGGGCAGAGCGTCGAGTCGGCAGATCTCGTCCCACGCCTTGGCAGGCAGCCAGGCGCACGGACTGGAGAATGGGTTGTCCAGGCCAATTCCTCCAGTGAGAAGGAACCTCCACTCCTCTTCATCAATCTATACAGCGCACCCACAATCAGCATACGTGGGCTCCTCGTCATCCAGGTATAAAGGAATAAAATACATAGGTGACGTTCCAGGCGATGACCCTTCTTCAGGGCACACAGAGGGGCCACAGATGAAGCGAATGATAGTTGAAGACTGCACTGTTTCGCTGTATACTCTGAGGGGCCCTGATAGAAAGTAACTTTTCAGAATGTTTCCAGATGAACATCTTAAATTGGTATATGAACAGTCACCCATGAGTAGATATTGATTAAGAGATGAACCCTTCAAAAATGTAAGACGTATCACGCATAAATTTATTTGAATTAAAAGTTAAATAGTTAAAGTTCCTGGCACATTGAATGCGTAAGGTGCCATCATGCTGAATTGGAATTCTTGGGGAAATTCTGTTCCGCCCCCCCCTCTCCAAAGTTCATCGGCGAATTGTACCGGGCTCGCGTTTCGTCGCAATAGAAACATAAAAAACAAATAATAATACATGTGAATATCGTTTAAGTATTCGCTGTCCCTTTTTACTGAACAATCAAATGTGCGATGGCAGTATTATCAGCGAACTCAGTATCAGTAAATAATGTGTTTAATTCGGTTGTAAGGGTAAACGTCATCAGCAAATTCACTGACACAATGCACCAGCTAGACGTGAACTAGGAGCAAGGAGCTGCAGATCATGGACAACACGGCGGTGGTAACAGCGTCGTCCTCTTTACAATCACCTCGCGGCAGCACTCACCAGATGTTCGTGTCTCAGCAGGTTGATGGTGAGGCTCAGAGAAAACAGCAACTTATCCTTTTCAAATAAAGAGCGGCACACGTTTGTGTACAAGGAGTAGGTGAAGTGGTCTTTCAGTGTCTGGAGCCTGTACAGGAGAAATATTGCACGTATATGAATATTGTAGTATGTACTGACTCATTCGAATTAGGCCACATTGGTAGCACATGCTGCCCGTGATATATACATATTGATGTACGATATTTGTGTTTTTTTTCCCCCATTCCCAATGGTGCGATTACCATTGGGACCTGAAGGGTTCACATGGGAATGTCGCAGGGAGCGTGCACCACGTGTCACAGATTGACTGGGGAAGAGATTCTTCCACAGGCTGTCTGCTTTGTGATCCATTATGCAGTCAAACAAAAAGTGGAAGTGACTTCCTGCTCCAATGATCATTAAGGCTGTGCTCATGGACTGTGTTTACAGCTCTGAGCCAGTAGTGTAAATTGGACATTTCTCTGACGGTAGCGAATCTCCCCATAGGACAACCACTACTTTTTATGGCCGAGGTCACACTATCCCAGCCACTCTCCTAGTAGATGGCTGCATGACAGTCAGAGCTGGAATTTGCTGAAATTATGTCCCTCCTTCTCCCTGTGCCCAATCTAATTTACGATCTTTCTCCCTCCGTGCACCCTACCACTGGAATAACCTTCCCCTGAACATTAAGCAGTCCCCACCTTAACCTCCTCTAACTCCCCTCTTAAAGCCTCACTTCTTCTCTATTGCCCATTTCCTTCCTCTTCCCTCCCCTGCCCTTGCGTGACCCCACGTGTCCTCTGTTGCGGTCACCATCTAAACCACTCTATTTTTGCCACCACTTTTAAACTATGTAAAGCGCCTTCAGCCAAGGCACTCTATGAGTATAAAATAACATAAGATGACGGGTTCATTTAGCAGTATTTGGTAAACATGCTGCCACCATCAACTGTGCTGCACTGAGGGACAACGCGTCACACTCAGGGCGGCTGTAGCAGCGTGGATCGGAGCGTAGGATCTCAGCGGTGCCGGCTCAGCGCTCGGACCTCCCGAGCATCTGGCCACCTCGCACCTCCATCCGCCAGGTGCTCAGGATCCACTTTCGATTTGATTTTCATTTCATAAAGCATTTCACCCAGAAAATCCCTTGAGATGGAATGTCTCATTTGCAAGGGTGTCCACGGTGTAAAATGACACTTGCGTAGCAACTACGTAACGGCATGTGAACATGCGCATTCAAAATCTATCACTTATACAGTATATGCATTTATATAATGAACTTCACACCCAGTCAAATACATAATTAAATGCCTCAATTATTCAGCGGTGCACACTACCAGTTCATATAAAATGTACTCTCGCTGAAACAGTTGAAAATGTTATGCGAGTGAGTTTACACACACACACACATACGTGTGTATGTGTGTAAACCTATACACACACATATGCCTCCAGTCTCAACCTATACACACACATATGTGTGTGTGTGTATAGGTTGAGACTGGAGGCAGATTTTAGTGCATCTCAGAGTTCAAGTTTCTTCTGTTTAACTAGAAGAGGACTCAATAGACCAGGGCAGTTTCATTTTCAAGAGTGACCCGGGGCATTAGTCTGCATGTAGGCGGCAATAATTGCTATGTACAATCTGATTGGAGTAATTTGGGGGAAAATTTTCGAATTTGGCAGATTTGGATCGTAACGTCGGCACACAATGGCCTACTCTTGCGAATTACGTCATGGGATCTTTAACGTCCACTGTGCAGCAGACAGCGCCTTGTACTATTACAGTTATCACACCCGCTACCAATGTGGCTGCTGGATCTGAACTCTGAACCTCAGCAACGAGCGGCTGGCGCACTACCGCTTGGCCGCGTCACCGCCCATGCAGGGAGACCATTCCACAATGAAGCAGCAGCATTACTGACCGCGTGTCAAGATTGTCAGACTTCTCCGAGTTGTGGATGGACATGGTGAAGAGGGTGATGAACCACCCGAGCGAGTACTGGTACATAGGCTCGATGCTGGCCAGGTCGGCGATGGAGAAGAAGAGGATGGAGGAGTGCAGCGCGACGGGGCGGTAGCCAAGTCGCGCTGCATCGATCTTTCGCTCCGTCTCCTCAGCTTTGGACTGCTTCTCAGAAGTCTCGTTGGCTAAAACCTTGGAGGAAGACAGCACCTTGATGGCTGTTTCATCCTCCAAGATGTTTCCCTCCGATGTCGACAGAACCTCCAGAATCTTGTCTTCTATTTCCTTCAGTTGCCTAACAACGAATGGCATTTGTCAGGGCAGTGCTTTACTCTTAACATCATACTCTACAACATGGGCTGAGATCATTCAATATTCCTGTTGCAGTGTGGCCTGAGAGTCAATGGTGTTTCTTAACAGGCCCTGCTAGAGATATCCTTCACATGGCGATGAAACACATTCCTTTAATTTCTCAAAGCTGTAAATTCACTGAAGTGACAACTAACTTCTAAATAATTAACTTTATTTCGTGCACTTTTTGGTGACCAGCCAGAGGCCATCAACTCTTTTCCACTTGAAAAGTCAGTGATTTGACAGTTACATAGATATATAGAAACATAGATATAATTCCTCACTAAACCATGTCACTGAAAGAAGAGAAGATGGTCTCATGAAGAGTGACAATAAGTTATTTTTACATGCTTTCATTTAACTCACTCTGTCTGTTGTCATATCCTCGAATCTTGTAACTCAATTTTTACCCACTTCCTAATGTCGTATCGACTGCAAACTTGGTATACTTATGTCATACTGATGACAATACTGTATTCTATCATAAAAATATATATTAAACAATCTTTTTTATATGTTATGTTTCGGCTTGGGTCTAATTGTCCACGCTCAACTAACGTTGGCTGTAAATCACCATGGTCCCTTACGTTATGGCAAGCTTCGGGGCCACTTCCTGGAGTCGTGGAGTTCTGCCATTACTCGTACGGTAGATTTCATTAAAGCGTGTTTAAAAAAAATATTTTTTATATATTACTTATTTTTATTGGTGAGAATATTTAGGACCTAGGCTGAGTTATCCAAAAATAGCTTTTAGGGAAACTTCCCCTTAGATTGAAATCTAAATAAATGTAAATAAGAGGACATTTTCACTTAACGCCACTCGGTCGACCATTTCACATGAAATGCTTGAATAAGTAAGTGAAAATGAAAAAGGAAGTGAAGACATTTAAAAGTTATTTTCAATTATAAATTTTAGTTTTCAAGTGATATATAACACATTATCACAAACCTCTTATTTTCTGCACTTTGAAGAATAAGAGATTGCTTTTCCTCTTCCAAATCCGGGCGTTCCTTCGCAACGACGATGCCCAGGAGTTGGTCTTGCATGCCCTCGGGGGTGATCATGAAGTTCAGCAGAGTCACCTGTGGGAGGGAACATCAGAGTCCGTGATTGGCACGTGACAACAGAAAACCCAGGTAGGCCATCTGACACATAATGGCCTCGAAGGACTTCGCTGACTATCAACCAACCCACCTGGTCTGAGCACATTGTTGGAAACGTGGACTCAATTACAGAATCACTTGTGCCAGCTTGAAATATTCACGACAACCTGCCTACAATACATTCGGGGTACAACCAGACTAGACTGTATGAACAACGACAGACCATTGAAAGATTTGGACGTAGTGCCATTAGTGAGCTCCTCCCGCAAGTGAGGTTGCTTTGGTTATGTCATAAAGCCCTCCTGCCCAAGCTGCTTATATTTGGCCAGACTGGTGTGGTACAAAAGGGCCTACAGGTGAATGTATTTGTCAAAGGCTGGTATCAGCGGTGTAAATAATTGGTCTCTATTAAGAAAACTGCGCAATTATACAGTGAATATAAGCAAGTTCATAGTTTTTCGGCATGAATTTTAAAAAGCAGATTTCCACTCCATTTTTCTGTTTTTCCGGTACATGTTGAGTCACGTGAGTAGCCGACGCAGCACCTTGACAGAGGTCTCGGGTGTGTAGTGGGGGTTGCGGAGCTTCGTCGTGATGTAGAAGCGGAAGTCTTGTGAGTACTCGATGGTGGAGTCTCCAAGACGCATGCACAGCGTTCCGCCCTGCCGGAAGGTTTGCCTCAAGAGCAACGGCTCCAGTATCGGATCCAGCTCCTCACCAACGCCCTCCAACAGTACTGCACAAAGACCAAGATCCCCCGTACAGCCTCAAGAAATTGTTTGGGCTAGTGCTGTTCGCGAGTAGCATCTGTGAAAGCCGGCACGGCACACGGGGGTGGGTGCCCAGCACCACCTCCTTTGTCTCCCTAGTGATGACATTTACACATTGCACTGGGTACTCATTTGAGGCTGAATCGACCTAGGGGAGGCTCAGGACCAGTTCAGATAATTGCCACTTCTGTTGGCCGTACTGCACACACTCACACACGCATTCACACAAAAGACAGCCTTAACAGACTGTCAGGGCAAGTGCTGTTAGCGAGCACCTATAAAGGCCGGCACGGCACACGAGGGGGTGGGTGGTCAACACCACGCCCGACCGCCTTTGTCCCTCCAGTGGCAATATTTACACACCACACCAGGCACTAATTTGAGGCTGAGTCGGCCTAGGCGAGGCCCAGGACCGGTTCACATAATCGTCACTGGTGTTGGCCGTGAGTGGGAATCGAACCCGTGTCGCCAGGTTCGTAGCACAGCGCGCTAACCACTACACTACCACATTCACACACACATACTTGGCGCTCAAGCTGTCTCAAATGTATTATTAGCAGCATGACTTCCCTGCCCACTGTTTTCATTGAGAGTGCAGCTCTTGCCAGTTTCCCAGTGGCCTCATTCACGAGTCTCCTCCACAGAGGTTGGTGCTGACACCACAGAGAGCCAGCTCTGCTCTGAGTTTATGGGGATCTGTTACATGGTAAAGGGAAGGCGTTAACTGTGCCAGAGAATGCTTACACCTTATAGCCACACACCGGGATCTACACAACACTGCTAAGTAGCTGAAATAACAATAATGTTTTATTTGTATACAGTATTCTTCATGTTCGTCGCATGTCTATACGCTGTATAATTTGTAGCGCCCCCAGATTTTGCACGGAGGCACGGGGAAACACAAACAAGTTGGAAGGCAGCCAAAACTGGTACCAACAATTGCCCCAGATCTGTGAGCCTATATTGGGATGTTTGGCCAACTCCATTCATAAGTGTTTATTCATAAAATGATGCCTTCAATATGCCAGGCCAACATAAACAATGGAAAAATTGTCCCCAAAGTGTGTCAGGTGGAAATAATAGATGTATGTATTTACCCAGAAAAGCCACATTGAGTCCAAAGGCACATTCAGAAGGGTCGTGCATACATTGCGATGTTTGGCCAACGCTAATAACTTTGTGTGCTTCTAGCTCCGGGAAGAGGAAATTAGAGAACTCGGAGGACACCCATGCAGAACAGGGGGAGATAATACTCTGCACAGGAAAGCCCCTGAGAGTCAGGAATCGAATCCTGGTGCTTCTTGCTGTGGAGGGGCTGTGAGCGTGAACTCTGCATTACCACTGTGCTGCCCTGCCACTTCCTACCAGCAGTGAACGGGTCTTACCGGGAGTTCCAAACTGAATGCAGTTTTCCAGCGTGCGAACAAAGTCCGCGTCACTCAGCTTGATCACGTGCAAGCTGTTCGCCTTCTCCATGTTCTTCACCCACTTGTTGGCCTGACCCTGAGGGTCGATCATTAGAGGCCATCGACGTGCGTTGCTGCGCACATCAAACGCACACGCACGACCCTCCATCAGCGCGCACGTCGCAATCGGCTTCGAACCAAACCGTGCGCCGTGAAAGGTCGAGAGAACAAATGCTCAACGTGCGGCCCAATCCGGAACGTCACACTCGGGAGTTGCAAATGTCCCTCACCTGATGATGATGCCATTGTCGAGGGAGAAGCTGTCAGAGGGAAGGCCGGCGATGGTCCACGCTCGGGTCTTCACCGGGTCCCCCAGCGTCTTCGACAGCGTGAAGTCAACTGAGTACGGGATCTTTTTCAGCCGGCACAGGTCCACCCACTCCGCCACCTGGCTCTACGCGCGTCACGACGCCACCTCGTTCAGCACTCCGTGCCTCGTGCCACCGATCCTGAAAACCGCCCAGGTGGCTACTCGGCGGTCGAGCTTGCTTGCTCGCAATTGGAAAGTTACGACTTTAAATCACGGTTTGGAATTGACTCAGCCCATCGTGCCTCCGGGGTCAATAAAACTGAGTATCAATTTGTGGGGAAGTCAGCAGCGATTGTCCTATTTATTGACACGCCCAAGCTACATAGCATATAAATATAACCACACCTCAACACTATATATAAAGAGTAGGCATGTGTATTTTATAGACAACAAGATGCAGATAGAGAACAAAATTAAGTTCTTGAACAGGGGCAGGCAGGTAGTCAACAGCATGGATGGCTAGGGGGAAGGCAGTTCCAGACCACAGGGACAGCAGAGAATAATGAGCATAAAGGTTGACTGGGAGCTATAACTGGAAGCCTTGGTTGCTGGAGCAGAGATTGCGTGAAGGAGGGTAGAGGAAGCAAATATGGGAGAGGTAGGCAGGGTGGGTCCATGGAGGATCGATTATGGTTGATAAAGGAATTTGAAACTTGAATCAGATTTTGGAGAGACACAGCACGAGCAACCAGAAAAGACAAACCCCAACTGGTAGGAACCTCACACGCGTGAGTGATCTCCAGGCACTGTGGTTTCCTAACACTTATATAAACACTCACTTGTGAGTTGGCCAAAAAAGCCAAAATAGGACACAGAGCTTGGGCAATTGTTGGTAGTGCCAATTCTGGCTGCATTCCCATTCATCTGTGGTTCCATGCAAAAATTGTGCGCGGCGTTACAAATTCAAAAATTTTCATAAACGACGCTCTGGATACAAAGCATGATGATTATTGGCCAGAAATCTTTTCCTAAGCTACTGTTATCACAGACCTGTCGGAAGCTGGAGATGAAGGCTCCGAGGTAGGCCACAATCCCAGATGAGACGAGCGTGTCCCCGGTGAGGTCGTTGTACCGGATTCCCAGAAGTCGAGCAGCCTCCATCCAGCGAGACCTCTCCCCGCCAAGGCCGCCAATCAGCTGCTCCGCTCGATCCAGCTTCTTGGTGCACATGTCAACCTGCACGTGCATAACCCAGAAAGGCCCTCAGTATGACGCGGAGATCTCGGTCAACACCGCACGTGTTGACCGTTGTCTATAAAATATGCAAGCCTATTGTTCTTTATAGAGTGTTGAGATGTGGTTATAATTATATGCTATGTGGCAGGGGCGAGTCTATAAATAGCACACGTCCAGTTGTTTTAAAAGCACTGAGATGAATTTCCTATGATCCGTCACAGACCCAAGTCAGTGGGGGATATCTCATTCTCGTAGCGGGGGTGAGCAAGTCTGTAGAACAACTGGTGTTGACTTTCCCACAAAGCAGTACTCGTGTCATCGACCCCCTAATTCGCAACCTTGAGACTGTGAGCTGCCCGCTCTTCCACCGAGACACTGGGTCGTCTATTTGGTATTACTCCGACTAGAACACACACGGATAGGGTGGGTGAGGTTGTTTCGTAAATTCAGCGCTGCGCCTGTTGTGGCCCAAGGCACCTGATTCTCCAAGTCAGCCTTCTTCTGTTTGTTGGCCTCGAGTGTCTGCTGCAGTCCAGCCAGCTTGTCCTGCACCTCACGCAGGGCCTCCTGCTTCTTGCGCAGGCTGCCCATGGCCACCGCCAGCTCTGCCTCCGCTTGGTTCAACTTCACTTTTTTTGGCGCTACTACTTTCGCTACCCTGTTCATGTGCACGTTGAAGAATAGAAAACAAATATTAAAATGTTTCCCCCTCATTATATCGCGAACGTGCTATCATCGTAACATCACGAGACAACGATATTTCTGTTCAGAATGCTTGCAGCAAGCAGTGCATCAGCCTGTGTCGAAGTACGGTCCCACTTTTTATACGTCAGGCAGAAAAAACATGTTCCTCGCATTCCTATCATCTAAACATGTTTTTATTCTCAGAGCCGGAATTCTGGAATCTAAATTGAGTGGAGAAGCACCACATATGCAATGCGATGGGGGTTTTTTCAGTCTTTAATCATTTTGCTGGCTGGGCTGAGACAACTCAGCTCACTACCCAGTTTAATAATGAGCGACTGAAACCCAGATTTGAACACAGGATCTCAGCAGCGCTGACTCTGTGCTCTAACATTTCAATACCCCCAATTTCACCCAACCACCTCCCATATAACAATAATGACCGTTAATGAAGTTTCATTGTCCAGCCACACAGACAGTATGTCCAGTTTCATTGCTGCTGACGACGTAGGCTCAACCGTTCGCATTGCAATGAGTGCACTCCAAGGTACGCCAACTGCAATGAGAGCGCTCACTGTAACGAGCGTACCTTAGGATTCACAATCAACACAAACCTAAATATGAGCAGAACTCTCACGCTGTGTACCAGAGCTGCACATTGGGATTATGTTCTCACAGAAGTGGCACAAGAAATAATTTCCTATCTCATGAGATCAATTGTTAGCTTCGTTGTGACAATAAATAAACAGACAATATGCATTTTTCACATATCCTGTCCTTCCACATGATAAATAAAAGTGTTTTTACACATCCCATGAGCCACACAACCTTCTGGAAATCCATAATTTAAGCATCGTTGGTCCAGCACAAGCACACTCTGGATCAGTTTCGACATTCAGTGTCTCACCAGACATTGGACGTGGTTGAACCAATGCTGGTGAACTGTCAGACCAGAGCCCTCTCTGCTCGATATATCTAACCAGGCGCGCGTATAAGAATCGGAGTACCAGGAGACACGCACTTGTCGTAGGATTCCATGGCGATGACCCATTTGCAGAGCCCCTCGGCTGCGGTGGATGCATTGCGGATCTTGTCCGGGTCAAACTCCAGGTTGGTGATGTACTTGGCGCGGATGGTCTTCATGATGGCGACAGGGATATTGTCCTTGTCGAAATCGTGCAGGGACTGCAGAAACTTCATGTCCCCCAGCAGCCTCTTGGCCGGCCCCCATAAGTCCTCCACCATCCTGCCGGAGCCAGAGGGGTCAGGCACTCGGTCCGGCTTGACGCCCTTCAGGATGCTGATGGCCTCCATGACCAGCTTCACGCCGGCCGGGGGGCTCTTCATGGTCTTCACCACCGTGATGTCCTGAGCAGGCGAGACGGCAGGGCTCAATGAGCCACGGAGCAGCAAGGTGTGAACGGCGATGCGCGCGCACGTGTTCCGTGCTGGGACATTATCAAAATAATAAATGCACGTTTGTCAGGCGCAAGTCATCCTTAGATCGCAATGTAAGCACTGTGTTCCTGCCCAGATAAATGCGGCGTTTGCTCTGTAGCACGGTTATAAGTAAACTCGTTTTAATGATTATAGACGGAAGCCACTTATTTTAATGACCAAGCACACAAAGCACACAAAGGAGCCATGAGGGCGGGACATACTCAAGCAGATACACCGTGGAGAGGATAAATTTATTTGATAACGTTTTAATGTCATCATTCATTTAATTGAGTTTGAATGTAATGCTTCAAAAAAGCCAAAGTGATTTCGTGATGAAATTAGCATTGAGGAGGCGTTCATCTACTGCCCCAAGTCAGTTGTGGAAATTCCAACTGTTGAATTACCTACCAAGTGGTACCTAATTTATCGACCTCGGAGGGATGATGGACTGAATGAATGAACCCAGCTCGCTCTACTGCTGAGCCACCCAGACAGGATTTTGATTCAACCGTAACATAGATTAAACGTTGTTTATAAGGTTTTTTGTTTTGTTTACTCCTAATCTAATCTAATTTAGATTGATAGAGCACCTTCACTCATGGCGCTTGATGAAATAGCTTACAAAATGATGACAGCATGCAATAGTTGACAGCGGCATACATGGATTTGGGAATGAGTGACAGTGATAGAGTGGTACTTAGGTATCACGAAAAGGAAGGGGAGGGACTGGAGGGGCGAGAACACAAAGAGAATGGGCAAGAGAGAATAGGTGAGCTCTCGGAGAGGGGCAGTGTTGAGTCTATGGGCAGGGTTAGTCTATGGGCAATGTTGAGTCTATGGCAATATTGAGTCTATGGGCAATGTTGAGTCTATAGGCAGTGCTACTTAATGTAATGGGGAAGTTTTTCCGGTGGAAAAGGGCAGGACACGGGATTGGGCACAGAGAGAATGGCCACTCGGCGCATCTACAAGCGTACCTGTTGCGTGAGCGTGTCTAGGGCCGCGAGGGCTGACCGCAAGATGGGCAAGGCCTCGGCCAGGTCGGCGTCGCACTCATCCTTGATGACCTTGGCCGCCATGGCCTGTTCGTTGGCGACGGCCTCGTCGGCCTTGACGACGCGCTCGGTGCGCGACACCTCCTCGGACTCGCGCTCGATCACCGCCATCGTATTCACCACCTGGATGCCCGCCTCGAGCAGCTGCGGCTGCAGTGCGGCGAGCTCGGCCTGCATCCCGGCGACCTGTGACGTGGCCGATTCCAGCTTCTCCAGCCCCACTTCGTAGCGGCGCTTCATGCGCATCACCTCCCTACGGACGCGAGGCGAGCGGGCGGTGAACGTTTGGCAGCGGGGCCCGGCACGCGGAGCTTAAAGAGAAGCGTCCCGACGGCCACTCGGGCAACACAAGGGTGACGCTCTCCTATCCCAGAATCATAACGAATCAAACTATCGTCCATTCCTAGAGCGAGAGACGGGCATGCTCTCTATTAATTCCAAAAATCAAGTTAAATTTATTTCCTGCTGAAATGAACATTGAGGCAGTGCTCATTTGCTGCTTCCAGCCCTGAGGCAGTGGTGGGAAATACAGGAACTCACAATCGCTTTTTCTCCAGGAGGTCTTTGAAGGTGGAGATGAGCTCCAGGTACGACGTCGGGGTAACGTAATTGTAGCGCTGCTGCTCGGCCTGGAACTTCTGCGACAGGGCGATGGTTGACGTGTGAAAAAGTTTGCACATGTCGATGCAGCTGGCCAGCGTCTCCTCGCTCACCTCCACATCCTCCAGGTAGCGTGTCGCCACTGCCTGCAGCGCGTCTCCTGGCCAGCTCTACGCACGTCAATCAATCACGAGTAACACAGAGGCGCTTTAACACGGAATTATCTCCAGACACGCCAGCCTCAACTTGTCTAAATAATTAATGAAAACACACTCACACAATAACTCGCGACTGTTACGGCTAGAGTTTAGTTAGTTCGCACCTCCTGTTTAGGGCCCTAAGCCAGTGGTGGAAATGTTATATTATTCCTTTGACATGAGTATGTCTAGTCACCAGACAACTCTGTTGACTTCCCCACAAAGTGGTGCTCATTATATTGACCCTGGAGGGAGGGATGATGGGCTGAGTCAACTCCCAACTAGGATCTAAACTCGCAACCTCTTGTTTGATAAATTGTTCGAACTTTGGAAAGACAATTGTTGTTGCCTAACCACCAAAACATCAATTTACAGATGAACCAAAGTGCCCATCAAACATCATCAAGCATGATCATATCCACTGCTGGATGAAGGCCTCCCCGATACTGCCGCCACTTCTCACGTAATGCCTGTGTGTGAACCGAGTTCATCGCTCCATCTTCCTGGTGGAGGTCCTCTTGGACTCTATGCATTCCTCAGTTACCATACCAACGGAGTGGCACGCAAGCAATGGAATGTGTTCATGAGAACATCAAGACACGCAGTGGGTTTTTGTTCAACGGTAAAATTAGAAATAGGTCTGTGGACAATACGGGGATCACTCATTGTGTTATTGCGGCATTGCTCTCAAGGATGTGAACGTGTGGCTGAAGTTTACCTGGAACCAGTCGATGGTGCAGCAGTTGACGAGCGAAGGAAACTTCCTCAGGCGGTTGCGGAAGGCGTCGCCGATTGGACTCATGGCCAGCACTACATGCAGCTGGTCTCGGCAGCGGTCCACAAACATGTTGAGCAGAGCCAAGGGGCTCCCGTCCGTCTGCTTGTCTTTATCCCGCTGCCGGTCGATCTGGCGCATCTTCTCGCAGATCTCCTGCTTTTCATCCGGCGCAAACAGGTTTGGAATCTCCCCAGAATTCAGCAGGTTGTTAATATCCTCCAGGAATGACTCCTGCTTGATCTGCGTGTCCGTGAACAGGAAGACGCCGTTCTGCTCTCCGTCTGTGGATCGGCGCAGAATGCGCTTGAGGTCCTCGCGCCACTCGTTAGTGGCGTAGCCCTTGCTGATCTCCACCTGGAAGAGCTCGCAGTCCGCCATGTGCGCCGCAAGACGCGTCAGCGACTGCCGCCCACTGCCCCCGACGCCCACCAGGAGGGCGTGGCTCCGGGGCTGCTTCAATATGCGGGATATCCGGCACACGTGCTCGATGGCGAAGCGGAAGAGCACCAGGTTCATCGGCTTCTTGCTGAGGTTGTTAAACTCCTCCAGGTGCCCTTCCACCACCAGGCGAAGCCGCTCCACGTCGGACACTTCGACGTACCTCTTGGCGTCGTCTTTGCTGTCGCTGAAGTCGCAGAACATTAGGCTGCGCAGGTCGTCGTCTTCGACCTGCCCATCGCCGTTTGAGTCCAGGTGCTGGAACAGCTGGGTGAAGTCCTCCTTCATGTACGTGTGGATGGTTTTCCGAATGAAGGCCACCAGCCACGTTCTGTCTGCATCGTCCACCAGGCGGTCGTAAAACACACGCAGCACCTACTCCGCCAAACACGAGTGGAGACACATACGAGACGGTGAGGAGGAGGCATCTTCTGACCATCTGTTATTTTTCTCTACAGTGACGCAAATTATAATTTTGTGTTGTGTACTATACAGTGATACCCTTGTACACAAGGAAACGATATCAGCTCTTAAGTGCCACCAGTCTGAACTTAACTCTTAAATCGAAGCACACTTGCACAACATTGTCAACTGTTAGAGCTATAGAACATTCTATATGAAGCGGTGGTGTGAGCCATGTAATTAATTGCATATTTCTGTATGTGTTTAACTGATTCATTGTATAAACGCATACTATATACGTCTCTGATTTAACATGATTTAAAATGGTTGTCTTGACGTCTTTCAAAGTCATCTCCCATTTACAACCCTGAATCAGTGGTGGAAATACAACATTCCTATGGCGGGGATGGGTCTACCCAAAGGACAACCACTGTTGACTTCGCCACAAGTGGCTCTCCCATAGGGAATTAGAATTGGGCCAAATCATGGCCTACGCAATTCATAGAATAGCTTGAGCCTTCGGTACTTGGGCCCCAGAATATGAACTCGAATCCTTCCAGCGACTCACTCTATTGCTGAGCCACCTGGCCAGACACGCATCCTGGAAAACCTCACAAATGAGATGTTCCATCTCGAGGTATTTGCCAGGTGAAATATTTTAAAACAAAATTATACCAAATTAAACATCAGTGCCCGAGGGAAGAAGTTCTCGTTGCTGTGGGCACCTCATGCACCCAGAGGCGCTGGATGGACGCTGCCACCGGACAGGTCTCGGGCAGCGAGAGGCACACGCCCTGAATGACGCGCGAGAAGTCCCGCAGGTTGAACAGGTAGTGTGACTTGGTTGGAGTGGGCAGCAGATTTTGCGTCGCGGCTTTGTACACCTCCATGGTGCTCTGGACGAGCTGCTCCGTCAGAACTGAAAAGTCCGTGGGAAATGCAAACCTGAAACGGTCGACACAGATGATGTGAGACAACGCACACAATAATCACTCGTGTCGTTATGGAGAATATAAGTAGCAAAATAAATCGGCAGTCAATATGCCTCTTGCCATCAGCCACATGGCCTTCTGGGATTATTTTTTTTTTCAGCAGCATTGGTTAAATACATGGGAAATCTGGACCAGGGCCCTGAGTACAGAAAATACATGTAATGTCTGCCAGGCAGCGATTCGCGTAGACTCCAAAAGTAAGTAGTTCAAAACACACTATCGGTGGGCGTCCTAGTGAGATCATAAAGATGGATGCGCGTCAGTGGTTGCTAGGGATTATGTCAACACTCCCACTGCACTAGCCAATTGGCTGCCAGGAAGACAAGCCTGAAGCAAGATAGCCGCGACAACGTCATTGCTCCGTTCGTTCAGCCAGGACGTAGCTGAGGTCAGCTGCATATTAACGTGATTCATATTTGTTAAAGTTATGTGTGTGATTTTCCGTGCATATATGTGCGTGCGTGTGTGAGAGTACATGTTTGTAACTGTTCCGAGCATGAGAATGTCTTTATATACTTGTGTGGGTGAAAGAGTAAGTTTTTGGTGTGTATTTATTGTGTACTGTGCTGGCCTTAATAGGTGCTTTGCTAACAGTCTGTTAAAAAGGCTATATGGAGAATCGTTGTCTATTTGTGACAGCGCGTGTCTGTGGGAAGAGTAATTGTCTGCGATTGCATGCTTGTGTTTGGTTGTGTGTCTCATGTCAACAATGCTAAGTGACACCAGCGGGAGGGATGAACACAATCGGATATCCATATTTTACAAGGCAACAAATGCTATGCAATTTGCCAGAAAATCAGCCGCAAAAAAACACATGCTGTAAATGCCATATATTGTAAATGAGGTGCTTAAAGCCGATAATACACGGAACACATGCTCAAGCAAGGTGAGCCATAGCTTCACATTGGCAATGCCAGTGGAAGCTGCAGTTGGAAGTGTTTACCAAGCAGTGGACGCCACATGTTTAATTCTGATATACTTTATCTGCAGAGACACTTCTGCACAAAAAAAGAGAAAGACATTGATAAATAAAGCCTAAAAACTCGACAATGATCGTGACAATGTGAAATTCTGAATCTTGTACTTCTGGGTAGAAGGGAAATTCTGTAAAACACACACCTTGCTGTAAAATGCCAACCCATTATGCGGGAGAAAATAGTAAACATGGATTTATCGTCAAACTCGTTGATGGTCACGGTGTTGAAGTGTCGGAGGAAGCGCGCCGTCACTGCGTTGCGTCCTCCTCCTGCAAAACAAAGCACCCTGGCATCACGGAGCGAAGGATTCGCGTCCAAGTTGCTCGGCGTATGAGTCGCGATACGCAGTGGAAAAGTAAATGTCGCTTGTGGTGGGGTAAAGTGTCGGTACCAACACGTCTGGTCAACGTGGAGTAGACAAAATGCCCTCGAGCGTTCGCTCTGGTGGAGGCCCTGCCGCCAGCAGTGGCGTGAGCGAGCGATGGCACAGGGCCCCAGCTTAACCTCTACGGGTCGCTGGAAACACCACAAAGACGAACCTGGTGGTCCCATTGCCCCGAGGATTTGGACGTTTTCCAGTTTGATCATGGAGCAGTCCTTGAGGTCGTACCAGTTGGAGTGGTCCAACCACTGGCGCAGGAGCTCAACAGGTGGCTGTGCTCCGTATTCCTCTCTTGCTGGCATGTTCACATCATCCACAAACAAAACCTGCGTGCAGGTGACATTGCTGCGCTCAGAATCAAGGCCTCACATTCTGCATATCAGCGGTTATACCAGTGGTTATTTTTCACAAAATGCCACAGTTTTAAATGCTGATGGTGACCACATAATGGAACTTGGTTTGGTCTTGAGAACAGAAGGAGATGCCATAGCTGGGCAGTCAGCAGAAACAGCATAGCTACATCACTTCGGTGCCTCACAAGGGAGACTCTAAAGAGAGAAACCACCGAAGCCAGCGGTTCCCATGGTTTCTGGATCTGTGGGCCACTCTGACACCTCACGACACATTCGTGGACAGCCATAAAAACTACTAACTTTTTATAGACTCAAATTAATGAGATGGCTGATGCTACGAGTTGTAGAATGGGCAATAAACATTTGTAGTACTTTTTGATTTAAAGCTTTCGTGACTGCAGGGATTCATATTCTTGGTTCTTTCAGTAAAGTCACATAGAAAGGAAACAATAAAATAATAAAAATATAAAACAATAAAATTATCACGACGTTTCGACTGCAACACAAGCAATCATCATCAGGTGTGAAAACCACAGCAAGAAAATGTATTATTTTATTGTTTCCCTTCTACGTGACTTTACCGAAAGAACCAAGAATATTTGTGGCACTCTTTGGTTCTTTCGGTAAAGTCACGAAGGTATAAAATAAAATAAATTTTATACCTACGTGACTTGGATCCCTGCAGTCACGAAAACTTCAAATCTAGATTAAACATTTGTGGTGTTTTGGGAATGAAACCGTAACATCTGCAAGTTCTGCAGACCACTTCCCACAGCCTTGCAGAGCGTCAAAGCTGAAGGACCTCTGGTCGAATTCAAACTCTGTAATCTGCGTCATAAACAAAATTACGCACTCAAACGGATTCTGCGGATAGCACAATGTAGCAGTATATGACGTAGAAGGGGCATGCGTTACAAGGAGACTGGAGTCAGTGTGTGAGGCATGAGTCATCTGAAAGAGGGCGATCGTGTTTCTGGCTCACAGAGTGAAGATGCAATGGGCACCCTCACCATTCGCTTGCCCTGTGCCGGGCCATAGACTCCTTTGCGGCGCCGGTCCAGTTTTCCCATGATTATGTTCTGCGTCTGGGCGGCGGTTGTCTGAGCTGAGAAGTTGATAGTCAAGGGCTTGTACGTGTTCTTGTCCAAATGCTTGAGCAAGAAATTCTAAACGGATAGAATGCACATGCGTGGGTTGAAGAACTGAATAATTACAACCAGTAACTTTGACTGACAGTAACTGGTGGCATTTGACGTGCGCTGCACGTACGGTTATGTAAACACTTTTCCCGGTACCGGTCGGACCGACGAAGAGGACCGGCTTCTGGTGCGTCACCAGCATCTCCATGAGCGCAGTGAAGCGGATGGTGTCGAGGGTGGGCACGATGATGTCGTTGAAGTTCATATCTCGTGGGATCGGTGGAGCTAAGCTCAGGGCTTCAGTCCACAATTCCCACCGTCCCTTGCCCTGGAGATGCACCATCGACAACACAGCAGCAGCAGCAGCGTCATCATCCTCTCATACGCTGCCACAGTGTGAATCTCTCACAAAACCCAGACAAGGGTGTCGAATCAGGTTAAACAATTCATGTTTTTTTGCTTGCCATGATTTAAATTGTATTGATGGTTGTACTTTTTTATCTTTTATGCTTTTATCATTTTGTGAGCCATGTCACTGTTGTAAATGAGACTATCCTGTTCACTTGCGTTCTCACCTGGTACGACAAAATAAATGTAATGAAGCAAGTGCCATAAACTTGTGTGTACACAGATATTGGGCATGAACAGTGCTAGATGAAATGACAAAGTAACAATACCAATGTCTGTAAGCCATCTACTAGAAAATTGCACATCAACGTCTACCATCCTGGAGAAGGTTCACATCTCACGGCCTCGGTGTATGAGACTATGTAATGCCGCACTTTTAATAAGAGGTTTAAAATCTTTAAGTTACAAGCATTCCAAAGCCAAAAAAACTAACTTTACAATCTTTAAAAAGCAAGCCACATGCATTTTACAATGGCAGCGAATGGCCTGAAGTGCTCGCGCACCTCCTGGATGAAGCGGTACTCGTAGACGGAGCCGGCTGCGGGGAACGGGACGCTGAAGGGCTCTGCCGGTGGCTCCACATTCTCTGAGAGGTGGAAGCGCTTGCTGGTGTCAGCGCTCAGCGGTCCTGACATAAGCTCGCGCAGCAGCTGGTCAAACAGCACCTGTCCGTGCGTGGAGCAGCTCGCCCCCACGGACCACACGAGGGAGAACAGGAAAATGCCCTGCAGTATGGAGATGAGGGGAACACACGCACGGGGGATTATAGGCGACGTTAAGAAGTTTATTTCCTCGTGTAAAGCCCATTGAGCTAAGAAGCTAATTTTCGATGTCGGCCGGCAATGGTAACAACAGGTCAGACAAATAAGAGCAGATCTACGCACGTCTTCACAAACGCACAGGATGCCAAGGGCGCAGGAGATCACACAGCCGCGTACACAAGATACCAGATGAGAGATGATGACAGATGAGAGAGAGAGGCGTTCATACGTGCTGCGTCAGTGGGCCGTTTGTGGCTGAGAAAATACGCCATGACGTGCAGGGTCCACGTTCTCACGGTATACCTCAATCCAAGCAGAGACATCTCGGTCATCCATGGCCTTTATCTTGGTCTCATCATGAAAGTCATCCATCTGACAGTCCATGAGATTCATAAGCGAACAAACCAGGTTTGTATCTGACGTTGGGGAGAGCTCCTGCAGAAAACAGAGTTCAGAACAAACATAGGCAGGAGCCATAAATTATACAATTCCATTCAACTTACCTGGTGCATTTACAAAATCCACAGAACTAGTTTATGATTTAAGCAGTTTAAAGTACATTTACTGAAATATAAAATATTGTCAAGGCGATTTCTTGCTCAAAGGAGGATCGAGGCAGTGCTCATCTCTTGTTTACAGCCTTGATCTAGTGGTGAAAATCCCACATTTCTACGGCAGGGGTGAGTTTATCTGTAGAACAACTACTGTTGACTTCCCCATAGAGAGTTACTGATTTTAGAAACTCCGAAGGGAGGGATGATGGGCTGAGTCTACCCCCCACTGCTATTTGAAATCGCAACCTTAAAATTGTGAGCCACTTGCTCTACCCCTGAGCCTCCTGGCCAGATCAGTTGTGTAATCACGAACCTTTTACCTCTTCAAATGTGTTCTAAAAAGTTTGAAAGATATACCTTACCAATTGCATATCAAACGTAGCAACGTAAACATCGTGTTACCATAAGTACAAGCGCGATTGATGGGAACGCACAAACCTTTGTGGATTTCCGCACAAACTGTAAGCAGCAGGGGACCAAGCGCTCGAAGAGAGCGCAGATGAGGGCCTTGTGTGGGGCGCTTAGCGGTGGCGGCCTGGCATTCAGCCAGGAGGTGAGCAGAGGCCTCCAGCCCAGGATGTGGGGCTCCATGTAAATCATGCCACAGCGGGACACCTGCCACCCAACAGACACGGCGTCAGCCTAGAGCGGCGGGGTGGCGCGGCGGCAAACACTCGTTCCTCAGAGCGAGAAGACCTTGATTTAAATTCCCGACTGGCGTGCCTTTCTGTGTGGAGTTTGTATATTATCCCCGTGTTCTGCGTGGGTTTCCTTAGGGTTCAACAGTCTCTCTCCATAACTATACACATATAGTACAATGTCCCTGATGTTGGCCAAACATCCCCATGTAGCAGGATGCTTCTGTAAATTAGTCTTTGGGTTCAGTGTGCATTTCCTGGTTAAAGAAGTAATAAATAACATTATTATTGATTTGAAGCTTTCATGCCTGCAGGAATCCATACTCTTTGGTTCTTTCGGTAAAGTCACGTAGGTATAAAATAAAATAAATCACGACGTTTCGGGCGCAACACAAGCGTCCATCATCAGGTGGGAAAGCGTGGTCTGCTGCTGAGGCAGACTGTTCAACCTTTTAAAACAGTCTGCCTCAGCAGCAGACCATGCTTTCCCACCTGATGATGGACGCTTGTGTTGCGCACGAAACGTCGTGATTTATTTTATTTTATACCTACGTGACTTTACCGAAAGGACCAAAGAGTATCATTATTATGTCTGCTTTGCACACGTGGGGGACAGTTGCTTTATTGCTTATATTGACCTGGCATACAAAGGGATAATTGCAGCTGCTCAACACCGTTGTATAGAAGCAGCCTGATGTATGGCATGGCAGCGTAGGCACTCGCAGGCACATTCCATGTCTTCTCTTTGTTATTACTTTTAGTGCATAAGAGGTTTTCTTTTGGGTTAGATCGCTTAAATGTATGTGTTGTTAAAACCCGCCACTGCCAGAGAATCAGCAGATAAGCTGAGGCATTCGCAGTGACTCTTCAACGCATGAACAGTGAGCGCCGGGCCCAACCGTGTACTCACGGTCGCGGGCGACGCTACTTCGAGGTCCATTGGTTCAAATATGAGGTTGGTGGTTGATGCCAGCTGGATGATCTCTCCGCTCATGAGACACAGCTTCTTGTTGTCATCCAGCACCGTGTTCATGTTCTCAATCCACACGGCGTCGACGGGTCCATCGAACACCAGCCACTTCCTGTCTGGGCTCTAAGCACATGGCCGACATCAAAACAGAGTTATGATTTACTTGATTGAACTTGAAATGAGATTGACTCCCCCCCCTCTTTCTCCATTCCTTTCCCGACGAAAAGGGATCTGACGCACATACCACATAATGCTATGGTCCTACACGTCTGCGTTGGTTGTCTGTCCGAGCCGGCTATCCCGCTATGCACCGCTCACCTGTTGCGGAAGTTGTACACCCCCTCCCCCAACCGTTGTTGGATCAGTAAAAATGATTTATTTTTAAAAAAACAGTTATGATTATGCACGTCGATAATAATATTCTGCACATGTACGGCAATAAGGTTCATATTTGTTGAATAACTTTTGTTTGTGAAAATGTATCAGAAGGATGGTGTACGTGTGTCCGACAATATTGTTATTTCGCTTGTCAAAGTGCACAACCATGGTTGATGGCCCATGCAATCCTGGCTCAGCGAAATGTTCCTAAAGCTCTGTAAGGCACTTTGTCTTTACCGTTGTTGATGTTTACCCAGGAGGGTCCTGCTGATGTTTTTCACCGTAGGCGGGAGATCTTGCGATGCGGTTCATGTGATCAATATTTGTTTTATGATTAGGCCACGTCGTGGTGGTAGCTTGATGCCAACATTCACGTCATTAACCGTCCATCACCCGACCAGGTGGTCACGTTTACAAAGATATTATTTACATGTTCTAATGTATTGATCAAACTGTGACCAATAAAGTTCCTCACAAGTGGCTTAAATCACGACTGAATTTAATGTTGCTATGTGTTTCCTAATTAAGTAATTTGTGAGTATTTGGTAAAAATGTGTCAGTGACGCTGGCACACAATAGCCTACTCTTCTTCAGACGACATCAAGGAATCTTTAACGTCCACTGGGAAGCAGACGGTGCCGAGTAGTTTACGTTTAATACACCCGCAGCATTGACCAGGGCGGCCTGCCGGATTCAAACCGTGAACCTCTGCAACGAGCAGTGAACGCGCTACTACTGGGCCATGTCACCATGTTGACCCTAGTATACTAGGCCATGTCACCATGTTGACCCTGGTATACTGGGCAATGTCACCATGTTGACCCTGGTATACTGGGCCATGTCACCATGTTGACCCTGGTATACTGAGCTATGTCACCATGTTGACCCTGGTATACTGGGCCATGTCACCATGTTGACCCTGGTATACTAGGCCATGTCACCATGTTGACCCTGGTATACTAGGCCATGTCACCATGTTGACCCTGGTATACTGGGCCATGTCACCATGTTGACTCTGGTATACTAGGCCATGTCACCATGTTGACCCTGGTATACTGGGCCATGTCACTATGTTGACCCTGGTACAGTGGGCCGTGTCACCATGTTGACCCTGGTATACTAGGCCATGTCACCATGTTGACCCTGATATACTGGGCCATGTCACCATGTTGACCCTGGTATACTGGGCCATATCACCATGTTGACCCTGGTATACTAGGCCATGTCACCATGTTGACCCTGGTATACTGGGCAATGTCACCATGTTGACCCTGGTATACTGGGCAATGTCACCATGTTGACCCTGGTATACTGGGCAATGTCACCATGTTGACCTTGATATACTGGGCCATGTCACCATGTTGACCCTGGTATACTGGGCAATGTCACCATGTTGACCCTGGTATACTAGGCCATGTCACCATGTTGACCCTGGTATACTAGGCCATGTCACCATGTTGACCCTGGTATACTAGGCCATGTCACCATGTTGACCCTGGTATACTGGGCAATGTCACCATGTTGACCCTGGTATACTGGGCAATGTCACCATGTTGACCCTGATATACTGGGCCATGTCACCATGTTGACCCTGGTATACTGGGCAATGTCACCATGTTGACCCTGGTATACTGGGCCATGTCACCATGTTGACCCTGGTATACTAGGCCATGTCACCATGTTGACCCTGATATACTAGGCCATGTCACCATGTTGACCCTGATATACTGGGCAATGTCACTATGTTGACCCTGGTATACTGGGCAATGTCACCATGTTGACCCTGGTACACTGGGCCGTGTGACCATGTTGACCCTAGTACACTGGGCCGTGTCACCACATTGACGTTGGTATACTGCCGAGTGCGCCTGTACGTTTGCCGAAAGTCTGTATTTGTGTGGGTGCGTTAATTCCAAGCCATACAGTAGATGTGGCGAAGGCTCGGTAGCTGACGGCCAAGACACCATCGGACCACTCGTGGGAGATGGCGTCAAACTGCCCGTACAGCTGCCCCATGGTGATCGCCTTAGGATTGAGAACTGTGATCTGCACTTTGTTCTCTGCCATCAATGCCTGTAAACGACACCACATTTAAGAAACACATTCCACCAACACAGTTAAAATGTATCTCTCCATCATGGGACCTCCTTTGCCAGTACCAAATATGAGAATAGGTTTTCTCCTTTTTTCTGGCAACAAAACAGGTGTTAAGATGTTAAAACACCAAACTGAAACCTTTCACAGGAATCATGTCTGTATTAACCACAATACTTGTGGTCAGAATGCAAAAAAAAACTGATTGGTCCACACCAGAGACAGCTTCTTTTGAGCCTAAAAGGCTCATCCTCTGGTCTAACACCGTTTTGAGACTAGGCTCAAAAGAAAGCTGTCTCTGGTGTGGACCAATCAGTTTCAAAGACAATGCATATGTAGTGGAGTAGATAATGCGCATAGGAATTGGCCATATACAGTACATACAGACAGACAAGGAGAACGGGTCACACGAGGTCGAACAGGTGGTCGAGTCGCGAGTGGCGTAAACAAACCCAAGTAATTAAGGGAATCGTGGCACGAGGGCTGTGATTGGTCGAGAGGCTGTTAGCGTTAAGTGGTGGCGTCTGAATGTCTGATGAAGGGGACAGGTGCGGGCTGGCGGGAAACGGCCAGCGAGCCACGTGGCAATGAATTAAGGGTAATGCGAGAGGGGATAAAACGCGAGGTGGTTTGAACGGAGGGGAGTTGCTGTTGGGGAGTTGCTGTTGGAGAGTTGCTGCTGGGGAGTTGTTGCTGGGGAGTTGTTGCTGGGGAGTTGTTGCTGGAGAGTTGTTGCTGGGCAGTTGTTGCTGGGCAGTTGTTGGCGAGATGTGAAGAGATACGAAGAAGACAGCTGGAAATGTTAGGGAAGAATAGATAGAGAGCCGGACCCCAAAGACAGTAAATAGCGATAGGGAGAGTCAGCGTTAGCGGAGATAGAGTCACTGTGTGTGAATAGATGGAAGTCACTGCATGTGAAGAGATAGCGGCAATACTGTGTGTGAGGAGATAGAAGACAAACCACTGTGTGTGGAAGGGAAGTCACTGCGTGTGAAGAGATAGCGGCGTTACTGTGTGTGAGGAGATAGAAGACGAACCACTGTGTGTGGAAGGGAAGTCACTGCGTGTGAAGAGATAGCGGCGATACTGTGTGTGAGGAGATAGAAGACGAACCACTGTGTGTGGAAGAGATAGAAGATGAACCACTGTGTGTGGAAGGGAAGACACTGTGTGTGAAGAGATAGGCGAAGAAACACTGTGTGTGGAAGGGGATGCACGGACGATGCTGAAGTAAATCGGAGTGTACGAGTTGGCGGAGCACGGAGATAATTACTGTGTGTACGGAACGATGGAATAAAAGTGACGGCGGAAAAAGAGACGGTTGTCGTCCGAGTGAATTCACGGCACTACACATATATTATCAGAGTATGTTTTTTTGTTTGCATTCTGACCACAAGTATTGTGGTTTATGCAGACATGATTCCATTTAAAAGGTTTCAGTTTGGTATTTTCACATCTTAACACCTGTTTTGTTGCCAGAAAAAATGGGAAAACCTATTCTCATGTATCTCTCCACTCTTGCGTTTATTATCATGCTGTAACATTTGTGCTGCATATGCAGTCACTTCACAAAATATATTCCTTATGTATATATTCCACCTGGATAATCCCTTGAGATCAAAGTTTCGCTTGCAAGGTTTGCAATTGACACACACACACCGCAAGTTCTTAATGATGTGTACATAAACATAAAAATGTCTAGTTTATGCAGTTTGTGCCTTTATGCAATATCACGCTCAGTCAAAATACAGATATACATACAGGAAATATTAATGAACGAACAGCGCCAGTTCATGTAGAATGTACTGTGGCTGCTGTGAGAGTGAAATGTAATGAGGATTGAAGTAATAAACAGCGGTTTACAATGTGGCAACGTTTTTCTGTGCCATAAAACAGAAGAAGTGAATTCGTCAGGATCAGAAGTTTCAGAAATGTATTTCCCGAGTAAGGCCCTTTGAGTTAAGAAGCTCTTTTTCTCAAGGGCGATTTGACCGGCACACAAGATCAAAGAACTCACCTTTTCAAAGATATCTCCCAAGGATCTCACCTTTTGACAGATATCTCCCAAGAATCTCACTTTTTCACAGATATCTCCCAAGGATCTCACCTTTGCACAGATATCTCCCAAGGATCTCACCTTTTAAAAGATATCTCCCAAGAATCTCACCTTTTCACAGATATCTCCCAAGGATCTCACCTATTCACAGATATCTCTCAAGAATCTCACCTTTTCACAGATATCTCCCAAGGCCGCAGCCAGAACACGGTAAGCGCATGTTTTTCCTCCAAATGGCTCGCCGACAATCATGAAGCCGTGACGGACGATCATCATCTCATAAATTTGCAAGATTTTCTCGGCAAAAAAATCCGTCATCTGCAGGTTCATCTTCTCACAGTTTTCCTTGATGGCTTCCAGCAAGACCACATAGTCTGGCTTTGGTAGCTTGACACCAGGAAATAGATCAGATGTAATGCCCTGTTGGAAATACGTATAAAAAATAGATATTAATACTTTGATATTTGCATTATCTTTGTGATGTTCGCCTTTTGGTGTTCTCTGGTCTAACACTGGTGAGACAAGGCCATAAAGGAGGCTGTCTCTGGTGTAGGCCAATCAGTTTGAAGGACAATTCATACATTATTATCAAAGCATGTTTGTATGCATGTATGTTTTACCAGAAGCATGCGTCGTTAATGCAGACTTGATGCCATGCAATAGGTGTCTTGGTGATTGAACACTTTAACACCTGTATTCTTGCCAAAAAGGGTATACGCCTATTCTTTGTTTCATCATTTTGATACCAGCGAAAGGGGTCATGTAGATATTAACAGTTAAACAGGCCTCTCATAATCACCACCGCACAAATGAGGTCTGCACGATTGATGGCCCTTTACTCACTCGTTATTTTGAATAGTGCGTGTAATGTTTTTTTAATCTCTTAACTGACATTCTTAAAGACTTGTTACTTTTAATGTTGTATGTATGTGCAGTGTAGTGAAATACGCAGTGCGCACTGTTAACCGAGAGCAACCGAGGGCAAACAGGCGCGCGCGTGTGCAACGTTCGGCTTGCACCGCCACATAATTAAGGGGGCTAAGCGGGTGCAAACCGGGCCGGCCGGTTGTGCACGCTGACAGCGGAGGTATTGTTGATTAATAGGCTGACAGGCACCAGCCTGGCTCGCCTTAAAGAGACACACGAGAGCTCTAGGATAATTGGCAGGAGGACATAAGGACGTGTTTGTGAGCGGAGCGGGATCAGTTGTTGCTCAAGCCGTCAACGCGACATCAACCCTCACGAGCCGCCACCGGGCGGGTGATGGTTGATCCCCCCCTCTCGGGACAGGCGAGTGAGTGGGTCTGAGGGAGTGTAGGCAAGGGCAGCGGTGAAGTGTGAGAAGCTGCTGGGTGCTGAGGCGCTGTATGCGAAGCCTCTGTGTGGAGAAGCTGCTGAGGCGCTGTATGCGAAGCCTCTGTGTAGAAAAGCTGCTGTGTGAGCGGAGCTGCTGTGTGCATGTTAAGTGACGTGTAAAGTAGATAAGAGTGGGGAACAGGTTAACAAGAAGTGACCGTATAGATAGTGATAGGAGTGCCTACAACTGGTGCAAAAATAGGTGAATAAAGTGTAAGCAGGTGACTTGTTACAACGTGTCAGTCCGAGTTATATTTGAAGACACTACAGTATGTATGTTGAACTTCTTTCGCACTATACGTAGCCAACTGTGCTAATCTGATAGTGCTGGCCACTTGATGTTCTGGGCTTCGGGCTTGTGCTCAGCAACTATATTAAACAATATATGTATTTGCATAGTAACCATAAATTCACACCAGCAATCAAAGTATGTATTCACAACTGGAGTGTGTATTCAACATTGTCCTTAATTGTGGATTCACAAACCTCAAATAGAGGGAGGTCGTGGGCCAGAAACTTTGGTAGGTTGACATCAACGATAGAACGCAGCATCAGGATGTCCTCGTTTTCACTCGGATACTTCAGCTGCAGAACAACAAGACTCAGAGTTCACTCGACACATGATATATGTTTGCACCAATGTGCCTAAACAAGACGGTTGAATTCAGCGCATACTACGTGCTATGACATGGCTCACAAACACGGTCATTCACGCAAAATACAAGAGAAGTGCGCAAAGAAGGAATTACACTGAGATACATTGAGAGGAACTCGTGGAGGAGAGAACGTGCACAGGTTATTGACATCACCCACACTCAAGAAAAGTGGGCTTGGGCAGGACATGGCGTGGCTAGAGGGAACCATGGACGAAGGTCAAGAAAACCAAGGAATTGAATGCATCAGAAAGGATGTACTCCGAGGAGACGGAGCGATTAAATCAGCTCTTGTATATGTGCTGGATTGATTGTTGGAACGCAAGATCATGAGAAGTCACAGTGGCTTAGGGAGGCTTTCATCCAGCAGTGGATTAATCAAGGCTGATGATGATGTTTAAACCAGGTGCACGGAACAATGATCAAAGCACATGGCTCACAATCAGTGCTGTGAATAGGAGATTAACAGTGCCCACAACAATACATGACCTTCGTGTGTTAAATATAAATCAACCTGCAGCAGAGCATTTGACTCATTACATATAAGTTGTCTCTCCATAGGACAACTGCGATTGATTTTCCCCACAAAGTGGTTTCATTTGATTAACTCCAGAGGGGGGGATAATGGGCCAAGTCAACCCCCAACCAGGAGTTTGAACTCGCGACCTTCCAATTGAGAGCCGCCCACTCTGTCGCCGAGCCACTCAGGCCGAATCGCACACAGCGTGCTCCGCTTTCAGGACCTGCCCACGTGACGCACGCTCAGCAGAGGCCGGGGTGCGCATTACCTTGAGGTTCCCAGCGGCAGTGAGCACCGACTTGACGGCGCGCATGCCGTAGTCGTAGTGGTGCTGCGACGACAACTGCTCTGAGCAGAGGCGGTAGGTGGCGACGATCTTCACCGACAGCGGCCGCGCGCTCACGAAGCCGAAGGAGTAGAGCATGATCTCCGCGATCATGGCGTAGTCTGGCACCATCATGGCCACGGTGCGGAACAGCGCCTGCAAAACGGAGACGTCGAGTTTAGTTGGACGCCCGAGAGACCGGCCCTGCTTGACCGTTGCTTCACGAAGCCTGTGAGCTCAAGTTGGAGCACCTCCACAGAAACGCCGTTGTCCACAGGGTCACCGTCCTCGTTTCTCAGTTAAGCCGTGTGGAGGTACAAACTCAGCAGTTGATTGCTTGCTCTCACATCACTGCTGCGTAACCACCACTTTACACAGCAGTTGTCAACGCATAGTCAGTCGGTTTCCACTGGCACCAGAATTAGAATCTTTATTTATCCTAGAAGAATTAATCAGGAGGATGTAATGAACGAACCCATTGTGACGACGCATGAAACAGCATCGCTACCTTTTGCAAAGCCGGCCTGCGTTACATCAAGACAACTGAAGAATATTGTACACTATATTTAAAAAAACATTTAAACGTAACAAACCTCGACTAACTTTATCAATTATTTTCATGAAAATTTGATTAATGTTAAGAATGTAAATTGCACTTAATTTTGTTTTAGGATTATATAAATTCTGGACAAGAAAGTGACAAGGTTAGACGTTCAAAATTTACGAAACAAATTCATCCTTGCCCAGAAACACGTTTAGACACACACAACATATTGTATGATCATAACTTGTAACAGCTACTTTGAGATCACTTAGATTGGGATGGTTTAATGATATTGCATTGCAGAGGGTCTAGTTGTGAAACAACTACTGAGAGATAGAAAATAAATAAGTAGACAATTCGCCTCCTTCACGTATCTGTCCCTCCCCATGAAAAACAAAGAATTTTTTTGCTTATCCCATCAGCCACAGAGCCTTCTGGGAGTGCATAATTTCAGTAGCATTGGTTCAACACAAGCGCGCTCTGGACCAGTTTCAACATTCAGTGTCTCATCAGCAGCTAGGCTTTTCTTAAACCAATGTTGAAACCGAACCCAGAAGGCCGTGTGACTGATGGGATGTTCAAAAAAATATAGGTTTCTCTTTTACATAGAGACAAAAACACGAGGGAAGCGTTGTTGTCTGCTTATCCATTTCATTGCATACATCCTCCACAACGACGCGACCGAATACGCAGTGTCCTGACAGGTCGATGTATCACCTTCAGATTGTCAGGCAGCTCAGAGCGGCCAGCGTAGCCCGGGTTCATGGTGATGAAGACGGCGCAGGTGGGGTTCAGCTTCAACTCTGTCCCCTCAAACATCAGCGTGTCCGACCCCGTGTTGATGCCTGCCGCCATCGCATGCAGCCCTCGTTACCTCTCGGTCCAATAAAGTATTGCATTCATATATAAGACCCATGCCTCTCATAGAGAGGGTTCCTTGCCTATAAACATCTGCCAGTTTTACCAGCATTGGTTCAAGCGATCCTGATTCTGGTGATCAGACACTGAATGTCAAAACCAGTCCAGAGTGTGCTTGTGTTGAACCAACGATGCTTAAATTATGATTTTCCAGAAGGCCGTCTGGCTCATGGGATGTGTAAAATACTTTTATTTATTATGTAGAAGAACAAGATATGTGAAGGATGCGTATTGTCTGTTTATTTAGTGTCACTTTTATTCTTCACAATGAAGCTAATGATTGATCTCATGAGAGAGGCAGTTATTTTTTGTGCCACTTTAGGACCTTCCGTAAGAACATAATCCCAAAGTACGTGCAATGTACAGCTCTGGTACACAGTGTGAGAGTTCTGCTCGTGTTTCGGTTTGTGTTGATTCTGAATCTAAAGGTACGCTCGTTACAGTGAGCGCTCTCATTGCAGTCAGTGTACCTTGGATGGGCTCATTGCAATGCGAAAGATTGAGCCTACGTCGTCAGCAGCAATGGAGCTGGAAATTCTGTGTGGCTGGACAGTGAAACTCCATTAACGGTCATCATTGTTACATAGGAGGTGGCTGGATGCTCTTGGGGATATTGAAATGTTAGAGCACAGAGCCAGCGCTGCTAGGATCCTGTGTTCAAATGTGGGTTTCAATCTATAATGCGGTGTAGATTATGGATTGTGTACATTTGGGTTTAGTGGAAGGACATATACGTGAACGAGGCGTGCTGTCTGCATACTTTATTTCTCATATTCTCTACAATGACAAAAAAAAATATTTTGTTTTAAAATATGGACTTCAACATGATGTTCATTTAATACTTAGCAAAGTTGTGCGTGAGGTCATCTGACCTCACGCACAACTTGACTAAGTATTAAATAACCTCAAAACAGCTGATCTTGAACCTGCACCATTAGAGTCAATCAGTAAAAAATCGTTGATGCTGTACAGGTCTCAGATTTGTTTCGTTGTCCAAGTGTTTCAAGTGACGTGTTCCATCACCTTGAACCAGGGCTGTGGTTGATGGAGAATGCAGCAACGCTCATGACAGTCAGGATCTGCTGTGTCAGTCTCCCTAGTCAGGCTCTGCTGAGTCAGCACCTCTCTGGATAGTCAGGATCTGATGTGTGAGTCTCTCTAGTCAGGCTCGGCTGTGTCAGCACCTCTCTGGATAGTCAGGATCTGCTGTGTGAGTATCTCTAGTCAGGCTCTGCTGAGTCAACACCTCTCTGGATAGTCAGGATCTGCTGTGTCAGTGTCTCTAGTCAGGCTCTGCTGTGTCAACACCTTTCTGGATGGTCAAGATCTGCTGTGTGAGTCTCTCTAGTCAGGCTCTGCTGTGTCAACACCTCTCTGGATAGTCAGGATCTGATGTGTGAGTCTCTCTAGTCAGGCTCTGCTGAGTCAACACCTCTCTGGATAGTCAGGATCTGCTGTGTGAGTCTCTCTAGTCAGGCTCTGCTGTGTCAACACCTCTCTGGATAGTCAGGATCTGCTGTGTGAGTCTCTCTAGTCAGGCTCTGCTGTGTCAGCACCTCTCTGGATAGTCAGGATCTGCTGTGTGAGTCTCTCTAGTCACGCTCTGCTGAGTCAACACCTCTCTGGATAGTCAGGATCTGCTGTGTGAGTCTCTCTAGTCTGGCTCTGCTGTGTCAACACCTTTCTGGATGGTCAGGATCTGCTGTGTGAGTCTGTCTAGTCACGAGTCAGCACCTCTCTGGATAGTCAGGATCTGATGTGTGAGTCTCTCCAGTCACGCTCTGCTGAGTCAACACCTCTCTGGATAGTCAGGATCTGCTGTGTGAGTCTCTCTAGTCACGCTCTGCTGTATCAACACCTCTCTGGATAGTCAGGATCTGCTGTGTGAGTCTCTCTAGTCAGGCTTTGCTGAGTCAACACCTCTCTGGATGGTCAGGATCTGCTGTGTGAGTCTCTCTAGTCAGGCTCTGCTGTGTCAACACCTCTCTGGATAGTCAGGATCTGCTGTGTGAGTCTCTCTAATCAGACTCTGCTGTCAGCACCTCTCTGGATGGTCAGGATCTGCTGAGCCACCACGGACAGCACCTCGAGGTCGATGCGGTTGAACTCGTCGAAGCAGGCCCACGCGCCGCACGACAACAATCCCTACAACCCCCCCCCCCAGCACGCAGATTACATTCTACGTCAATCAAAAGTTGTAATAACAATAACAATGCTTTCGTTAAGTTAACTTTCGTACATTCATACACAGCATCATACGTGCAAACTGCACCTACGATTAGCACAGTTGGCTACATACGGTGCGAAAGAAGTTCCAAATGCATACAATAGTTGCAAATACTGTGGAATTTGTAATGTGCGCAGCATTCCCACAGAAGGGTGGGGGAACCACAGACGAGCAGAAAGGCAGCCAGAACCAAAGCTCTGTGATCCTATATTGTTTGGCCAACCCCATTAACGTTTACAATCGTGGCAGGAAACTGGAGCAACTCGATGACATCCACACATGTAAGGGGTGTGGGGGGGGGGTAGCTTCAATCCACGTCTAGATGGAACACAGATGTAAACTACTTGCTGTAATGGTATACCCTGGAAAGCCAGGAGATGTGACCTCGTTGCAAAAAAAAAAAATTGCGTGTTAAAGAGTTAATGCTCTTGCTAGAAAACAAGACCTTTTTAAAGAGTTAATGCTCTTGCTAGAAAACAAGACCTTTTTAAAGAGTTAATGCTCTTGCTAGAAAACAAGACCTTTTACAGGAGATCATCGATTATCCGGCAGCTTCAGGGGGAAGGGGCCGCCGGATTTTCAAAAACGCCGGATAATTATCACTAATCATTATTTAATATCTTGATTTGAAGCTTTCGTGACTGCAGGAATCCATACTCTTTGGTTCTTTCAGTAAAGTCACATAGGTAGAAAATAAACTAAAAGTAGGTATAAAATAAAATAAAAAAATACCTACGTGACTTTACCGAAATAACCAAAGAGTATTATTTAAAATCGCTTTTTTTTGCACATTCTTGCATAACATTATGTTTTCGGTATTGTGCGTGTGTTTTTTGTGTGTTTTAAATGTTTACGATATGAACGTGGCATAAATAATCATACAAATAGACAAAAATAAATATCTGACTGTAAAAAGTTATTGTATTTACTGTACCGTACTTACCACTCTAATCTCGAAGACTCTGCATGGGGTGATGTACGTACTATGCTCTTGTTTCAACAACCATGTGTTTGATGATCGTCTGGACTGGTTACAGCCTTTGGAGCAGTTTTTGCCGGTTACATCGGATCGGCCCAGGACCGCTGGATAACGTTGGAAGCTGGATAATCACGTGCCGGATAATCGATGATCAACTGTATATCACAACGTGAAATGCGTAACGGTGTCTAATGCTCCTATACTTCCCATGCTTCACGCACAGCTCGATTTCTGTAAAGGTGTGAGAGACATTTAGCAGGGAGCGCATGACATTATTTACAATCAATCCCTTTACGGGCTTTGGTGCAGATAATTATCTGATAAACTGTATGAGTCATTGATTTTAAATGCTTGTATACATGTCACTTGTGAATTTGCGAGATATACATCAGTCGAGACCCTGAACATCATCACTAATGAGATGTTCCATCACAAGGGATTCTTCAGGTGAAGTATTTAAGTAAGAGTATAGTTATAATTGTATGTGAGGTATACTATGCTATACATCTGTGGAAAAGAGCTTTATAGCTCATCGGATTCCTCCGGTATGAATATTCTCATTCTGATAAAAGAGCCACTTGCGGAGCCCCCACAGACCTTGAAGAACTTTCCCAGGGCGATGTAATCGAGTCCGTCGGAGCAGTTGAAGACTACGCACTGCTTGGCCACAGCCTTAGCGAGGTCCTTGGTTGTCTCCGTTTTTCCCGTCCCAGCCGGGCCCTCTGGGGCACCTCCGAGGTGCAGGTTGAGAGCTCCAAACAGAGTTCTACATCATCATCATCAACAACAACAACGTGAGGCCCAAATCAGAACCTGGTCAAACACCATCATCACTATCACCATCATCATCACAGGACAAAACACCTTTTCCACTGCAGACACAACCCGAGCACATTCGTCAGTCAGCCTAAGTTCCTCAAAGATGTGCAGTAGACTGTAATATAGCTGAACACAATACCTTCCGATCTCGGTACAAATCAATTCCTGACGTCTAAATGCAGATGGCAATTCTTGGACAGGTGGCAACCCTCACAACATGAGCCCCGTGGAAGGAGTGTACTAAGTAATAATACAACATATAATCATTTGCATTGCATTGTTAATCTACTGCTGGATTAAGATCTTCCCATGCCATGTCAGTCATGGGGATTGTTTGACCATACTTCACCTTGGACCGGTTCTGGTATCACACGTCACTAATGTGATGTTAACCTGAGCTGGACATCATGTAACCAGGTTCATAGTACAGTGCAGTGTGCTAACTGCTGTGACACCCTCCCCCCCTTGTTAAGTATTCGACTTAAAGCAAGTGTGTTATGTTAAAAGGGATTAACAGTCATTAATATGTGCTTTTAACAGGTCATGTTAGTATGCTATTAATAGCCGGACCTTAACTAAGCAACTTGAAAATAAGTTGTTGCTAATTGAGCACAGGTGCCTGAAACGGATGCTGGGAATTTAACGGCGAGACAGAAGAGACATAATGCGGAAGTCTGTTAGAGAACAAGGTAGGTCAGTGTTGTAGATGTCATATGGCGAAAACGGTTGCGCTGGATGGGACACGTGTGAAGGACTGGGCAAGGGCCGATTGCCGAGTTTGGCATTGGAGCGGTCTCCATGATTCCGACGACCAAGGGGAAAGGAAGAACTAAGACCAAATTGTGGGAGACTGTCAGGACAGATCTTGCAGGTTACTGCGTATCTACTGGGCAGTAGCTGCAGGATCTCTGCAGAGGGTAGAAGGCATTGGGCAATGAGGTGTGGTGGTGGTGGTGGTATCCACGGCTTTGGCCAGGATGACATCTTGCTCTTGAACAGTAGTACATGTTGTAAATATTTAGCTAACATCAGACGAGGCCCTGTATGAGAGTGAAGGAGACTTCTAAGTTCACGATCACCTATAGCAGCGGTCAGTGAGGGGCGTGATGACCAGGCGAGGCGTGTTCCCCAGGTACTCGTAGCCGTAAGGCAAACCAGCATTGATCATGCGCGTCTGCAAGTGTCCGTCCTGCTGACACAACAACATCGCCAATTGCAGGTCGCGAACAACATTCCTCCCATCACAAATTCGTCATTGCAAATGCGGTGCATTACGCAACGGAGAACATTTCGATACAATTCCATGGATCCCATTTGTCCTGGCGCACTAGGCCATGAGAACCGGCCCTCCATAAGTGTTCTACTGGAGAGGATTAATCAGGGGGATGTGGGCGCGGGGGCAGCGTGCGAGTGTATGCCACGTCAAGAAGTCTTGGGTGAGCCAAGATCGGGGTCTGAGTTGTCTTTAATATCACTCAACCCAAAAGGATACCCCACTTTACCTGTCAGGGCATCGTGTCGGCACAACATGTACCACATCGCCAGAATTAATGCAACCCAATGGAATCTCTCACACACACACACACACACCTTCACTCACACCAATTGATGTGTTCATCCTTCGCCACAGGTCAGAGCTTTCACGACTCACGTGCTTGCTGACGCTCAGTAATTCGCATTCTCCCAACGACACTTCATACAGCACACGCACGACCAACAATGCAATGTGCTCTGTACTGTGTACTGTGACGTACTGCGTACTGTGTGTCACAGTGCACTGTGAGACACTCTTTTGCAGCATGCAAAGGCAGGTCCCCGGAAGTCTCTGGGTCGCACCCTTCTGCTCTCACACACTCTCGCCTTCACCCTTTTCACCTCTGCTCCTCAACAGGCTCCCTCACCAAGCGCAATTCTTAGGGGCAGGTCATTGCCAGAGCGCCAACGCCTCACTCCTGGCCATTGCGTCTCCTGGCTTCCTGATGTCCTTCTGGAACGCTGCTGGTACGCTGCACTGCTGTGCTGCTGGTACGCTGCACTGCCGAGGTCCAGATGCTGCCACCTCTCTCGTCCATTGTTTCCCCTCAACTGACCCGAGTTGGTCCTTTTATACTTCCCATCCAGTTACACTACCACCCTATTCGCCACTGAGTGGCCAAGAGTTATGTCAATAACTCACTCCATAACTGATCCTTCCACTTCTCTCGACACAAGTTTATATATTCCCGGCTAAGCGCAGCCACATGGCTGATAATCAGCAACACATTAGATGACACATTTCCAGTACCGCTGCTCCCAATCGCAGGTGTAGATATTGTATATATCAGATGCGGGACGGTATTCACTAACCCCATAACGCCGTGCGACATTGCAAGTTTGTACGAGCGAGCTGCCCGCAGGGTGATGGACAATTGACACGCCACCCAGATGTCGCCAGTTCTATTCGCTCTCCCTGCGCGGTGGTTTAAACAACGGGGCAGGTTTCTCGAGCTCGCCGCAATGGGGCCCGTACCTCCCAGTAGTAGCGCAGCTGGCTCAGCCACTGGAAGTCGCTGTCGTGAGCGATGCCGCCCTTGAGCAGCGCGACGAGTACGTCGCGCGCGTGGACGTCCAGCACAACGAGGGCGCCCAGCGTCACGCGGCTCTGCTGGGAGAGCTGCCCGCGCACCAGGCCCACCACCTCGTCGATCTGCCCGTTGCACTGGGCCAGGTACCGCTCCAGCACCTGCCTCGTCCATGCGGTGCATGGCGTCGTATCGCGAGAGAGAGAGGAAACCGTGGCAAAAAACCAAAGGCTTAAAAACGACTCAAAATCTCAAAATGTGTAAGGGTTGCCGCGCGGCAAACCTTAGTCGAAAATAAATTAATATACACCCACCGAATCTAACGGCTCCTTGTGAGTTTCAACAGTGTGCTCAACTGTCATTGGTGAGGAACTACCACAGGGGGAGCTGACATAGGAGGCACAAATCTGATTTGAAGGTGGAGAACATTCAAATCGGACTGGTTGTCAGGAAAAACTAAATGGAATGAGGGGTCGGTTGGGAGACCATTATAGGAGAAATGTATGGGATCGGTGGAGAGTCGTGGAAAGTTCTAGAAATTATGGGGAAGAGAATAAAAAGCGCGAAAGAAGGGGGGTTTGGGGGGGGGGCGCCTGAACGGAATGACAAATTAATTAATGAATGATTCCTCCACACATATTGAGCACTCGGTCTACCAACCATGGATTGTTCTGTCTCACCCACTGCGCTGTGTTCAACCACCACGTCCCAGGCCACAAAGCATTCTGATCTTCTCTGCTTCTTACCTCACACTGCTCCACTTTAAAATTCCCTCCCCATTACCTCTATTCCAGAGATTTTATAACCATGGTCAAATTGTATAAAACTCCACGTGTGCCCGTCATGTTAATTGGGGTCGAGCTACGTTTCCCACGTTTTCGGAAGAGTGTCGAGACAGTCGCAGTGTGGACAGAAAAGGGTGCGCATTGCTATTGTTGTTGTGAGTGCTCCATAGTTGATTTATGAGCTTCACCATTGCAGACCATCCCGAGTATTGTCGCCTTTGACTACACAAGTTAGTAAGGTCCCAAGTAGGAAACAGACAACAAATGTAGGAAGTGTATTAATCAATTACAACTTTAATCGTGCTCTCTAACACAATCATTATAGTACTGTCATTTGCTGGCCGCTTGGTGGCTTTGGCCTTTGGGCCCTGTGTGCTCAGGAACTGTGCAAAAAAAACACAACAGCTAACGGATGGCGATGATAGAGATGCAACTCACAGTTTACACTGAAATAATAGTGATTGCACCGCACAATACAAGTTTCCGTCGCACCTGCTGCCCGCCCCTGATGGCTTCGTGCACCTCGGAGGTCCAGAACGCCTGGGAGACGCACAGCACCGTCTGCCCGGGCCACGCACGCACCCACTCGGCACGTGGGGTACTGGGGTACGCCTCCATCGCTTCGCCAATCACCTGCACAACATCGACTCAGCTCAATCGCTGCATTCGCTCACGGGGTTACAGTTGGACTTCTAAGCAACGGTTACACAGAAAAGAATCAAGGCCAATAACCCATTTGTTAGCTATAGCAGATACCCCTCTGTTTGTTTACCTCGTGTAGAGGCAACTGTCCAGCTAATTGATCTTCTTCAGAGCTAGAGGCCACTACGAGAAGTTTTAATTAGGTCCTCCGCTCTCATTCACAAAAATAAACCGTTGATAAAATAGTATTCGCTAAAAGTGCATGGATAGCAGCTTGTGAGTTCAAATCCTGTTTGCGGGTTGACTAAGCACATCATCCCCTTTGGGTCACTAAAATTAATACCCTGCCATAGGAATAAGGAATTTCCACCACTGGCTCAAGGCTGTAAACAAAAGATGATCACCGCCTCAACGCTCATTTGAGCAGAAAATCACCTGGAAATGTTGGTTGCCAAGCAATCAATCCCCCCTGTTTAGCATAATATGTGACAAGTCTTGAGCAAAGGTCACTTGATATAAGGGCATTTCTCACGTTGTGCACAGAGCGGATCATGACTGCCTCGAGCTCCAGAAGCCACTTCTCCACCTGTCCCCGTGCTTTGGAGGTGGAGATGGTTTCAATGAGCTGCACCACCTCTCCCTCACTGCTCTTCATGTGAGTAATGTCCAGGGCCTCAGTGAACTCCACTCGGGAGATGCCTTCAAAGCACTTCTTCAGATGTGGCTGGACTCTGCATCACACGGGACGAGTTTGCGAATAAGTGTCTAACTCACAGAGACGGATTCTCCAAATGTGTATTTCAAGTGGACACCAAGCACGCACTATTGTATTTGTTTCATGTCAAGATGTATATTACAGATGTTTAAGATGCACTCAGGACATTTAAGCCAAACGTACATGATCCACAACACAAGTCCGCACACACTGTCAACAAATGGATATTCACACATTTATATTTATCAACCGCATTTCACATGAGCAGGAGATATTACACTTCTCTTCATGCTATGCTTTATCTCCAGCCTGCTGAGGGATATAATTGTTTATGCATGAAAACCCGCTTGTATGGAATTATAGAAACATTTAAGATCATTTTGTTTAACGACCAGGTGAGAACTCAAGAGACCAGGAGAGAGTCTCATTGGCAAAGAGTGACCTTGGCCACAAAATGAAATAAGCAAAACAACTAAAATAAAGTACAGCAATGAAAAGAACGATCAATGCCGCGTCAATTCGTGTGTATCGCACTGACTACTTCAGACAGCAACTGAAAATAACAATCATAGTTTAAATATGTGAGGCGCATTTATTCCATAGATCCAAATGCACCACCGTGTATGTAAAGCAGGAAATAAAATAGAACCAGGGCAAACAGCCAGAACTAAACCGTGGAGGCAAATTCAAAGAGGTGAGTCTTCAAGACAGATTTAAATAACAACTCCCATGACTTTGATTTCATGACTTCCAAAGGCAAAGCGTGTTACTTCCACAGTCTGGGAGCTGCGCTGACTCAATCTCGGAGTCCTTAGAAGAAGGCGATCCCAAGATGTCAGGGACATCGTTGGAACGTCAACGTGGAACAGTTCCTACAGATACTGTGGAGCTGATCCATTAAGAGCCTTGTAGGTTAGCAATAGGATTCTATTGTCCACTCGAAACTTGACTCGTAGCCAGTGCAGACACAAGAGATGATGTAATGCGTTGCAGTTATCGGGAGACCCTAAAAGCAGAGCAGGACTCTCTTAAGTCAATAGGTGACTAAGCTGGAAGAACGAAGTTCTTGCCACCCTACATACAAGTGCCACAAAGGACAGAGACCGTCCGAACTGAACACCAGGATTTCTGACCTCCCATGTTGGGCAGACATCATGACCATCTATCAATAAACGTGGCGAACCGATTTCAGATAACTGCAGAGGGGAGCCAGTGAACATGGCCTCAGTTTTGTGGGGATGTAGTAAAAACATTTTGCTGTAACCAAGATTTTAGTAATATTAATGACGTGGACAGTGCAGAAGCTGCCATTGCAGAATCTGGGCCTAACTGGATGTAAATGCACATCTCATCGGCATGACAGTGATACTTAGAAAGCCCAAATATTGTAGCGGAGTGCCCAAAGGTGCCATGTAGGCATTGAATAGTGAGGGACTGAGAACAGATCATTGCAGGATACAGCACTGCACTGGTCTGATTGGAGGTTTAAAACCATCCAATGTGACATAATGCATACGTTTCTAGAAATGTAAAAGTGAAACCATCTCACCGGGTTGGATCTTTAGTCTCAGAAAGGATTTCCAGAAGCTCGTCATTCGAGAGAAAGAAGAACCTGGGGAAAAAGAGGCGCTTTTTCTCCAGGTAGTCGTTGAGTCCCTTGAGAATGAGCTCCAAAAGCTCGGTGGACTTCTGGAGTCTCTCAAGCATCTTGTCAATGGACACCACCGCCAGCACGTGCGTGTCCTGAGGGTAGACAGCTCCAGGTGACACCTCCACACAGGGACCGTCTCAACGCAGGGTGCCATGCAGCGCAATGCCAATGCATGTCTAGAGAACTTCCTGGACATGCATTGGCCCTATGGATGGCATGTGTTGTAATATAAATACTGGATGTTTCATATATTCTTGCATTATCTTTCAAAGCAAAGTAATGGATTTCCTAATCAAATGAGCATTGAGACAGTGCTCATCTGTTTATAGCCCTGAGCTGGTTGTGGATATTCCAGATTCCTATGGCGTGGGCTGGTCTTTCCACAGGACAACCACTGTTAACTTCCCCACAAAGTGATAGGCGTTTAATGGGCTGAGTCAACGCCTGAGCAGGATTGAACTCACAAGACTTTCCGATTGGGAGCCGCTCGCTCTGCCGCTGAGATTCCTGGGAAAGGTACCGATTCTAAGTGCAAACTACTAATCGAATTATAACATTACTCAACAAAATATTGTATATTGAGTTCTGCTAAAAAAAACTCAGTAATACTTTATTTCACTTCCTTTTCCTCCTATCCCGGCATGAATCCAGAACGTGCGTTTCACAAACCGTCAATGTTTGCTTGATGAGGTCCCTCCAGGTTTTGTCCACGGTGGTGAACCTGCGGCCCTCCTCAGGCATCTGGGCCATGATGTCGGGCGAGCTGAAGATGGGCTCCAGGTACAGCCAAGTGGCCTGTACCTTGAGCCACTCATCCAGGATCTCCTGCAGTAGCAGCAGCTTCCTCTCCCACTCCCTGCACACACCTCCCATCAGCCTCAGCCACCAGGCTACAACACAGGCCCCTTCTTACAGCTTGCTGGGAGTACATGACCTCAGCAACCTGACGCTGCTGGTGAGGCAATTGGATGTCGAAACCAGTCCAGATTTCCTTATGTTGACCTAAAACTGCTGAGGATACGTGCTCCCAAAAAGCCGTCTGACCGTTAAGATGTATAAAAAATCTACTTTTATTTGTAATACAGGACAGCTATGATGAGATGTCAGTTAACACGTAGGCTGTCACGACCAATATCATCAATAATACAGGTTTTTTGGGTTAGATCGCGTAAATATATAAATGTGTCGTTAAACCCGCCACCACCCGACACAGCCAATTAGTAAGGTTTGTCACGTAAACAGAACATGTACGACGTTTCGCCAGTAATTACAACTAGCTTCATCAGGCACCTGATGAAGCTAGTTGTTATTGCTGGTGAAACGTCATACTCAGATTGTAAATGTTGTGGCTTGGCTCTCCAACACACCGGTGTGCTGTATTAGTAATGAATTGCCATGTTCTGTTTACTTGACAAACCTTACTAATTGGCTGTGTCGCGTGGTGGCGAGTTCAACGACACATTTATATATTTATGCAATCAAACAAAAAAACCTCTATTATGGATGAGGTGTGTTGTCACCTATTCATTTATTTATCTATTTATGTTAATGGAATACGTAAAATATCTTTGTTTCGAATTAGCATATCATTATGGAAACATCAGCGCCAGAATCAAGCAACAAGGAATCAATAACGCAGGCTGTTATAGTTCATCAGGCTGCTGAAAGTGTAGGACTTACTTCATGTCACTTTCAAATGGTTTGATGAATGGAGACCCCCTCATGGTTTGCGTCTTGACGATGTGGTCATCTAAGAGCATCTGGATGTCATCCACAGCGGAGAGGATGCTCGTTCCAGAGTCGCGGTAGACGATGAGTGTGAACTGCATCTCGTCCCACTCTCGAACCATCTTCTCCAGCGCCTTCTCCAGCGAGTACTCCTTGCTAGCCGTGTCGCTGATGTCATTGAACTTGGAGAGGAATGACTCCAGGTTCATCTCCAGGAATTTCTCCAGGCAAACTTGCTCCTGCGTGAGCAGCGGAAAGCCCACGACCTCCGAGAGTGCATCCCAGTGGCGGCCACGTAGGCCCGGATTACACAGAACCTGCGCCATGGGCAGGTGTGTGCGGAACGCTTCAACGTTACTCTTGAGCTGCTGTTGAATGAGCAGAGCCTGAGGCGAAGCCTGCAGACTCCGCTCCAGTTTGTAGAGGCCACGCCAGTAGTTGCCCACGTCCTGCTCCACCACGTCGGGGTTGACATCGGCCAGCGGGCCCTCCATCCAGGCCTTGTGCTTGGACGTGAACTCCACGGCCATCTCATACAGCCTCAGGTATGGCATCAGCACATCTTGGATTTTCTTCTTTTGCGGGTACTGAGATGTTGGCCATGCAAACGCCTCCTCCTCTGCATTGAAGCTTTCAATCTAGTAGAAATTAATAGGAGTGTCATTACACCACAGCCCACAGTGTGTTTGTGTATATTTAAAATACACAGGGTAACTTTGCTTAGTGTTTAAGATTTACACAGGCAAAGTCAAGTCAAAGAAATGTCCTGCGTAAGTAAGCACTGAGACGGTGCTCAGCTGCTATTCGCAACCCCGAGGCAGCGGTGAACATTCCTCATTTCTGTCGTGAGGGCAGATCTATCCATAGGGCAACCACTGGTGACTTCCTGACAGAATATTTATTTTATTCACCCTGGAGAAAACCAGGATTTGAACTTTGCCTCCTTCCAAAGGAGAGACCGTTCATTCTACCGCTGAGCTATCTGGCCAGGTTAATGTTTATAAAGGTCAGTTTACATTTCCATCATTACCATTTCTGTAGCAGCCTCCAGTTTTGTGTGCAGCACCTGCGCCTTCTTCAAATATTTATTGACATCCGCGAGGTCACCCAGAGTACTAAATTCTTCAGCCTGTTTGGCGTATGCTTCCAAATCTTCCTCAAATCTTCTACGTCGAAACTATGTGAGTAACAAGGTCAGAATTATGAACATGGCACATCACGATGTCATCATTAACATCAGCAATGATCAACCCACTGCTGAATGCAAGCCTCTCCAAGCCATCGCCACCTCTCATGGTCTCACAACAGAACAATCCATAGAGCTTGTGGATGGAGCCGATCCCACGACTCCGTCTCCGCAGTTGATGAACACAGGTCCACAGGCCCAAAACATCAAGCAGCCAGCAAAAAACATAACTGTCAAAGTTGTAAGAGTTAACATGTCTCTTGAATCGAGCAGGGTTATGCGAGCTTAAAAAACAGACCATGGAAATAATTCCAACGTGTAGCAGTGCAAGGACAGAAGCAAAAAGATAAGTATTGTGACCCGCAGTGTGGTGAGTGAGTGGGTGAGTGGGTGTGTACATCTTCTGCTTTCTTCTTCTCGTGATGTTGTGACCTGCAGTGTGGGGAGTGAGCACTTGAGTTATTGGGTGAGTGAGTGGGTGAGTGAGTTGGTGAGTATGTCTCCTTCTTTCTTTTTGTGATGTTGTGACCCGCAGTGTGGTGGCTGAACAGTGTGGATGAAACACGAGAGTCATGTAGACCCATTCCTCAATGTGGTCAGATGAATCAATGAGTGAAGTTCACGAGAACAGTAACCATGGTATTAGTAGCAATAGAAGAGTAATCAGGTGACCGACCGCCGGTCACTGAGTGACAGGAGCAAATCAGTGAGTGGTCCATCGTCAATCACCCCGACTGCTTTACGTTCAATTCTAAGTACACCGAGGTAGGGACTGCGTGCACCAGCACGGATATGACAGCAGAATTGTGGTTTAGAACAGCCACATTTATACGTACGCTAGCTCATCACACTCACCTTGAGACTTTCCTGGTACTGTTCGGTCTTTTCGGTCAATATGCGCCGGTGCTCTGTAAATATGCCCGGCATGCGGCCGCACCACTGAAATGCGGTGTTGTTGTGCCGCATTTCTGATGGGGAGAGGCTGGCGTGGTCCAAGAGGAACAGCAGATGATCCTTGGCCTCATTCAGTTTCACCTGCAGCTGGGACATCTCCTGGACCTCCACCTTCTGGATGTACTCCTGGTCACCGCAAACAAAAGGCACGTCCCCTTAAAGGAAAGCGTAACCCTGACCATTTAACAATTTTATTAAAATGTTTTTTTAAATCTCTTTATTATGGATCACTTGAAAGTAATACCACATTTAGAAACTTAGTATCTTGTCATAGCTGGGTGTTAAATGGCAGAGACCACCAGTCTCTCTCGAAACCCACTCACTTTAAGCTCCATAAGTGCCTTTGTGTTTATGGGGGTGGACAAGGCCTTTTCAGCAATCGATTCAAATTCCTCACACAATCTGTAAACAACAACGAGTGAAAAACCCACATGTGGATGAGACAGCATGAGCATTACTGCTTTTGTGGAGAATATTTGTCACAATATGAATCAATGGACAATTTGCCGCCTCCATGTACCTGTCCCTCCACATACAACACAAGTGTGTTTTACCCATCCCAGCAGCCAGAAGGCCACTTACCATCTGTTGAGTTTACACATCCCATGTGCTGATGAGACACTGAATGTCAAAACCGGTTCACTATTTGTTTGTATTGAGTCAACGCTGCTGAAATTATGCACATAGAAGGCCATGTGGCTGATGGGATGTATAAAACATTTTTTATGTGGAGTGACAATTATATGAAGGGGGTATACTTTGTTTTCTATTCAAATTAGAAATACATGCTTTATTATTGTTTCTCAAGTATTTGATCGGCATTACAGAGATTAGATGGCATGGGGGTCATTGCTTTGCATTTTGTTATAAAAATGAAAATTATAATATACAGCTCCTTGTAAATCTACTGCGAGATGAAAACCTCCCCATGCCATGTTGGTCAGAGGGCTTGTTTGACGATACTACACCACACTAGTCAGTTCAGGTTGCTGAATGGGGGAGGCCCAGGGCCAGCGTACATAACAGTTCAATTTAAACGTTCAGCTATAAATGCACGCGTGGTGTTTACGCAGACACATGAGTGATTCACTTCATCAAGCTTTATCAATTGCACTATGTATGGTTGTGGTGCCTGCCTCTGGATGAATTTCTGATGCTCCTGACTCATTCGTCCCAGCAAACGACTGCCAAGGTTTTCCGCTCGCTTGGCTAAAGCGGCGACGAGCTCGTCACAGTGCAGCTCAAACATTCCCAGGCGCACCACCTGTCACGGCAATCGGGGTACAGAGCAAGCGTTTTACACAATGTCCTTGAATGGCTACTGCCGTTCATTCGTGTTTGCCATATGGGAGGAAACCAGAGATACCCAGAGAAGACATCTCCACACATTTAAAAGGGTTAACGTTCAAAGCTCTGCACAAAAAGATTCAATCCACAGACACGCTCAACCCATTGAATCTATTTGTAGATTGCACCATTGCTGTGCTGCGTTTCCTGGACGCATCGCAGCCCCGTGCCTATAATACTTTGTATGCTCTGCTGGTCTTCCATTCAATTGCTGGCCAGGCCAAAACCCTGCTCGGCCAACGAGAGTGGGTACGTTCAGAGTGCTCATACTCCAATGCATGTTCACTAACACAGCGCACCAGTAAGCTGTCGGTACAGTCAGCAAAGCTGGAAATGTTAAACCGTGGCCATGTCCACAAAATGCAGGTAGTTATGTATTTGGTCATTTTAGTAGGAAATCAATTTGACTTTGACGTAACTTTAAGCACAGTTTTATAAAACACAGGTATTCTTTTAAAACTAAGTGGGTCCAATACTCCCCTGCCTGCATCCTTACAAACATCTGCATTGGACTCTAGGCCAGACATGGGCAACCCAGACAAGTCAGTGGGCCACATGAGCGGTCCTTCTTCACCTCAGTGGGCCACAAGCTTGTCATCGTGCTTGTGCACTCATCATGACCTCACGCATCGGCTCAATTAATTGTCTTTGTGGGCCATTACGAGGGGCTCCACAGACCGCAGGTTTCCCACTGCTGCTCTAAACGGTTGTGGTTGGGACACCCACCAGCTGCGAGGAGTAGAGGATGGAGTGGGAGAGCTCGCGGTAGTGAGAGACGAGCTGCTCGTGCTCGGAGAAGGTGTGCTCCTCGCTCAAGAATCGCTCCACGTCGCGCTCCGCCTGCCCGCCGACCAGGCCCTCAAATGGCTCGTAGTGGCGCAGGTGCTCCCTGGGCAGCAGGCTCTGCTGTATAATCTCGGCGCGTACGTGGCTCTGCAGCTCTTCCAGGACTTCCCGCAGCACCACGGGTTGCAGGTGAGTATGAGCCTTGTCCATGGGCTAGTGTGCGTGTGGGAAAGACGTGCGGCCACGTTCAGCACATCGGTACGTGGAGCGAACTGAAACCCATAGCGCAATTAATATATAATTGTAATTTCTGTTGTATGCCGGCCGTGTCACCCTTTAAAAAGAGCTTCTTATCTCAATGGGCTTTACTCGGGAATAAACGTCTGCTTCTGATGATAATTTAGAATGTGCAATTAATAGTTTTTGTTCTTTCATGTGTGGTTCTATATTGTAATGTTTGGCCAACTCCAAAAATATGTCACTGTCGTGAGAAGCAATAAAGGGCATGGTCTTGGTGAAGGTCATGGCCGACATGAGTGTGAATTGAGAGGGTTTAGATAGCGGGCATCCAGGATCTGATGAATCCAGGAGGTAGCCAAGGAGCAGCACAAGAAAGTGGTGGAGGGCAGGCCCTGGCTGTGAGAGAGAGCGTGAAAGAGGCGCTCCGAGAAGCGTGGGAAACTACAGAGCGTGCGAGGGAGCGCTCGTTGGCTGAGAGAGCGCCTTGGTAGAAGGGACGTTCACACGAGCTGCTGACAGGGTGAAAACGAGAATCGGCTTTACCCTTTCCGGCAAGAATACAGGAGGTGTTAAGATGTTCAAACACCAAATAGACACCTATCACAAGGCATCAAGTCTGCATGAACGATGCGTGCTTGTGTTAAAACATTCATACAATTAAACAAACATGCTTTGATCATAATGTTTGCATTGCATTTGAAACTGATTGGCCTACGCGAGAGACAGCCTCCTTTATGGCCTTGTCTCAACAGTGGTAGAACGCCAAAAGACGAACAGCACAAAGGCAATGCAAATATAAACGCATTAATGGCTCGAGTGGAGCAGTCATCCAGGGTTATGCTTGAGTTCTAGTGGATGTGGATACAGTGGTTCAGTGAGTTGCTGTTTATTGATAAAGTTTGCGACCGTCAATATGTGAGTCAATAAAAGGAAGACATCGACGTGTGTGTGTGCTCGAAACTTGTATTACACTGGATTGCGGTCGCCAGAAAGAGTGCCTGGGGATTACAAGTGCGTCCACATGGATTCCCGAGGCGCGGCGGATTGTGAGCACAGCACTCCGCAAGAGGTGCATTCAATTTTGAAGAGTTTGATTTCAGGTTTGCATTTTTGTACTTTGGTCACAACTTTGAACCTGTATTGCCTCTTGCTATTTTTTTTGGTGAAAGCGTCGTTGAAGACGCGATTGCATTTGGACGCGATACAAATAATAACAGTGTTGCGCTTGGGTTGTGATTGTGTTGCAATCTGGTTCTCACCCAATCTGAGTAGAGTTTCGTTTCCACCCTGGGAACTGTAGCGAGGGTCTTCATCATGACATCGAACACATTCAGCAGAACGACTTGGAAGTCCTTGAAGTCTGGTTCAAACTTGATGGTATCCTTGGACAATATCAGCCTGAGTACAAACCCTGGGTGCTTGACGGTGCCTGTCTGCGGGAGGTAAGAGCATCACACGAGAGCTTGTGAATGTGAAATGCATGCAGATATGACTTCCTGCACCAGAAAAAAGTGATGGGATGCATCCATGAAACCAGTATTTAATCCGAGCTTTGTATTACATCCTAAAGAGCACGAGTTATAAGTTACTGTTCACACAAGTGTTTAATTGATTACAAGGAACAGCACAAACACACGTGAAGGGTAATTGAGGTGCGAGTATGAAACCTGGGAGTAAAAGTATGATTCTTGATCACATGCTTACCTGGGTAGAGCAGATGAGATCAGTATAGTCATAGATAGAATTGAGAGCTAGCTTCTGTAATAGAGATGTCATCAGAGCGGCAGCACAGTTAAAATACGATGCCAGTCTGGTGACGTTTGTCAATTTAGGAACAAGTTTCTTCTTGTTGCTTTGGTAGTAGATGGTCTGTATTTCTGAAAGCCACCTGTCAAAATAATACAAAGGGTACACTGTTGGAAGAACGAGTCGACTCGACGTGTACACAGTGTCCAGCAGGGTGGTACATAGCTCAGAGCATACGGCTTGTGACTCGCAGTGAAAAGTTTATCAGAAATCACGGGGAAAAGTTCAATCAGCGGTCACAAAACAGGCACATTTCCCATCCAGACCATGGGTCACCTGGAATGATGTTTCTAAAGCAACATTTTATTAAGCAAGCAAATGTTGGGCTTGTTTCAACTTTATGAGTCTCATCAACAGGCTGTGGCCTGTTGAAGAAAATTCACCGAGATGCCTGGCAACTATCACCCATGAAAACTGTGAGGCTGTTCAGCGCATACAGCAGAACTGTACGAACTTGTTGTATACTGTGTTTGCTGGAGTGTGGGCAATGAATTATTAAATAAGTAAACACCGGTGACAATGATTTTTTTTCGTGTGACAAGCAGACCACTGTCATTTTACCCAGAATTATCCAAGACAGTGCATCTTGATATTATCAAATCGTTCACAAGCAGAAGCCCTGCAGTTTAAATGCTAGTCATGCTTGACTGAGTCAATAATATAAACACCACATTGTTGGAAGACATCACTGGATGTCCTGTGGACATATTAACTGCCAAAGGAATGTGGAATATCCATGACTGTAAACAGATGAGCACTGCCATGCTTAATACAGCAACTTTTTCCACACCATGTATTAGGCTCTTTATTTGATGAACACATAGAGAGCATATGTTGGCTATTTTAAATACTGTGCTTCTAAAGACAAAAGAGTACGCATAGTATGAAGATAACACATCTGTCTAAAGTATATAAAAGAAGCTTGCATATAGCATATGTTCGCATATTTTGTTGAACCACCAGGTGAGAATGCAAGAGACCACGAGGGCCTCATTTGCAAGTGACGTGGGTCAACAAAATCACAAGGGCAATAATGTATATAAAGTTCAAAATGAAGCAAATTAGCAATCTGAGCAAAAACAACCAAATATAAATGAGCTAGAAGACAATATAATTTCAGAGGATATCAAAACGGTGGACAAAAACAAATCCATATAGAATAAAATACATTTTCCTGAAACTAAGATTTGGCACTGCCAAATTACTTTTAAAAACCTTTCGTCGTCAAATTTAAATTAAGTTACAGAAACAAAATATATTGCGGCTGTTATTGCCCTCATATGTAACAATATAGGTGTCCATGTCAAACACTGGGAGGAGTGGGAAACAGAGAAGGACCTGGTTGGCAAAAAATATTAAAACTGGTAAATTGTGATGGGAAAGCAACGTTGCGCTACAGCTGTGTTGTGGTTTTTTTATTGAGGGTAAGGCCTCTTCTTTTTTTTACATGTGTTCTGCTTGTTTGGAAATGCCTTGGCAGTTGCTGTACAACGTCCCCCGCACCTCAGATTAGCATGGTCGGCTACGTACAGTGTGAAAGAAGTTCAACATACATACATTCCACCATAGTGTGCATTGTGGGTGCCACATACTTGCTAAGAAGGGTCTCCTTGGCCAGGTCTACATGCCTCATGACCACTTTCTGGAAGGATGACAGCTCCAGAGCAGCTGTGCCACCACGTATCTCCTCTACATTCACAAGACGTAGGTCACTGGAAAACAAATGCGTTTACACATCTTTTGGTCAAACTGCTACAATAATCATTGCTACTCTTTGGTTCTTTCGGTAAAGTGAAGTAGAAATATAATTAATTAAATAATGGAATACGCCGTTTTGATTGCAACAGACACGATCGTCATCAGATAGAACTACATTTGAGAGAGATACAAAACACAGACACAGATACACACAGACAGACACACAAGCAGAGAGAGACAACACAGAGACACAGAGAGAGACACAACATAGACACACAGAGACCCAATGCCTCTGTGTCGTTGCCTTGACTAGAGAGAGAGAGGGGGGCAGAGAGAGAGGTGGGTCTGCTGGAGCAGAGAAATTAGCATGTCAATGAGAGAGCTGTGTGGAAATCCACCCATAAGCGGCCGGGGGAGAGAAAGGGCGAATGGACCTATGAGAGCCTAGTAAATTTTAACGAGAGAAATAGGCAATTTGAGAAAACAAACTTAGCAAATTTACCAGACTTGCTGGGTCTTTCTCTCCCCCTGCCGCCGCGGGGTCGATTTCCACACAGCTCTCTCATTGACATGCTAATTTCTCTGCTCCAGCAAACCCACCTCTCTCTCTGTCCCCCCTCTCTCTCTATTTAAGGCCACGACATAGAGGCATTGGGTCTCTGTGTGTCTATGTTGTGTGTCTCTCTCTGTGTGTCTCTGTGTTGTCTCTCTCTGCTTGTGTGTCTGTCCGTGTGTCTGTGTTTGTCTCTCTCTCAAATTTAGTTCGACCTGATGACAACTGCTTGTGTTGCAATCGAAACGTCGTATTCTATTATTTAATTCATTTTCTTTCTACATGACTTTACCGAAACAACCAAAGAGTAATTCCTGCAGTCACGAAAGCTTCAAATCAAATAATCATTACTATTTAGCATCCAGTCACAATCACTAGCCCTTCATTGTACAATACACACAATTAGGCTCGTGCAGCAAATAGCCCCATATCGCGATCTTCGAGCTGCTGTTCTTTATGTAAGTAGACAGGGGTCAAGGTCCCTACCAATATGTGTTGTGCCAGAGCTGCAACACAGCCAGCATTGCAGGGTTGATGGAGTGCAGCTCCTCCTGCAGCCGACGCCGAGTTGCAAAGAATCTCTCTCTCCATGGCTTTGGCAGCACAGCCAGCCTGCAGACACAGCGGGACACACGCCACTTGGGTGGACACCTGTCTGGGTGTGGGTTTGACCCGGACAGTCCAGAATTTGGCATATGTGCTGGCACGGATTTCACGTTGAACCTCATGAACAAATACTGCAGAGTTTTGACAGATCTGGGCTCACTGGGAATTTTCTTCGGGTTTGGATTGTGGGAAGGGTAGAAACCCTACTGATGACACGAACCCAGCTAAAGGATAGCCATCCCAGCACAAAGCACTGTGGCCTAACAGCCTACATAGGTGGCTCTCTACCGTTCTGGGAGTGCGGCCGACCAATATTGGCCACCCGTTCCCGCACCCACCCTGCCCTGCTGCAGCCCCACAAACACAACAGAAGTTATTTCAGCCACAACGCAGAGAGACTGAAAGCCCACGTCTCTAGTTGTGTACCAGTGGGTTTTGAGTTTCTTGCTGTGTATTAATGTGTGTTGTGTTCGTGAGGCATTTGTCTCATGTTGTGTGTCCGTTTGTTTTGTCATCACATCATAACAAATTTCTCCTGCACGGTATTCATTCCGCAGCCTGTTGAGGCCACTGGGCCTACAAGATGCACGAGGGACACCTGAGACGCGCCCTAAAAATTAGCAGAGCCATCCCTAGGGTACGGCGAATCGGGGTGACCGCCCTGGGCCCCACGCTTCGACATCACGTTGTCAGATGTTAAAGTTCTGGTTTAGTTTGAAGGTGTCGGGGTGGGGGGGGGCACACAGTGTGTGAGTTGCCCCCGGCCCCACACCATCTTGTAAATGAGCTTCAGTTCCAATGCCTCCACCGGATCACATTCGTAAGGTTTATCTCGCGAACTTAATGCCACGGTTCTACCATTCATATTAATCAAATTATAATTGTGTTTGACGGCTGTGACCTCGGAGTATTTGGAGATTCCCATGAACTCACTCTTCTCTGTGTGGAGGGAGGTCTTCCCTCTTCTTCAAATCCTTGTTCTTGGGATCTTGCAACACAAAGTCAACTGGAAAAGTATATTAAAACAATGAACAGGATTGCTATACTTTGACATGTGAAAACACGTAAAGTATGTATATGTGTATATTGGGGGAGGCAGTGGCGCAGTGGTTAGCGCGTTGCTCTACAAGCCCGTCGACCCGAGTTCGATTCCCACTCACAACCAATACCAGTGGCGAATATTTGAACCGGTCCTGGGCTACCCCTAGGTTGACTCAGTTTTAAATGAGTACCTGGTCCTTTGCATAAATATTGGCACTAGGGAGACAAAGGCGGCCAGGCATGAGCTGGCCACCCACCCCCTCGCGTGCTCTTCGTCTTCATATATATGCAGTCCTGGGTCTAATATGTGAATTGTATCAATTTTCTGATGAAAACTAGCCTTACAGGTGGTTGGGGCACCCAGGTCGGCAAGGCACATGCGCAGGTTGTGTGGATTAGTGCTATGCCCAGTCAATTTTGTCTTTTTTAATGTTGGGTTAACCGAGAGAAGGTCTAGGAGAAGTTCTGGTGAAATCTACCACTGACGTTAGCCATGGCTGGTCTCAAAACATATTTTGGTTTTAATAGAGGATCCAAGCGCAACTGCATCTGAAGACGCTGTACAAAACTGTTGCACGTGTATCACAGGGAAGGGAGATTTACATAGACTAAATATGCATGTTGTTTGTGTGTGTTTTAAATAGGAAAGATAGTCATAAATAGAGGAAAAGAGGAAGAACTTAGACTGGAACAGAGGCAGGGAATTTGACTGCACAGATGGTTCGGAGAAGGGGCTTGCAGACTGCTGAGCATCGGAAGAGAAAGAGCGATCTCCCACTAAGCTAAGATCGATTGAAAATTTGGCAGAGGGCCATGGTTGCTGGTGTGAAGATCAAATGAAGGAGAGTAGAGTGAAATCGGAGTGGAGAGGTGGATAGGGGCAGGTTTGTGGAGGATCTTGCAGAAAGGTCGCCGAGTTCGAAGTGCAGTGGGTGGACAACTTTACAGCCAACCACACCCACCCCGCGGTGCCACCGCTTCCCTCACACTCGCTCACACTCCCTCTCGCAAGCACTCACACTTGCGCGCACTCACATTCGCGCGCACTCCCACACACACACTTGCAATCACACTCTACGCGAGACTGTGAGTGCATGTCTCACACTCCCATGCACTCGCACTCAAGCATGCACTCACACGCGCACTGCCAGCGGGGTGCCGGCGTACCTATGGCCTTCTTGACGCTGACGAGGTAGTCGTCCCTCATCTCTTGAGAGAGGCCGTGGATTGTGGCGAGGTGGGATGGATGGGAGCGCAGGGTCTGAGGCACCAATGCCAGGACGTGCTGCAGCCACTCCTCCTCCATGGACGCGACATTCTCCGTGTGGATGCCGTGCTGGATGTAGTAGTGATAGCGCTACGCCAGCAGACAGCGCAGGAGGGCACGTGTGCACACAGCGAGCGTCACTTGGCGTGTCTCCTTCACCACCCGTCTGACAGCACGTTTAATCAGTGTCGTTTCCACAGATTTATGACAAATAAATTAGATTTCTGTATCAAAACACTGAGATAGAACGTTCTTGTGACTGTGGTATGGTTACTCAGAATAAAAAACTAATGCCCTAAAAAAAATATTAAAATACAATTTCATGTTTTAATATGAAAACATTAAGTTGAACAATTACCGCTCTGTTTAAAAACCAACAGAGCTGCTCGGATTTCAGCGCTGACAGATCAGTGTTTGTTTGCACGTTTGATCAGAAACGTAATAGTTTTTGTTTCGTACAAATTATTATTATTTTACTGCATTAGGGAAATGATGAAAAGTGAGACTAATTTGAAGGAGGCTGTCTACACAAATGGTGACATTGAAACCTCTCTTCAGAAGTAGCCATCGCAACAGGACTTCTGCTGAGCAGCTGCCCCGTAGTCAGATCCAAGCGATACAGCAGGGAGTTATTCAAACAATAATCAAAAGCAATGTTCTGTTTGAAAAGAACAGTCAACATCTTTCACCATTGCATCTCTCTCTGCAGAATGAGGTGAGGGAGATGGAGGTGTGTCCTGGCCCAGCTGCCCGGGTAGAACGTTGTCTTGATTTCTGGAATCCCAATCGCACGACATATTGACAACCACAAGGAACATTGACCCTGGTGGATACGTTCCACAAGTTATAGTGATTTGCTTTTCAGATGAGCATTGAGGCGGTGCTCATCTCTTGTTTACAGCCCTGAGCCAGGAGTGGAAATCCCATATTCTGACAGCTGACTTCACCACAAACTGGTACATATTTTATTGAGCCCATAGGGATGATGGGCTGAGTCAACCCCACTCAAGATTTGAACTCTTAACTTTCTTATTAACAGCTGCTAACAATACCGCTGAGCCACTCGGCCAACTTTGGCTCACATCGTAACATAGCACAGGCTACTTAAACCACAGTGGTTGAGGCAAGAGAGGCAGTACCAGGCAACGCGGTGGCAGCCTAGGCGATGGACAGGTGAGTATGCACATGACCTGTAGTCCCGCACTGTGGCACTGAGGGCTGATGGTTCACTTACATTTGCAAAACTTCCCCTACCCCATGGGCATCAAGGTCACCATCTCCTTGGCTTGAAAGGGTAAGGCAGTACAGCAATTCGATTAATTTTCTTTCATCTGCACTTGTGGGTTTTCTCCGGGTACGTCTGTTTCCTCCCACATGTGTAAACACTCATTAAAGGAGCTAGCCAAACGTAGGATGGCAGAGCTTTGGCAATGGTTGGCACCGAATATGACTGCCTTTCCGCTTGTTTGTGGTTTCCGGCGTGTCGGTGCGAAAACCGTCCACGTTACAAATTCTACAGTGTTCTGAGATGCAACTCGCGTGTGTTGTACACAAATTAGGGGTCACCGTCGCTATAATTACGTGAGGATTTTGACGAGGGTGGTGCGGAAGCGTTCTCGGTTGTCACGTGACTGGGAAGAGATTAAGCGCAGCTTTTCCTGTTTGCCTTGGCGTATGCGTCTCCTGCTGCTGCCAGATGCCGGCGAGAGGACCCAGTCCTGACCCTCGCGGAAAGTCCCAAGCCTCCCCGAGTCTGCATGCTCTGCAGTGTTAAACAAATTTTCAATTACCTCTAGCTTAGTGCGAAGACATATTGACCTTAAATGATGTGGCTTTCAGGTTATATAACCCAACAAAGTACAAATATCAGACACCACGACAGTCTTCTGGGAGTAAATATTTTCAAGAACACTCTTGACATTCAGTCTCTCATCAGCAAAATGAGGCTTGCTTAAAACAAAGCTTGTGAACTGCCAGATGCTTTATAGCAAACACTCTCTCTGTGAACAAGGTTTACATAAAACTAGAAAGAAACATAGGGTGCTGTTGCGATCGAAATGTCGTGATATTTTTCTTATTTTTTTATTCACTTTATTTTTATTATTTTATTGTTCTATCTACGTGACTTTATCGAAAGACCCAAAGAATATTAATTCCTGCAGTCACGAAAGCTTTAAGTAAAGATCTGCTGTTTACTTAAATACTACAGTGTGAAACCATATATCAATTCAGAAATGTTAATGGCAAACCTTTGTATGCACAACCTGAACACTTTTACTTCAACATCTGGTAAAAGTGTACATCATTCTTATCACCAACATCGTAATTTATCAAGATCACCATCACAATTCACACCACCACCACCTCCAGCCTCACTCTCAGCAGAATCATAATTATTCTCCCCCATCACACACCAAGCTCACAGCTCCCACCGCTCTATCGCTGTTTGAAACAAACCCATCAGTGCACTGGCAACATTTTACAACCTTGAAAATGTATCGAATGGACAGAAAATAAACCATCAGACAAGCATACCGATATATGTATTTTTATAATGTTAAGTAAATGTCCTTCCAAATGAATCCCAGAAGAGTTGAACATTCATGATTTTAGTGGCAATTGCTAATATAGGAGCAGTCAAGAGTAAAAACGGAATCACAGCAGCAGCTGGCCTTACCCAGACGTCCATTCTTACCGCACACAGCAGCAGCAGCTGCAGCATCGTCGGGCAGCTGAAAGGACGGAGCCGAATCTTGCCACATAGGCTTCGTGCGAACCTGACCAACACACACACAGGGGCCGCCCATAAATGACGTCACGCGATTTTTGGACGATTTTTGACCCCCCCCCCCCCGTCGTCACACGGCGTCACAAAAAGTCAGACCCCCCCCCCTCAAATATGACGTCACAAAGCTCTGCCCCCCCAAAAAAAATTCTTCAAATCGCTTTAAACTATTGTCATTGTAGTGCGTATTTAATGTGGCGCTGCACTCTGATGTTGTAGGAGAAAACATTTTATTAAAAAGTCTATTTAATTAAGTAGAACGTGTTGTCTATATTTATTTAAAGTTGCGCATTTTTATGTGACGTCACATTTCTGAACCCCCCCCCTCGTCAAACATCGTCACAAATGTCGGACCCCCCCCCCTCACCCCAGGTGCGTGACGTAATTTATGGACGGCCCCACAGGTACAATACACACACACACAGGTGCAATACCACATGCACAGATACAATCCAAAACAAAGATAAAGCTCCCCCGTACAGACTTTAATAGACTGTTCGGGCAAGTGCTGTTAGCGAGCAACTATGAAGGCTGGAATGGCACACGAGTGGGTGGGTCTCCCAAGTGGCGATGTTTACACTCTGCACTAGTTACTAAATTTGAGGCTGAGTCGGCCTAGGGGAAACCCAGGACCGGTTCAGATAATTGCCACTGGTGTTGGCTGTGAGTGGGGATCGAACTCGGGTTGCCGGGTTCGTAGCGCAGCGCGCTAACCGCTACACATACACAGATATCCCACAGATACCACACACATCTAACAAGCACACACACACGTGCAATAAAACAGGTGCAATGTGGGAAAGCATGGTCTGCTGCTGAGGCAGACTGTTTTAAAACAGACCATGCTTTCCCACCTGGACGCTTGTGTTGCGCCCGAAACGTCGTGATTTATTTAATTTTATACCTACGTGACTTTACCGAAAGAACCAAAGAACCGACAGGTAAATCGGGCTACCTGTGGCAGCTGGGGAAGGAGTTTGACGGCCGTGTTGTCCACTTGGCCCTCAAGAGTCTGCGGGATCAACAGCGCAGCACAATCGCGTAAAACGCTTGCAGCGACGATTCGCCCCTGGGATACGCCGCAGGCTGGCGTGGTGGTGCTTCCATATCCCCGTGTGACAAGGGACACACGTGTCCGTGTCCCCAGAGTGCCGTGTCCCGCGTGCACCCAGATGCACATGGCAGAGAGAGAGAGGGAGAGACTGCCCACCGTGAGACATCACTAAACCCACGGAACACATCACCAGCCACATCTCGGAAAAGGTTGGGTCCGGTGGTAAACGCGAGCGGCTCACTATCGGAAAGTTGCGAGTTCATAATCCTGGCCGGGGATTGTCTCAGCCCATTATGCCTCCGAGGTGGATACAATAAATACAACTCTGTGTGGGGGAAGTCAACAGTTGGTTTGCCCTATGAATAGACTTACCCCTGGCATAGGAATGTGGAATTTTCAACCAATGGCTCGGGGCCACAACCAGGAAATGAGCGCATGTGTCTTTACTAATTTGAGCAGGAAATCGCTTTGACTTTGAATCACTGAGACACGACGAGACAACCACCCCTTCACCGAGCGAGACGCACGCACAACTCTCATCGCCGTGACGCACAACCACACTCACTCATCGAGACGCAGATAATCGCAAATCACTTCTCTCATCGCGTCTTAAAACCGGCGAACGGTTGCCGTGGGCTACGCGACAACAAACCCAGACCTTTTTTATTGTTGTCGGTGATGGTGGTGGTGGTAGTGAGCGCGTTAACTTCCCGGCGTGATTTGGTTACAAAAATAAAAAAAAACCGCGAGCACGCAAACCGCAGCAAGCAAACAAACAAGCGGAGCTCCACTGGGTGTCAGCGAGAGAGTGAGAGAGGAGGAGTGGTGAGAGCGAGGTGGCAACAACCACCGACCTGCATGTCCGCGATGCCCCCGCAACCTCTGAGGGTCGTCGTCGTGGTGGTCGTGGTGGTGGTTGGGGTCCACCCCCGAGCCTCAACGACGCCTCGCGTTGCCAGGGCCAACGAGCGCCCAATCAGCGGCGTCGCTCCGGTCCCGCGTGGCCACCCCTCCCCCGCGTCCCTCCCGTGGTTGCCGGTGGCAACGCATCGAGGCCTCGCCTGGCCTGGCCCTTGGTCAGAGTTCAGGGCAATGAGGGGGTCATTGGCTAAAAAGCCACGGTCATAACTCGAATAATAATCAATGCTGACGATATAAAGAGTATCTATTTGGTGTTTGAACATCTTGACACCTGTTTTATCGCCAGAAAGGGTAAAACCTATTCTTATTTTTCATCATAGTACCACATGTCTAAACAATAGTACTATAACAATAGCACCAAATGCCATGACAATAGTACTATAACAATAGCACCAAATGTCATCTGAACACAAAGTGATTCACATTCTTCTTTGGTTCTTTCGGTAAAGTCACGTAGAATGAGAATACAATAATAAATTGATAAAATAAAATAACACAATAAAATTCACATTATTGGTTCTTTCGGTAAAGTCACGTAGAAGGGAAATAATAAAATAATAAAATATAAACCAATAAAATTCTCACGACGTTTCGACTGCAACATAAGCAATCATCATCAGGTGTGAAAACCACAGCAAGAACATTTTAAAAAGTGGCGTTTTTTTCCCTTCGAATTTTCTTGATGTGGTTTTCACACCTGATGGTGACTGCTTGTGTTGCAGTCGAAACGTCGTGAGAATTTTGTTTTATTTTTTATTGTTTCCCTTCTACGTGATGACTTTACCGAAAGAACCAAGAATATGAATCCCTGCAGTGACAAAAGCTTTAAATCAAAATTTAAAGTGATTCACCTTAAACGTGTCTGATTTGTCGATTCATAGTGCTCAGATTTCGCACTCAATTTGGAGCAAAAGCATTTATATGGAGATGCCTCAAAGGTTCGTCAACCACCAAAGTGTTGTCTATGGGCATCTCCCATCTCTGTCCTCATGTAACCTGACCATTAAGATCACTAAAGTTCTAATTTTAGAAACATAATTGCTGATATTATCAAGTGTTTTTTTGTTGTTTAATGTCTGTAATTGAGCTAACAAGCTATTTTTTTAAAAAAAATATCTTGTTAGCTCAGTGAGCTATGCTCGGAAAATGCGCTTATGATTATAACACTTTCTGTTCTAGAGAGATTACTTTCCGATAAAGTTAGTGTAAATGAAGCAAAACCCATACGCAAGTATGGGACCGTCCATAAATGACGTCACGCACCTGGGGGGGGGGGGGGTCAAAGATTTGTGAGGATGTGTGACGAGGGGGTTTGAAAAATGTGACGTCACATCAAAATGCGCAACTTTAAATATAGACAACACGTTCTACTTTATTAAATAGACTTTTAAAATAAATGCTTTTTCCTACGAGTGCAGCGCCACATTAAATACGCACTACAATGACAATAGTTTAAAGCGATTTGAAGCATTTTTTTATATTTTCATTTTGGGGGGGGGCAGAGCTTTGTGACGTCATACTTGAGGAGGGGTCTGACTTTTTGTGACGCCGTGTGACGAGGGGGGGGGGGGGCAAAAATCGTCCAAAATCGCGTGACGTCATTTATGGACGGCTCCCTTTATCTAAATAATGCACCATGGTCGTTCCAGCAAATGGGCAACAATTAGATACACAAGTTTGGTGAATTTACTTCATTTTGCAGGATGTAATAATCGATGATAGCCAGCATGTCGTCATTGGTCGTAAACACACAAAATATATGTACTAAATGGATTCTTAAAATGTATTTATAATATAATTATGTGTATGCCGAGTATCTGCAGCTGCCGTGTCCTGTACAGCGCCTTGAGATCATTAATGAAAAGCGTTATATAATATGGAATTATTATTGTGCTAATATTCCTGAAGTGTCGCAGCGCAAAGCGATGTCAACACTAGACGCGTATTTGTCATGCCACACAGGGTCACGTTTATTTTAAACTCATGTGCTGAGTACAGAGGCACCAGAGGCACCAAAGGCACAAAGCGTGGCCAGCAACAGAGAGCACTTTTCAAATCTTGGGGAAAGAGACGATGCGAGAAAATTCAACCACCACGCTGGAGATCACAACACACTCACCTACTCACCCACTCACTCACCCACTCACCACGCTGGAGATCACAACACACTCACCTACTCACCCACTCACTCACCCACTCACCACGCTGGAGATCACAACACACTCACCTACTCACCCACTCACTCACCCACTCACCACGCTGGAGATCACAACACACTCACCTACTCACCCACTCACTCACCCACTCACCACGCTGGAGATCACAACACACTCACCTACTCACCCACTCACTCACCCACTCACCACGCTGGAGATCACAACACACTCACCTACTCACCCACTCACTCACCCACTCACCACGCTGGAGATCACAACACACTCACCTACTCACCCACTCACTCACCCACTCACCACGCTGGAGATCACAACACACTCACCTACTCACCCACTCACTCACCCACTCACCACGCTGGAGATCACAACACACTCACCTACTCACCCACTCACTCACCACACTGCAGATCACAACACACTCACCTACTCACCCACTCACTCACCACACTGCAGATCACAACACACTCACCTACTCACCCACTCACTCACCCACACCACACTGCAGATTACAACACACTCACCTACTCACCCACTCACCACGCTGGAGATTACAACACACTCACCTACTCACCCACTCACTCACCCACTCACTCACCACACTGCAGATCACAACACACTCACCTACTCACCCACTCACTCACCCACTCACCACGCTGGAGATCACAACACACTCACCTACTCACCCACTCACTCACCCACTCACCACGCTGGAGATCACAACACACTCACCTATTCACCCACTCACTCACCCACTCACCACGCTGGAGATCACAACACACTCACCTACTCACCCACTCACTCACCCACTCACCACGCTGGAGATCACAACACACTCACCTACTCACCCACTCACTCACCCACTCACCACACTGCAGATCACAACACACTCACCTACTCACCCACTCACTCACCCACTCACCACGCTGGAGATCACAACACACTCACCTACTCACCCACTCACCACACTGCAGATCACAACACACTCACCTACTCACCTACTCACCCACTCACTCACCCACTCACCACACTGCAGATCACAATACACTCACCTACGCACCCACTCACTCACCCACTCACCACGCTGGAGATCACAACACACTCACCTACTCACCCACTCACTCACCACGCTGGAGATCACAACACACTCACCTACTCACCCACTCACCACACTGCAGATCACAACACACTCACCTACTCACCCACTCACTCACCCACTCACCACACTGCAGATTACAACACACTCACCTACTCACCCACTCACTCACCACACTGCAGATCACAACACACTCACCTACTCACCCACTCACTCACTCACCACGCTGGAGATCACAACACACTCACCTACTCACCCACTCACTCACCCACTCACCACACTGCAGATCACAACACACTCACCTACTCACCCACTCACTCACCACACTGCAGATCACAACACACTCACCTACTCACCCACTCACACACTCACCACACTGCAGATCAAAATACACTCACCTGCTCACCCACTCACTCACCCACTCACCACGCTGCAGATCACAACACACTCACCTACTCACCCACTCACTCACTCACCCACTCTCTCACCTACTCTCCCACTCACCCACCCACTCACTACAGTGCAGATCACAACACGCTCACCCACTCACTCACCCACTCACCACGCTGCAGATGACAACACACTCACCTACTCACCCACTCACTCTCCCACTCACTCACACACTCACCACACTGCAGATCACAACACACTCACCTACTCTCCCACTCACTTACCCACTCACCACACTGCAGATGACGACACACTTCACCTACTCACTCACTCACCCACTCACCACACTGCAGATCACAACACACTCACCTATTCACCCACTCACTTACCCACTCACCACGCTGCAGATGACGACACACTCACCTATTCACCCACTCACTCACCCACTCACCACACTGCAGATCACAACACACTCACCTATTCACCCACTGACTTACCCACTCACCACGCTGCAGATGACGACACACTCACCTACTCACCACACTGCAGATCACAACACACTCACCTACTCACCCACTCACTCACTCACCTACTCTCCCACTCACTCACCCACTCACCACACTGCAGATCACAGCACACTCACCTACTCACCCACTCACTCTCCCACTCACTCACCCACTCGCTACGCTGCAGTCACAACACACTCACCTACTCACCCACTCACTCACCCACTCACTCACCACACTGAAGATAACAACACACTCATCCACACACTCACCACACTGCAGATCACAACACACAACAACCGCCATTCGCCACTAAGTGGCAGTGACGTTACCACGGCGCTTGTGCCAGGCTATGTGCACCAGTGACGTGCGGTGAGGTCAATGGCTGGGGTGGCACTGGCAAGTGTCAGAGCCAGATTCACACAGAGGGGGGCGTGGCCTCACTGAGGGGGGCGTGTTAGACACGTCCCCCTCAGTGAGGCAGATGTCATAGCTGCCTCCCCTGGTGCTTTTTCATTGCAGTTTCACGACGAGACCAGCGAGCCTAAATATCTTTATGCACATAATACGTGAAATAAGTTACCTGGAGTATGGAAGGCGAGGACATGAAATGAAGGGTCAACAAACATTACATTGGTGACAAACTGAGATAGTAACAGGTACGCGCTTATTGCCCGCGCTCCATCCAGTTACTGAGGGGTTGCGCAATCAGAGGGGAGGCTGAGCTCGTCGCTGCCTCACCTCTCGTCTCTTCATGTATTTTCAGCGGAGCTCCGCAAATTTGGCGATTTTGACTTTTCTTTTTTTTTTACTTTTGGTAACAGCTATTTTCATTGGAGTATGACAGGTGAGGCTCTGCCTCCCCTGACCGCACGTCCCTGATGTGCACGTTGAGGCCACGTGAAGCGTCGAACGCCCGCTAGCAGGAGGTCAAAGGGCAGACCCAGGTGCCACGGGTCGACTAAGATGACTGGTCGATGCACCACCTGTGCCCCTTACTGTGCCAACTTGCTGTGTTTTAGCCACCCAGCGCTCCACTCGTTGTGAGTGTCGCTCCTCCGCCCTCCGTTGTTGCTGGAGGACGACTGCCCAGCAGCATCCTTCACGAGCCTCCTCCACAGAGGCCGATCTTGACACCGCTGGTACCGGTCATCGGCAAGTCCACTCAGCTCCACATCCTATCGTGCCACATCACTCCATCTCTTCTCTATCCT